TATAGTTATTAGTAAAGTAAAAGCGGCAGGAATAGCTAAAAAGCTTTTAATTAAAATAAAATAGAAATCTGGATAGTATTTCTTTTCTTTATTTATTTCTGCTAATAAGGCCTTAAAAGCATTATTTACTAGTTTGTTCTTATTACCCTTATTACCCTCTTTGCCTTTGGCTTTAGTAATATACTATATATAAGTATTATTAAAGCATTTATTAAAGTTACGGGTATTTCAGAATCTGAATTAATAGATATTTCTACTCCTAAATTAAGCCTTTTTAGCCTCTTATTTTTCTGGTATATATTTCTATAAATAGTATTTGGGTTTCTTATATATAAAATACGACTTTGAGGTATAATTATTATAATTATAGGACTTAGAGTAGTTATTTCGGGTTCCGAAGTTATAACTAGATTTATATTAATAATTTCCAGAGAAATAATAGCTTAAAGGGTTTTGAGAGTAATATTATTAATTAGTAAAAAATATTTCGGGATTAGTTTATTATTTGCTTTTATATATAGTAATAAATAACTAGAGCTTATTAATAAGCTAGCTAAGATTTATAAAAGAATCTGAGATTATATATTTATATATCCGGAAGCCTTAGTAAGAGATAATAATTTTATTATAAAGAAATTCGGTATTTTATAAGTTAGGTATAAAACTATATTATAATTAATATAGTTTATTAATTAGTAGTTAAATAGTCTTAAATATTATTTTTTCCGGAAATTTAGCTATTATAGAAACTAATATAGTAGTATTTCACTTATTTAAATTTCGATATTTAAATTCAGGGCCTTTAAAAAAGCTATAAATATTAATATAAGCCTTTATATATATATATTAAAAGAGCTAGTTATTATAAAAGTAATCTTAAGCTAGTTTCTTTAGTATAATAGGAAAAGCTTATATTAGTACCTCTTATAAAAGCTTTATATATTAGTAGATATTAAGGAAAATAGTAAGTTTATAATTAAAATTACTATTAGATCTATTATACTTTTACTTTTTAGTATAAATCTTAGTAATTTCCCTAATAAGTTTTATAATTAAAGGAAATTAGAAGTTATTCGAATATAGTTATAATAATAATAGTAAGACTAATAGGAATATACTATTTGCTTCTAGAGCTTCTATATTAGTATATAAATCTAGTAGAAATATAGAATATAATAATAGAAGAAATAATAGAAAAAGTAATAATATAGAAATATTAAAGATAATAGGTTCTAGGTATTTATTCTTTATAAGAGTAATAAAGCCTAATAGAATTAGTTCTTTAATAAGGTCTAGTCTAGCTACTAATATATCCTTATTTAATTATATATATTATTTATTTTCTTTTATAATAATATATAAGGTATTTATAATAGTATTAGTACTATTATTCTATTATATAAATATATTACTATATTAAAGGGTCTTATATAAGTATAGTATTTCTAGAAGTTCAAATTTATTAAAGTTCTCTTAATAAATAAAGTCTTTAAAGTTATATTTAAATAGCTTTTAAAGATTATTATTAACTATTTTATAGAAAATATATTAAAATAGCTTAGTATTTAAAAACTCAGTTATCTTATCTGCTTTAGTAAAGTTTAGATTAATTTCATATTTCTATTTTCTTACTAATTCCTTGAAATTATTATTATTTATAGAATAATTAGATTAGATAAATCTAATAAAGGAATTATTTATTATAGTATATTCTACTATTATATATTTTATAGGCTTCTGTCTAGTTTAAGGTATAGTAGTTTATAAGGAAAGTAGATTTATAAAGAGAAGGGTAGTTTATAAAATAAGTAATTAGTATTATATTTGAGATAAAAATTTCATTTATAATAAGAAATTTAGGAAGTGAAATTTAAGAAGTAAAATATCGAGATTCCGGAAGAACTTAATAGTTCTAAAGCTTAAAAGCCCCAGGGATTTAAAAAAAGATGGTTTTTAAGAGAATTTTATAGGAATTAAATAGGAATAGAATAGAATAGTTAAATAGCTAACCGTTTTAGTACTTAGTAAGATTAAGTATTCTTCCTGCCTATATAATCGAATTATAGGTATTAGAACTAATAGATATTTCTCTTTTTAATATAGTATAATTAGATCTTCGTAAGACCAAGTATCTTTCCTGCTTATATAACCGAATTATAAGTAATAGAATTAATAGTTATTTTCTTTTTAACTAGAATAATAGCTTTGCCCTTAAATAACCAAATTTTAGGCAAGTATAGCTTAATTCTTTCTAATCTATATATATAAACTAATTAGTATTAGTTTACTAGAAATATATAATACTATTATATAGTTATAAAATACTATTTATATAGGTTAGTAAAGTTATTATTTAGAAGTAGGAATTATAGTATTATTATATTAATATATAATTCCTAAATCTATTAAGCCTAATAGGAACTAGCTACTAGTCGAGTTACTAATATAATATAAGGTTATATAGTTATTATCTATATCTCGTTACCTCTAGTTACCTCTATATTATATAACTATATTATATAATTATTAATAACTATAGCTATATTAGTAATAAAATATATAATAAATTTAAAATAAGCTTTTTTAAATCTTTTTATATTAATAATATACTAATTTAAAATAGAATAAAATCTTTAAAAAATTATTAAAAAGGAAATAACTAAGCTTTAAAAATATTATTTTAAAATAAATATTTCAGATAATAAAAATAAAGCTTTATATTTAGTTCTTATTCTTAATTTACGAATTAAAAAAATAGATCTAGTTAAAATTAGCTTAAATTCTAGTATAATATCTAATATATATAATAGATTTAAAACTAATTATAATATATAAATATGTATTTAATTTTAAATTAATTAATTATTAATTCTTTTATAAATATAAATAAGATTATTTAATAATTAATCTTTAAATATCTAATTCCGATATATTTATAAATTATTTAAATAAAAATAAAATAAAATAAAAATTAATAATATATTTAAAAAAAAATTATATATATATATAGAAAAATATATAAAACTTATTTACTTTACTTTAAATTCTCTTAAAAACCATTATTTCCTTTATTATATATATTTTTTATATAAGTACTAATTTAGCCCTAGATTTAATTACTTAATTATTAGAAAATTAATTATATTAGATTTCTTATATTATTTCTTATAATAAGAAAATATTTGAAAATATTTATTTTATTTATTACTAGTAAGCTTTTCTTCTTATAAGAGGCTCTTATTAATATTAAATTACGTAATTAATTTAATAAAAGCACTTTTAAAAGAATTATATATTTTAAGAGCTAGAGAATTTTTATAAATAAGAAAGAAGAAATAAAAAAGGTAGAAAAAGAATAAAAGGTAAAGGGAAAAAAAGATTTCGAGCCGAAGAATTAGTTTTTCCTATCCGAAAAAGCTTAGTTTTATAGTATTATATATATTTTATTTAATGGCCTTATAATTATTTAAAGAAAATAAAGAGAATTTATTATTTATATAACTTTTATATAACTTTCACGTAATAATTAGAAATAATTCATTATAATTAATTATAATTTTTCTAATAAATCTTTTTACTTTTTGAAAGTCGATAATTAAATTATAATTAATTAATTACCTTCATTATTTTTTGATACACTGGATGGACCTTCTAACAAGCTATTATAATAAAGAGTCACCCTTCAAGCAATAAGGGACACCTCAACTGCTGCGAGGAAGTTCCTCACTTCAATCTTTCCATATGCTTCCTCTCCAAGATTGACTGTCGAATACGAAGTTCTTGCGGTCCGAATGCCACGAATTTAGGTCAGAAAGATTTGAACATGATGCTTGCTCTGACACTGAACCTTCCAGTTCGAACAGTAAAACCTTTGAGGGTGGGGGACCAATTATCACGTATGGCAGATCAATTCCTTTGGTACATTGAACCGGCCATATGCATTATTGTATTATTCCTACCCTCAATTGAGCTTTCGTCCCCCGAGTTAAAATATCTCGAACCTCTTTATGGTCGGCCGTTTCTAGGTCAATGTCTCCTAGGGCGACCTGGACGTACTCCCTCGAACTCCGTCCACTCAAAATCTCCTGGTCATCGCAGCTCAAGAACAGATGTGATCCATCACTAAGCTTATAGCTAAGAACATCTTCCAAAAGGTTTTGAGACTCTAGCTTCTTGTGTCTGTTTAGCAAAGAGTCGAAGAATTCGCGCTGCTGGAAGTCCGTCTCAGTCAAGTCGTACACAATCGATACATTAAACGTTTTCCAATCCTTCATCGCTAGAATGAGTCCGTATATTTTCCCACTTCTCGTATTACGGACTGTGAAGGCAATAGAATGCCCAAAACGGTCACCCTCTTGTGATAACTGGAGGAGGGCTGTGTAGATTCGCTCGCCAGGCTTATGCTCAATCTTGACGTCCTCTCCATCCTCACCCCAGAAACCTCCCACTTCTACCCCGGCCTTGAGCGCAGCTGCACAGTTGAGAGCAATAGGGACGTAGTATCTGCCTTCGCAAGATTTGCTAGGAAGCGTGGGCCGAGGGTTAGATATGAGGACATCGTTAACTGACCAACCCGTCAAGGGGCTGAAAGTCTCGTCAAAATTCTTGTCAAAATCAATCACTTGAAGATCGCGAGCCATGTCATCTGAATCATAATTAATATCTGGGACGAGACGTCGATATCGCCCAAGCCCAGTGCGAGCAAGAACGATCATGACGGCTCGGCTTTTGCTTTCTTTGGGATTGAAGATGCCGAAAAGGGTCTCGAAGCGGGGTTCCTCGTTTCGGAAGAGCCGATCTTCTTGACCGAGTGGTCGCATCCATAGTTGGACACACATAGAGTGCGGAGACATTGGCTTGAAGAATTTTCGGATCCTGAGGTCCTCAGGTCTCATGCACTCAATGTATCCTAATCCTTTGAAGCAGAGTGGAGATGGGGCGAACAAATTGATCTCCTCATCCTTGCTTCTGAGAAGCTTTAGACTGCATCAGTTAGCTCACTAGCACCTCAAAAGTGCGGAGGCGACTAACTGTGTGTCCCAGGGCAGAAATAATGCTTTCCAGGCAAAGATGCTGTGGTCAGAAAACGTCTGGAAAATCATTACCTGTAGTCGAAAGAAAGCGTTCTGTTCGCCTTCGCCGTAGAGGATGGGCATGTTGACACCGAATATACCTAGAAGCGAGTATGCTCGGTCCTCTGGTCTCGTAGTCTCTCGATCCGCCGCCCCTGCAGGTCCAGAAATTAGCTTTAGACTTCTAGTTGACAAGAAAATGGGCAACCAAGCTGCTGAGCTGACAGTAATCTAAAATCTTATTTCCCCAGAATAATGCAGAAGAGTGGACTTGACAACCAGAGACTTACATGATATCCTTGCTGCAACACTCAAAGAGTGTAATTTCTCTAGGCCATTCCTTTGGAGTATAGTCTTTTCAATGCCAGTAATCTTATGTAATTCATCTGCTAACTCTGATCGGATTCCGAGAAAGCTCCAGTCGCCCTGGTAGAACAAAACGTCATTCGGCGCTAGCAATTCTTGTAGAGTCCATCCCCGCCTGAACCAAGCCGAATGCCGCGGGTGTCCAGCAGTTGGATCCTCTGAATCGTTCCCCCAAATTTGAGTGACATCTGAAAGATAGGCAATACACAAAGTGGCACATTGATACCAAGCAAACATTGAATTGAGCGATTCAGATAATTCGGAGCTGCTGCTCGTGTCGATGCAACAAGTATCGATCCAAACGTAGGAAATGCCGAATTGTTCTGCAATTTTACAACAGCCTAATACTTTTGACCACCCGTTTGGCTTAATTGCTTGAGATGGATGAACGTGGACCACCGATTCAGGCTTGATTATATCCATTGATATTCGAACACTGGATTCAGCATTGGTTGAGGCTGATAGGTCCTTCATCGTATCATATGGCGCCTGGGTTTGCGCTTCCGTACTAAACTTTCGACAAAGAGCTTCTAGTCGCCGTTCAGTCTCTTCAAGTTTCTTCTGCAGTGTGTGTAATTCCCGGGCCCCAGCCTTGTCCCCAACGTCCTCGAACAACACCTCGTCATCCTCCCATCTATGAGATAAGATGGCATAGCTAGGTGCAACGTCCGCATTATGAAACCATTCGAGCTTCAGAGTTTTGACATTGAGTAGCCGCATGCTGTCGATGATGGAAAGGCTTGAGAGCTTGCTCTTGAGAACGACAAGGAGAATGAGGTGGAGTGTGGCTGTGAGGCCGCAAATTCCTTCCCTGCAAGCCACACAAGCGCCGTGGTTGACGTCCTTCCAATAACAACAGGCCTGGGTCCAGGGATTGTTAGCCAACACCCGGTTAGAATGTATCAAAGCTCGGTGAGTCGATGTGGGCCGATAACGTTCCGTTTCAAAAAGCACGAAACTGAAGGCCGAAAATTTGACTTGTTAAGAGTCGAAACGATATCTGCTAAAACGGGCGGTTATCGGTAGCTACAACTGTAAACAATCATCGTGATTAGAGAGTGCGAATTCGTTCTCATCGTCCCATAGTTGCCAGAAGGGTGCGTAACTGGAATTGTTACCCGATGAGTAATCTCGCCATCCACAGTCCACTACTCATATCTGCTATTATCAGATATTTCCTGCCACACCCTGTTCATCATCAATGCAAATAATGCAAATTGTGTGCTATCAGAAGAAGTGTCATCTCAATCAACGAACTTTGGTTGCACAATGATGCTTACTTAAAATAGATTCTGTAATGAAACGAAGACGGAGGGAACAATTGACAAAAGAGCATCCAACAAGCAGATTTCACGAGGGCAAGAGTGATCCAGTTCATACTATAAACTGGTTCCTTCCTGTCGAATTCTTGTTCGCAGCGCAGACCATTAGGAGAAGGAAGTGCAAACTTACTATTTCCATCTTCTCTGCACAGAGTTTTTGCTGAGGGGTCCAAGGCGACCACGAAGCGAGACGACTCCATCTGATTCGCTCGCTTTGACTATCCTTCAGTGTGTACAGCCGCAGCTGTAGGGCTGATTCATGTGCTGACACGTGCCCATACTATCACGGTAATCACAGAATCTCCACAATCGCCTCAGCTACGCCAACTCCCAGTCTCCCACCAAATTCAACAATCATTCCCAGTATGTACAAGAGTACGGTCGTGCCTCTCCCATTGGTGCATTAGCTCGTGTGTGTTTTATAATGTGGCCCTTTGAGGAACCATTGATCTCGAACAGATCGCGGGGGGTTACATCTGGTGATCCCACTAGTGATCCCAACGTCTCCTATGATCACCGTTCTTCATTAGATACAAACAGTGCGTCAAAGAATTAATCACATTAATCATGGTTAGGTTAGGTTAAAATATAATTAACGTAATTCGGGTTTTTTTGATTAGGTTAGGATAATTAATCTAATTAATCTGTTACGTGACTATAGTAAATTTACTTTTACTTAATAATTATTAAATAAGTAAGTTACTTATTCAGCAGCCCTAATTAAACTAAGGTAGGGCTTATATAGTAATAGCTAAATACTCATTTTCTAATTATAAATTAGTTACTATCCTCAAAATCTTGATTTCCCCCTAACCTTTAGCTTGCTTACTAAGTAATACTATCCCCCCCCTTAAATAATTACGAGTGGGTCCTTGGTAACGCCACACTGAAACTTCGTCAGATCCCCGAATTAGGAAATATCAGGTGCTTTCGAGAGCCGCTATTCGCTATAGACCCTCGATTACGTGCCTTTAGTGGTGTGAATCGTGGCATGATAGTGTGGCGAATATTGGACCCACTCGTAATTATTCATGGGAGGGGATAGTACTACCGCCTAATTGGGTGGCGAGGTAGCGCCAGAGCAGGAGCAGGCGGGAGCATTACCCGATCTGGCTAGTTTTATCACGTTAACTGATCACGTGCGCATTAATCATAATTAATCTAATTAATACGGGAATAAAATATGATTAATGAGTTTTTTTTCGTGAATAGATTAGATTAATGGCCATTAATTTAATCTAATTTATTCATTTGATACACTGGATACAAACGAGATACAAGGCTTTTTTTCTATACACCTCAAATTACTCTAAACTTGCAGCTTTCGTGCCATAGCTGATTTGTACCAGTCGTTATGATGGGAGACCTTATTAGACAACGCGCGTTATACCAAGACCCAACAGAGCTTCCCCTTAACCCGAGCTACGCGGGTACGGATCTCTTGGGTACTGAGGTAATGAGATGAAGATAAATTCTGTTAAGGGTCGATTCAGAAGTTTCTATTCCACAGAGCATTTATTGTGTTACATTCAAGGTGTGGAATTCTTTCGGCCTAGGTTTCATGTTTACTTGAGGAAATTCAATCTTGAGTCACCTGGCAAGTTGAAAAGCTAATGCAGGATATCTAGATTTGGTCTCTAATCTTTGAATAAGTATGGATCTCCTTTATTCTTATCTGCTGTTTGGCTTATATTTGTTAGGTGTATCGAGTGTTACCAAATATTTCCGAGTTACGCCTAATCTCGAAAAGGTTCAACGAAATCATTACTCCTTTTACGTTTCGTAAAGCTAGGTATGGGAGATCTTCGTATTTGATCCTTTCATGGACCTTACTACATATCTGACAAATTCCGTCCCTCTTTCCCATATATCTGAGCCAGTAGAATTGGCGGATTTCTCTCTTTTATCTATATTCGATTTTTTTTGCACGATTGACTTTATTGGAAAGTAATCGATTTATTGATGGAAAATCGATATATTGGAGTTTGACAATCTGTAGAATGACTAGATACAGGAGAGTGAAGAGTAAAAAAAAAGGAGAGGAAGAAATCTAAAGTATAGTTCTTATATACCCACTAGTGGGTGGCGATTTCCTCTAGTATATTATAAATCAAATAACTCATATATATTAGTGAGCGTTCCCTGAGCTTCCATAGTAAGCTATTCCATAGGCTTCTATAGTAAACTATTATAAATGAGAGTGGCGAAGCTAATATTAGTAGTTAAACCTGGTACTAGAAGGACTAGTAAGCTAGTACTAATTTAATATACCTCCTTCTTATAGTCGAGGTTTGATATTAGTAAGGCTAATAAGCCCCAGCTTTGATTATAGTAGTTCAAAAGCTAGTCTAGGGAATGGTTTGGTAAGAATATCGGCCGTTATTTCCCTTATAGGTATATACTTAAGATTAATTTCCTTAGTATTAATATAATCCCTAATAAAATAATATCTAATATTAATATACTTGGTTTTTTGCGAAAATCGGGCGTTTATAGCTAGATCCATAGCTCCCTGAGTATCCGTTTTTACCTTGATTAAGCCTATAGGAATTAATATTTCCTTAAATAGTTACTTTAGTTATAAAGCTTCTCTAATTACCGGTATTAGGGTAATATATTTAGCTATAATAGTAGCTATAGTAATAGTTTTTTGCTTAGTACTAGCCTAGCTAATAGAACCACTAAATAGGGTAAAAACCATACCGGAGGTTAATTTGCAATCCTATAAATCGCCTCTGTAATTAGTATCTGAGTATCTAATAAGCCCTTTATTAGACGAAGCGCCATATAAAATGCCCATATTAAGTAATTCCTTAATATATTACATTATATACTTCTATATAGTATTATATAAAGCTTTAGGATACAAATTGGAATATTCTAAATAGCCTGTAGCAAAGCAGAAATCGGGTCTTAAAGCTAAAGAAGGCTATATAAGTAATCTAGTTTGACTTTAATATTCCGTAATATTAATATTAGTTCTATTAGGTACTATAGGTTTGGCTATTGAAGTAGTAATTAGTATATACTCTTCTATTTTATATCTTAGGAATATGTTTATAAGATATTAATTTTAGTATAAAAATACTGAATTATTTCGTAAATATATAATTTTCATATCCAGAAGCGTTTTGATTTTTCCTATATTAGTTATATTAAACTTCTAATATAATTAAGCCTTAATTCTATTAATATAAACCATGTTTTTTCTAATAATAATTATATTATTTATATAGATAGTAATTAAAAAAGGTAGTTAATTAATCTCGTATTCCTAGTAAATATAAAGTACTGGATTACTAAGTAATTACTAGAAACTAATAGAATAGAAAAATTAATTAATTACCTAATACTAAACCCTAGGGGCTTATTTTAGGCTATAAATACTCTTTTACAAGCGGTAAATAAGGTTCGTTTCTTTAATAAAACCAGGGAGTTATTTTATATAGTATTCCTCTTCTAATTCTCTATATAGAAATATTATTTAGATATCTATTTATTAGATATAAAGCCCATATTTAGTTACTAGGGCTAATATAATTCGAATAATAGAAAGTCTGGCTATAGGAATAAAGGTTTTAAAGTAATCTATACTATATTCTTGAGTATAGCCTTATACTACGAGCCTAGATTTATAGTATCTATTAGACTTGATTTTAAAGATCTAGTAATATCTAATAGTTTTTTGGTATTTTTATATTACTAGATCCCAGGTATAGTTCTATAAATAGAAATCTAGCTCTTTCTTAATTAAAGGTCTCTAGAAATAAGTATCTGGGCTAGAGAGAGCTTCTTTAATTAATAATAGAATTTTGGAAGCTTCTATATTCTGGTTAGTAACTAGTAAAGTATAGTAATTTACTAATTCTCCGGTAATTCTAGTTAATTTTGGATGTCTAGGGAATAGTTTACTCTTAAAACTAACTATTTTAGGTGCCTCCTGATTTGTAAAATCCTGTTTAGAAGTATTTGCGGATACTATAGGTTCTTGGTTCTCCCTAGAAAGTAGTTTAGGGGGCTCGCTTAGGTCAGGAATATCCGAAATTATATTATATAATATATTTTTAGTAATATTTCCTTTTATATTAGAGTAATTTTCTTTATTATTTTCTAATAAATTATTAAGCTATTAATTTCTAGTATTAATAATAATAGTATTTCTGTAATCTATATCTAGATTATCCGAATTATTAGTAAAACCATTATTAGATTCTATAGTAGTTCCTACTAGTTTTCTATATAGCTAGGATACTGGGTTTAGAAATAAGATTCCCTTAATATATTCTTTAATAATATAATAGTTAGAAATAATAAATATCCGCTTATACGGGTTCTAAATTCGGTATCTAGAACTACTATAGCTAGTGAAAATGCCCCTAAAGGCCTTGGCTATATACTTATATTATAAAGCTATTTCTTTAGGTATATAAATATATACTAAGGAACCGAATATCTATAGATTAGAAACGTCCGGTTTAATCCTATAAAATGTTTTATATAGGGTTATTCCTATTTTGGGTAGGTAGTATTAATTATAGGCATAAATCCTATATATAGCGGCTTTTTCCCAAAACTCATATAGTAGGCCTAATTATTCTAGTTTCATATACTCTATTTTAATAATTATATATATACTATATTTAGAAATACTATTCTATTTAGGTATATAGGTAGTAGTTAGTTCCAAACGAATTCTCTTTAATTTGTACTAGTTCTTAACTTATTCTAATACAAATTCTGGAGTATTATTAAGATATAGGCACTTGACTTTATTTCTAGTTTGGGTTTTAGAGAAGGTTACTTAATTCTAAAGATCTATAAAATAGCCCTTTCTATCCAAATTATATATTATTATATAATATTTAGTGCCTTTATAAATAGTAGAAAGTATATAGGAGTTTTTACTAAGAAATAGAACCCTTAATAACTCCTATAAGTTAATTATAATATACTTTCCTAGGAATAGTTTTTCCGGATATAGTTTAGTTATACTAGCCCTAGTAATCTTGCTTATATTATATGAATTATAATTAAATAGGTTTTGGTTCTTGAATTAAAGCCTATAGATATGGTTTATTAATTCCAGGATATACTTCATATTTAGGTATCTATATTACTAATACTATGTTTCCAGGGAGGCTAAAGCTTCCGATTTTAATACTTTTAGAGTATACTCTAAACCAAATTAGTTAAGCTAATATAGTCCTATAGAGGGGCTAAAGGTACTAGTTATAATAGTAGTTCCTTTATTAATAATTTGAACTTTTCTTTTGGAAAAATTAATATCTCTTCCTACTTATATAATTTTGGGAATTAATAATAAGGAGGTATTCCGGAATTAGGGGCTATAAAGTATATTATTAAGCTATATTTTTAGCTCCGGTTTAGTAGCCAAAATAATAGTTTCTTTTCCTCTAATAAGAACTATAGATTTATCTCTAAGAGTAATTGAAATGGGATTAATTTCTTTATAAGTAATAAAAAAGTCTTTATTTCCCGTAAAATGGTCTATAGTACCTGAATTAATATATTAGATATTCGTGGAATTATTATTAAGTAATTAGTTACTAAGAAAGATACTAATAGTCGATTTTTGAGTAGTATATGCTTTCTTATAAATAGGTAATTAGGAGGCTAAAGGTACCTCCTAATTAGTGGAATTAGAGTTTTTTCTATTGGAATTAAAATAATCCTGGGCTAATTTATAGGTAATATAGTCTTTAATATTGTACTCTTTAAATTTGTGGAATATATAATAAATATTAGGATCCCTAGCTTGCTTTGGTTTTTTATTATTTAACTAATTATTTCCTTGGGTAGCTAGTGCCTTAGGAGTAGTATCCGGGTTAAAATTAGAGGTTTTAGCCCTAAGCTTATCCTCTTTAGTAGAAGCGTCCGCTTTAAGTAATTCCAGCTTTAATTTATTAATATTAGCTCTAATAGAATTCAGGAGGGGCTTATATAAGTCGTATTCCTTTAGTAATCCGCAAATTAGATATCCGGATACGGAAACGTCCGAAATCGACCCGTTTACTTCCTTAATTTTAGCTACTTTATAACTAATGCGGTTAATAAAGTCGTCTATTCCCATAGTAGTATTAAATATAATAGTTTCTATTTATTAAAGGTATAGGGCTTCCTTTTGAGCTTTTAACTATTTAGCTTTGACTTGAATCTCGCTCCAAACCAGGTGTGCAAGCTTGATTTCCTTGAATTATTGCCAGGTATCGTAGGTAATAAGTAAGCTTAGTACTACTCTGGCGATTGCTAATTGACGAGCAATCGTTTTATTGTCTTTTTGGGACGAAATAAGGGCAGGAGCTTAATCAGGATCGACGAATTGCCATAGATCTTCGACTATAAAGAGGTTTATAGCGTCGTCTATCCAGGAGTAGATATTGTCGTCCGAGAGAGGCTCGATTTTGGTACCTTTATAGGTGATATAGATTGATTTTTTGGAATCCGGTATGTTGGATTTTGCGGAGAATTTCTGACCGAAAATGGCTGTGTTTTTGGCGAATTCTGCTGATGCGAAGCCGAACTAATGGGTGGAATTCACCAAAATTGACGATTTTGATGATTTTTGGAATGGACAAGTGAGTACTAAGGTCAAGTGATGCTTGGATCGCTTAGTAAAGCACTAGCCGGGCTCAGAACCTATTGGAAAGTAATTAATTTATTAATGGAAAATTGATATATTGGAGTTTGACAATCTGTAGAATGACTAGATACAGGAGAGTGAAGAGTAAAAAAAAAGGAGAGGAAGAAATCTAAAGTACAGTTCTTATATACCCACTAGTGGGTGGCGATTTCCTCTAGTATATTATAAATCAGATGACTCATATATATTAGTGAGCGTTCCCTGAGCTTCCATAGTGAGCTATTCTATAGGCTTCTATAGTAAACCATTATAAATGAGAGTGGCGAAGCTAATATTAGTAGTTGAACCTGGTACTGGAAGGACTAGTAAGCTAGTACCAATTCAACAGACTTTCATGGCTCAGTAATACTGATCTCGAGATTACTCAGGCTTCCCCTCTCTGATATACGGTGTAAAAAATACAATCGAACACCGGGATATATGCTATCGCATTCCATACATATTGCGATCGACCGTCCACTGGACTGGAACCGTGCAAAAAACTTGCTGTTTGAATGTCAAAAGTTGACGGATTTGGAGTAAGTAGTAACGTGGCCACTGAAGCACAGAAGGAGGCCTAACAAAGGACTAGTAGACTTATCTTCGATAAATATATCTCGAGGGCCCCTACGCCGGGCGCCCAACCCGAGGAGACATTTGATCGAGGCCAACGCCGGATATCCACATTTCCAAATATCCACACTTCTAAAGGAGCCTTGGTCCTGGCTTGATTTATCTTTGGAATTTCAAAACTCGTTGGTTGGGAAGCTGCCAAATCTCCGCTTTCATTATGATGTCCGGGTAGCTCGACCTTTCGTGCAAATGCGAGATCTTCCTATGATAAACCTCGTATCTCTCAAGCTACCAGATTCGTATTATTATGTACCAGAGGTTAGTAGGTCGCAGCAGGTGATTCTTGACTCACCCAACCTGGAAACCCTACACTGCTATCCAGACCACAGGCTCAGCCTTGATATGCATCGAAGCGGCAAGAAGTTCCCCGCGATTTGCGAAATGAAACTCGAAGCCGTTAGTAAATATATGAGCCCTGGTATTGTCCTACTCTGGGACTTCTCGAACTTATCCGTATTGAAGCTCTCGGGGGTCAACTTGAAAATCTTCTTTAAGGTTCTGCCCTTCGAGAATCAGGCTTAAAAGAATTTAGGGTTTGGGTATGGGATTACTGCACACAAGCAGAGTTATGGGTCGATGAATACCTGGCTCCTTGCATCGAAGCGATTGTGCGACTTGAAGTACTGGACATCCGATGTTCTCATCCCCACAAGCTACTCCCGGCTCTAGAGAAGCATAGGCTGGGTTTGCAGGTGCTGCGGCTCGCGCAATGTATTACTTTTCGAGCTCCACAGGACCACAGGTAACTGTTGACAGTGTGTCAAATGAGTAGAGTAGAGTAGAGTAGTGGGTCCTACTCATACTCTACTCAAGCTACTCATGAGTAGTATGACTAGTATGAGTAGTATCCACGTGATGGTCACACGTGATAGGCTAGCCAAATCAGGTAAGCCTCTTGCCTACTCTTGCTCTAGCGCTCTCTCACTACCCAATTAGGCAATAGCATTACTTAGTAAGCAAGCTAAAGGTTAGGGTCGAATTAAGATTCTGAGAAGGGTAACTAGTTATTATTATTAATAAAAAAATAGTATTTAGCTAATCTTATATAAGCCCTAACTTACCTTTACTAAGGCTATTTAATAAGTACCTTTATTATTTAATTATTATTAAGTAAAGCTTAATTAATAATAATCACGTGATGACTACTCATGCTACTCATATTCTACTCACGCTACTCATGAATATTCATGAGTAGCATGAGTAGCATGAGTAGTTCTTTGACACACTGACTGTTGAGGATATTGAGAAGCTGAGGACGATGTGCCCGTATCTGGATGAGCTGGTGTTGGATATCAAAGTCGCTGAAGATGCTGAAATATAGAAGCAGAAAGAAAAAGACGAGAAAGATTTAGAGTCCCACAGGGAACTGCAGAGGATATTGAACATGCACTCTTACATCAAAGTTTAGATGGCTCTGGCCAAGGAGATGAGACGTCGATATCAGATCCAAGATGAGATGGGAGAGGGGGGATCGGAAATGGGTTGAATACAAATAACGCCGCGGTTACGAAGAACACGAGCGTCATAATCAGTATGGCACTCTCGCGAAAGAACCTTTCTGCTATCCTAACGTAATAACCGTAGAGACCGGAGATTCTACTTTTACCAAACCTCTCCACTCTGCCCTCAGTCCAACGAATTCATTGCTTTACAGAGATACAGGAATATATTGATTTGACAATCTTCGACCGTCAATCAGCTTTCTCATAGTCGCACAACGCAACTCAAGACTAGGCTAGACCGGGCTATCACGCACATACACATGGCTCTATACACTAGTCGCTGCGATAGAGCGGTGCCTTAGCTATATACACAAGAAGGTCGCAGGAGGCGGAGCCTGAAAGAGTGTGATGACTTGGAGGGCAGTCTGGGACTTGATAGTTCCGTCGTGGTCCACAGCCACGGCAGTATCACGTATAAAGTTTAAGAACGAGGTGTGTGGAGGACCTCTTCTAGTCTTAATGCGGATCCTTCTAATCCCTCTAAGATTGAGTAGGTGGTAGTGAAGTATTTGAGAAAGTATGTAAGGCTATTTGATACTAAACTGAATATATTGACTCTGGTAGACTGCTTCGAGGCAGCGACCGCCGACAGGAACGGGCCAAACCCCAAATTACACTTTCACAACGATTTCCTCCGAATATCCACTAGCCGCCCCTTCATTTATTGTCGACTCCAACACCGTTCTATCATTTCAATTTCCTGGCATTTCTGCAACAAGCCCCTAAATAATCAATGTTCTCTCCTAGGGTTTCCAGCGGGTTCTCCTCGACGGCGTGACCACCGCCACGCCACAATATCTCTTTCACTCGGAGTTGACCGAATAACCTATTTCTCTCAGAGCTTCATGACCGTCGGACTCAGTGGTTCCGATATTGAACTTGCCATTGAGTCTCTCCTGAACCCCGACATACCCCTAGTACTGTGCAATTTCTTCTTCGCATCCTCAATCACTTTTGAGAGATAGTCAGTTCTTTCCTCCTGCTCCTCCTTTCCTCGCACCACCAATGGCGAACACTCAGGTAGTCCCCTCCCAGGATGGATATCCGTCTCTATCGTACGAGGCACCTGATCAGACTCTCGCAACCCTCTGCCAGGCAGGCCTGCTACTCCGCGAGCTACGACCCGTGGAAAGAGAGTGAAGATTCGAGGATGGGTTCTAGACATCGTTTCATCGTAGTCGCCTAATGGCGATGCTGGGTCAAACTTCTGGGACCGCCACTCTTCGCGACGTGCGCGTTCTAACAAAGGACTGACAATGATTTGTAACTCTCCAGTCTGAGAATCGTTCCAAATGTCGATGGCCGAATTCGCAAGCCCAAGGAGGCTCATTCGAAGTTCCTCATTTTGGGACGAACTGACGAGCGGGGAGAGGACGGAAAGAACCTTGGAGACGACACCCTCGGCTCTGGAACGAGTAGTGGAGGGAGATTCCCTGAGTTCCGAAGCCTCGGCCGGTAAAGATTGAAGAGCTCGCATCGTGAGAGCGGTCCAGACATTTACTACGCGTCCGCTGTGGCTAGATTTGTCCAACCCATCCGATATCTTGCTGAGGAGAACGTCCAATTTCGGGTGCGATTGTGTGAACTCGGAGCTGAGGGGTTTCCAGATATGTTGACACAGGGCATCAGAGATAATACGCTGAGCATGGGCAGTTCGGAGGTCACTTGAATCGTCGGAGTCATCAATCGGGACGGAGCCAAAGCAGGGATCTGCTTTAACCAGTTTTTCATGTACCTTTTCCAGGTCCTGATACGAAGTAAGTAAAAGAGGCTGATCGTGGCAGAGGGTTTACTTTTCCGTCTATGTCATTGAAGTATCTCAAAGAAATTCCTTCGATCCGGCTATATATTTCCGCGAATCTCTGCTTGCTAGACCGTTGTCAATATGATGGCCCTTCTATTGACTGTGGATAGGTCAAAATACATACAAGTAATCGTCTGATTTAGGGGTTAATGCGAACTCCTTTTTCATCATTTCAAGCTCCTCTTCCAGGGCCTGCTTGTCTCTCTTAACCGAATCTTTTGCTCTCTCCAACACATCGCATTGCTCAGTGATTTTCTTTAGCTTCTTCCCTTGGTTCTCGGCTGTCTTCTTCTGCTTTTCCACTGTCGTAGAAAGTTGTCCTTTCTCAGCCTCTAGCGCAGTAACTCTCCTGTCATTCTCAGCTTTTTTTCGAGCGAACTCAGCTTCTAGCTCCTTCACGCGCTGTTCATACTCCTCGGTGTGTTGTGCTCTAAGCGTCTCAGCCTCACGGGTCAATTTGTGCCTTTCTTCTGCCGTTGCCATAGAGACTCTTTTTTCCAATTTTCCTTTCTCTTGATCCAGCTCATTTTTTTCTTCCTCAATCTTTACCCGTTTGCGCTCAAGGTCGTCCTTCGTTCTCTGGTCAAAGCGTGTCAACGTAGTAATCGTATTCTCTTGCCTCGTTAGCTCGTCATCTTTCTCTCTGCACTCGTCCTCCAGCTGGTTGAGCCTCTTGCTCGTTTCAGCCACCATATGAAGATCACCTATATGGAATATGAACTTGTCCTGTAGGTCCTTGATTGCTTGGTGGGCAGCTCCCATACTTTCAACAGTCTCGTGGACCGCCTGGGTCCACGGGCCAAGATCAAGTTGGTATTCGCGTTGCGAGGTGTCTCTGCTTTGACGAGATCTTCCGCCGTTGATCTTATTACTTGCGCGGTCATTGCCATTGCCATCCCCGCGTTCGCCGACTTCCCCAGCACCGACTCCATTGCTGCTGCTATTGTTTGAAACATCCAAGTAGTTTTCTTCGGTTTCACTTGTTCCCTCATCTCTCCTGTTTTCATTTTGTCGACGCCTCTGTCGGGGCATGGTAGCTGTGTGTCCCTAGTTTATGCCACAACACCGTTAGCTGGACTATTCCTCACCACAGAACAGCTTGCCTTGCAGCAGGAACGTAATTCGATGGCTTACTCGTAATTGAGTCGGAAACGCCCTTCCCTCTAGACTAGTCCTCCTTCTCCCAAGAGGGTCTTTCAACCGCCGCCTGATTGATCCGAGCCGCGCCTCTAATGGTGAAAGCTCGCGGTTTTTGTCTATGGAAAAAGTGCGATTTAACATTCAGCTCATAGAGAGCAAATCAGTGGATCCGATTCGCTGAACTTTTGAACATGGGATGTGGCGATAGTATGACAATTGCGAACGAATAGTTGTCTGTGAAGTAGGTTAATGAGTTCGAATCGCAAATGGGCTGCCGATGTTCTTGTATCGTCGAGCAAACGCCTTAGATGGTCCCTCAGATGGTTCGCAGTGACACGCCGCACTCTTTAGCTGCATCTTCCTCAACTGGTCACTCTCCACATTTCCTTGCTCTCTACCAAACCTTTACCGAGCCGCACAAACTCGAATCATTTGACGCGGCTGCCAATGCAGTCCACCTGACGTGTTGCCGCATCACTGGCTATGGTTCTATCTCTACAATTCACATGCGTGCATCAACTTCACCGGTCTGTCAGGCGGGGTTTCTGATACGATTACCATCATGCTTCAGATTTGCTTCTTTTTCCCTATTTGAATTACCTACAGGTGCGTGTGGGGCGGGCGGGAAATCTAGTTCGTTTCTTGGAATGTTGTTCGTTCAGCCTTGATTTCTTGGTGATATGCAGGGTGATGACAGTTTGTTAGTGCCGGGGGGTGTTAAACTACTTGAGGCTCTGAGTGGTACTGTAGTGCGGGGTTGTTCGGTTCTTCTCTCCTGCCACGAATTAATTCTAAGTCAATGTTTCAGATTCGCACATTCTGTCAGCCACAATTCAGTCGGCCTCAATCTAGTCGGCCCCAATCCAGTCGGCCTCAATCCAGTCGGCCACAAACCCGTCGGTCACAGACCACTTGACCACAAACCTATCCAGTGAACACCCACAATTCCTTAAGAAATCACCAATGAGTAACCATTCGCAATGTAACTGCTTATTGCGTGGGGTGGTACTGGTGAGGTGGGTATCTGGTCATGGCTGGTCAATGGGTGGTGATGTTCCCCTACATCACGTGAGATCGGAGGGAATAACATGCATTACGCCGACCAGATGCACCAAAAGTAATCTTCAGCGCTGCACGGGTCATTGCAAAGAAGGCCGCACCCACGACTGGAACGTGAAGCCGTGAAATGTTAGATTTGCGGATCAGGATCGGGAATCTCGGCTGGATATCTACTCTGACTCCCCGAGTCACGTGAAGCTCTCCCGGCGATAATTTGGGGTAGGGATTCCCATTTTTAATTATATAATTATATAATAACGTAGTCAGCTTATAACGTATAATATCGCAGTCCCGCGATATACGTTATACATAAAGATGAGGATAATTCAAGTATAAAGTAAGTACAAACTTAGCTTCAAGTACTACCTTCTCAACGGACCCCTGGCCCCCGGAAATTGGGGACATTTGGTTAGGTCCACTGTTTAGTAAGAAATGTATTGTGTATAATTTCGTAGTCTATGTTATTACAAGTGTTGTAGTTGCGATCTCCCAATCGGGCGTAGCGCGATCGCTTCGTATAGCCGTGCTCTGTGCACATATATTCCAGAGCTTCCACACCTCGCTTTGAGTTCTTTTCTAGCTAGCTTTAATCAATTCCTTTAACCTCAGTGCAACTACCTACTCTACTCAATTCACGTGCATTAACAAGTTATGTAATGTAGTCCCAAATCATATAAATTTGACATCCCTAATTTGGGGCTTCTAATTGGTTCCGTGCAAAGCTTGCCGAGGAAGGCTTACTTTAGCCCACAAAGGCCCCTCCCTGGTTCCTCGCTTGCTTTCATAGGGCTGAGGGTGCAGGGGCTACAAAGCAACCTTTCAAGTTCACACACACCATTCCTCCAACTTCACCAAAGATACATCATATTCTTCAAATCCACTGAGAGCTTCAAACTCTGCTCGTGCGACTCCTGAACTTGACATAACAAGCCTTGGGCATCACACCTACACCTCACACCGCTGTCGCCGCAAGATGGCCGAGGTCAAAGGCACAGCGAAACGCAACGATGAGGACATCCCACCTTCGAGAAAATCTCCGACTATCGAAGACCGGAACATCAACGAGGCAGCTATCTGTGTGCTTCGACTTGACACAGAAAGGATTTCTACTCAAGGAATCGGAGTCTCAGTCAGGCTGGGCAATAAGTCAGTCAGTCAGTCAGTCATCAGCTAAAGATATTTCCTAGCTGATTAGCTTAGCTTGAGAGCTGATAAGTTGCTAATCAGCTATACTTTATATATAATCTCTTACGTAAAAAAGTTAAGTTATTAAACTATTATAGAACCGGGTTCTAATATAGTTCTATTTACTATTATAGGGCAACTTTTCTCTCCTCTAGCTATACAAAGGTACTCCTTTATAGTTAAGGCTTATTATTATTTATACCTTGCTATTGTCACGTGAGAGCCCGTGGAGAGGTAGGGAGAGGCAGAATTTAAGGGGCTTAGGGATGAAAGTCCTTAAAATTCAGCCATTTAGCGCCCGAACCCCTTATATTCTTGCTTACTTATTAATATCTATGAGCTTATCAGCTACTTATAAGCTAGGAAATTTCTAGCTGGCTGAGTTATAGGATTCCCAACTGTTAACTGACTGGCTTATTGACCACCCTGGTCTCAGTTATGGTCTGCGCTCACTCACCCTTCCCGCCACACTGCCACTGCCCAACCCACAGCTCGGTGGAGGTCGCGATCCACCGCTCCTGAATGTGAAGCACCTCCAGGATTACTGCAACAAATCTACCGTGATCTACTCCAACGGCCGCTCACACGATATCGAGCCCCTTTACGACTGCATCTTCGAGCGATGGTCACAGGGAGACGTCCACAGACTAGACATCGAGTTTGGGCGCTTTTTCGCAAAGCTGGTCCGTTTCGAAGAGGAAACCACTACACAGCAGACTATCGTGATGCACGAGACCTTGATTAATGCCTCCTAAGCGGCCCATAGCGAAGGTTTCGTCAAGGAGAACAACTGGGACTACTGCCGCGACAACCGCTTTATCGGCGGCCAACAAGCCGAGTTCTTCAAGATCAAGCCTCTCTTGCGTGCTCTCGTCATCACCATCATTGAAATAGGAATCCCAAGTGAATCTTACAATGTTGAAGAACAAAAGGTTCGCCTGGTAAGAACTGGGGTCACAACTGGATTAAGCCAGCCTATCACCTTTGACGGTTTAACGCATCTGAGTACGATTAGCGAGAATGAGGTTATCACGACATCGCCGGAAGCTATTCAATTTGCCAAGGATTTGGATCGACGAGAGGAGGTTCTAGCTCCAAAAAGACACGTGAGGGTGATAGAATATATGCTGGGTCACCCGAAAGTGCTGTTCGAACGTTGGCACATGAGGAAATATTCTGTCTTTGCGAAATGGGCGGGATCAGATGAAGATCTCCCGGTTGGACCCTCGACGGATTGGTGGAAGGACGGTTTAGTGAGTGAGGGATCGACACCCAAACTGCTACTACCATAACATCACGAGAGTCACCGACCAAGAGGGTCGAAATATTGTGACATTGTCGGCGCAGTGAACAGCAAGGACAAGACAAGACCCCCAAAGTAAAAGCCCTAGGCAACCAAGAGACGCGGGAGATGGTGGTGCATGATGAGTGGCACGTTGTAAGATAGCTGAAATATGCAATGATTGGGAATGCATTAGCGATATTTTAAGTATGAGAACCGGTATCTTATCGTGATTCACTGATTGCGTGTGGTTTCTCACTTGAACCTTGTAATCTGCACGATGAGTATAAAACATCAAGAGCTTTCCCTGTCGAGTGACTCTTTCGTTGCGTTTCTACTCCCTGGATCCTTGTTAGCTACTCGAAACTTACACTCGTTATATCTTTGCTGCCGGCTGACACGGATGTATCGTTGTACCCGGCACTAGAAGACATCATGATGAAGGGTCTCTACATTGTGAATTCAAATTCGGAAGGCTCTTTGGCGCGCCGAGGGGAGATGGATCGCTGGACCTTTTGAGCAGTTGCCTATAGTTATCTACATGAAGTTAGTGAGTAAAAGTTTGAAGACCCAACACTTTCTCTATTCACGAAGAGAGAACAGCATGCTCCTATCTAACCCAACTTCGCCTCGTACTGACCAAGTACCCGCGGAATGTTTTCTGCAAGGAAAGAAAGAGAGATCTACCCAGGAAATTGGATAGTGTGGAGCCAACTGTGGATTGATCCGAGGGCATCACGAATAGTTTGATCCTGCTCCGGAAATATGAAGGGGGTGGAACCGAGTCTCGCTAAAATAGGGGCCGGAAATACGATTTACACCCAATACCCAATTCACTTGAAAAGTTAAGCTCTTCTTCCACAAGCAAATCTATAAGTATAAACTCATTTGGGATAACAATACCTAGTATCTAAAGACTGGGCCCGAGCTAAACTTTATTTCTAACCTACTGAAACTGCCCTTGTGCTTCTGCAACTCCTATTTTACTGTCCGAACTGCCTTGCTTCTATTGTCTTAGCCAATTTTCGGCTTCTCACCACCTTTCATTAAACAATAATCTCGAAATCAACGCCATCAAATCCCCAATGATGGGTCTACAAGCATCCCATAACGTACCCCGCGACATACTCACAACCTACACGCCAAGTTTCTCCTCCTCATATTCTCCTAAGTCCCGACGAAAACCTTTCTCGACCTCGTCCAGACCTGCCGTTCTCTCCGCAACATCATGAAACACGACGCTAGTAGGATATGCAACGGTGCGATATATTCTTGATTCCCGCTTGAGGCCAGGCTCCTGTAGTCGAAGCTAGAATCAGGCTGGCTTGTTCTCACCCACGCCAGAGTCAAGGCCGAGGAAGAAATATTCAGCAAACGGTATCTAAAACTTGCTGATCTCGTCGTCGAAAGGGATACCATCAAATGTTTTAGTTTGCTGGGAGAGATAGAGCAAGACTTGACGATTGGAATCAGGGTGAGCTCTCCTGGTCCACAATATCTTCATTTCCTGGAACAAGGAATGATGTGGTGAACTGTAAGGCTGTTCATGATGGTTACGATTTGTCCTCCGGAACTCGGGGACTTGGACTAGACTCGGAACCCGGGTCCAGAGCAGGCGGTTTTAAAGAGGCGGACGGTCTCCATTTGCTTTCGCCATGGTTGTGGACTAGATTGGCTTGGTAGAAAACCGTTTTGGACTTTCATGCAGCGTTTTAACAAGAAGATGGTGCGGATCAGGAGAAGACAGGTGCTACCACTGCCGAAGTGGCGGAAGAGGTTTCCTTGAGAGCTAGTTTGGTTCTACGGAATCGGTAGATTGAGAGTCAAGGAGGAGGTTGTAGATTGAAGGAGCGTTCCATTGCTATCGTCGATCGAGGACTTGGAGGATGATGGTTCATGGTGAACCAAAGAGCGGCATTGGTTTCAATGTCCCAAGTCAACTCGTGCCGTTCTAGCGACTGCCCTTACTAGTATAGTCCGGAATAAGGTCCATTTAGAGCCTACCAGCCTCTGACATCTTGGAGATTCTACAAATTTAATTTACTCAGCATCCATGTCTAGCTAAACATGAAGCCAAGGTCACGTGAATGTTTGTCATCAAGGATGTACACTACCTTTATTATTGGAAAGTGAGTGAGCGAATAGCCATTGAACCTAGAGTAACTTGAAACGAAAGTAACACTTGACAAACTCCTGGTGGACAGAAAAAGCAATACTCATTTCCAGTAACCTATATTAAACTTAGACGTTTATTTGGGCTCTTGAGGGGTAGGAACTGATGTTCTAGAATTTCTGAGAATATCCGAAGTGAGTAGATTTTAAATATACAATATTGATCGCATGTGTATATTTAGAGGGGAAGTAATTGCATTGTCGAACTTGACTTGGGACATCGAAAACGAGGGCCGCTTTTTCTATCGACTAGGAGGCAGGGTCAACTATTGATGCTTCACACAAAAACACATTACAAGGTTTAAATGATAAACTAGACGGGGAAAGCATGGGCAAACCGAGGCCAATGGTGCAACGAGATATGTAGATAAAAGTTCAACAAAGGGGAATCTTCTCATTATCATATATCATGATCTCATCTCATACTCATCATCTGATCTCCAAATTACCGACTTTAAGTTCCGCAGATGTTCACTCACACATGCCCCTTATCCAATATCGTCACATAATTCGCAGGGAACAGTCCCCGCTTCCCCATATACGTCCCATGAAACCAATCTCCATTAACATCCTTACACTCCTTCACGATCGCGCCCTTCGGGAACATCAACTCATCGTCCGCCCCCGGCGCCGGATACCAAGGCCAGGTAACCACACCAGTCATGCCTACACCTCCATCTGGTGGAAACGCCGTATCAGGAACTAAGCCAGGTGTGTGAGTTGGTGCAGTCTTCATCACGTCTGAGGTAACAAGCTTGACATGTGCATAGTCGCCCCGGCGATGCTTGCCATCGCCCCAGTACCACTTTATGAGCGAAGTGTCTGTGTGCTCTGTACTCATGTAAGGTTCCTGTATAATCCCTCTCCCGCCAACGAGGTCTTGGACGACAACACGGCGCCGTCCGCCATGATTGTCTTCGAAACCAACGATGACCATGCGGTGCCCTTGGAGACAGCGACGCCAGCCGTTGAAGCCATTTTCAGCGGAGATGCGGCGTGAGGCAACGAGTTTCGGGTAGCAGGTTGTGCAAATGTCGTAGTCGCCGGGTAGGGTGTTAGGGACTCTGCTGGTGCAGGAGAAGCAGTGGTAGCGTGTTGAGGAGGGTTGGATTGGGTGGCGGCAAATGTCGCAGGCTGTGGAGAAGGTGAGTGGTTTGAAGTTGCCGAAATTCATCACTCCCGGTCCGGTCAGTATGGATGCTGATGGTGGTGTTTGTTGGTCGTGGGTTGGCGAAAGTGGCGGTGCTGCTGATTCTGGTGGCTCGTATTTGAGGGGTAGCAATGGATGCGTGCAAGATTTCCCTTGGTTGACGCAAATATTACAGAAGCCCCAGTCGCCTCCATTGCAGAGATCGCATCTCCAATAACACTCATTCGTCCAGGCCAAGCAATTTGCGCAGAATGTCCCACTCTGCAATCTCTTCTCCGGATCTTCCGTTGTGAGAGTCCTTCTGCCATCAGCTCCACCGGGAGAAATTCTTGGTGGGACAAAACGGCTTGCCATGAGCATGTGAGGTGGTTCAAGGTCACCTGACTGATTCTGGCTCTCCCAGTTCGTCCGGGCTGCTGCATAGCTAAATCCATACCAGTGTAAACAACCTTTTCTTTTTCTGTAGCAATCTAAACAGATGTTGTAAGTTCCTTTCGAGCAAATGCCGCAATTGTAATGCAGTTCATACTCGATGTGTGGCTTTGCACATCTAGCACAGGATATTGAAGGCTCGTGATACAGCTCTTTGCGACCCCGGGACGAGCCAGAACCAGATGTTGGCCTAGTGCCGCTTGACACGGCAGTAGCTTTGTCAAATAGTGGCATGTGGGTTACCTCTCGTGGAGAAAGTGGAGTCGGCATCAGACTGCGATCGGCTTGGGTTTGTGATGGAGCCGATGAAGCCGTCGGGGAAACAAATATGTCTGCGGGAGGTGCAGCACGAGTCAGTCTCTCCGTAGAATGTGACTGTCCGGGAGGCTTCTCGGGTCGCACGCCTGATGTTCTTGGGCTCGAATGTGATGCTGACTGTGCAGGTGTTGGCGTATTCTCCATTCTGGCTCCTGAGGCCATTCTTGGGCTGGAGTTAAGTCCAGATTGTGACGTTCGAGGGCTCGCTTCAGGAGTGGGTAGCTCAGCATGCTGCTTGGATGGATCAGTTGTGCTCCTGGATGCAGAAGTTACCAGTGGCCGTGAAGGCAAAGTCATAGAATGTGGCCTGTTGCTCAAGTCCGTCTGAGATCTAGCAGCTGGTCTTGTCTCGACATCTGGAACTGGGACAGGATCAGTAGCACTACGAGTGCTGCTCCCAGTCCGCCGACGCCTATGTCTGCTTTCATCGCTTGACTGGACTTCGAGATGGGCTGCCTGAGCAGCACTCATCGATGGGGGTGGCCGACTGGATTGATGACTCGCACTGGCTTGCCCGTCGGCACTGACCGCACTTGATGATCTAGAGTGAGTTCTGGTTCTGCGTGTCCGGGATGAAGTTCGAGGACGATCATCACCCGATGTTTCCCTTGAGTCCGGAGCACTTGAACGACCTTCTCGCCTTTGTGCACTGTGGTCCCTCCTTCTCGCCGGTTCTTGCCTAGACCTCTCACTATGCCCACTGTTATCACTCCTTCTGGCAGGTTCTTGCCTTGCTCTCTCCGCCTGCCGCCTCCTGAAAGCCTCCGCTATCCTCTCACTGATTTGGTCCTCCTGGCTGACGTCCAAGTTTTCCAGGTCGATACCATCCAAGAGACCTTCTTCCCGAATCTGGCGTAATATCTCTTCTTCCATCTCTCTTGAGTCCACATCTGAGGCACTAATCAAAGATCGTAGCGAAGACTGATGCTCAATCTGCCTCGCAGCCGTCCTGCTTGTCTCCTCATGCCTCCGCGTCCTCCTCTCCTCATTACTTCGTCTCCTCCTTCTCTCCTCAGCCCCAGAATCAGTCCCCAGACCCAACGCACCATCATCCCTTGCCCTCCTCTCCGTCTCCTCCCTCCTTCTCCTCCTCTCCACATCTTCGGCCTCCCTGGTAGTCTGCCTATTGGAGCTGTCTCTACTCGCATCCCTACTCCTCTCCGCCCTCCTCCGCTCCCTCCTGGCCCCGGGATCCTCCACCCCAGCCTCCCTCGCACTCAGCTCCCTAGTCGCATCCACCAATCGCCTATCTGCATCCATGACCTGCCTCTCCCTGAGGCTCATCTCCCGTGCTTCCACCCTTACAAGCACATTCTCTCCAGCATCGTACTTAACCCTCATATCGCTCCTCTCCTTCTCCGTCCTTCCCTTCTCCGGGTTCGCAGCAAGGAACATCTCCAGCAGGGTAGTGACCGTAGCATTATGTTTCGTGTCTCGGACGGGAGCGCGACATGAGGGACATGTGTATGGGAGTCCTGTTTCCGGGAGCGGAGAGGGAGAGGCGCGGTGCGAAGAGAGCTGGAAGGCGAACCATTCTTTGAGGCAGGAGCCGCAGAAGGTGTGTAGGCAGTCGAGGAGGGTTAGGGGCTGGTAGAGGACTTCGGTGCAGATCTGTATCCCAGATATATCAGCATATGAACATGATAGAGTGCCATGCGACGAGATGGGTCGAGCAAGGGTAGCGCTGCCTTGTAGGAATGTCTCATCCCGCTCTTCGTAGCGGGGCAACCTTCGAGATTGGGGGCCAACTCACAGAGCACGTCAACTCCTTCTCTAGATCCAGGCCTCGATTCTCTTTCTCATTCTCCATGTCTATACTGTTCTCTCACTCGGTGAATCAAAAATTAAGGTTGAAGAGGCAACTGGGGACGGAATGGGGTGGGGAGACGTTTTTGTCCTCATGGCGTCGCTAGGATGGGCGGGCGAGATGGCTGTGGCGTGAGCTGACACGATGCTGCAGACCCTCTGCTGCAGGGCTGACAGTACAACGGTCGTCAAATCGCAGATACGAGATTTTGACTTTCTGTTTACGAGGCAGAACTTTTGCCTTGAATTCGAGCTGGGGATTTATATGAAGGAGATGGTGGTGGAGGTGGATTTGAGATTTGAGAGAGAAATTTGTTGCCGTGGTTCAATTTGTACTCGGTCTTTGGTTGAGTGGGAGAGAGACGAGGCTGAGCTTTCTGATGTCAGCGGGATGCCCGAGCAGGGGTTTTGCTCAGTAAGAACAAGGCCGCCACTTTAAGTTTATCCGGACGAGGTGTTGCGGTTTCCTTCAGGCAGTCATTTTTGAGCTTTGAAAGTTGGTGCAAATTTCTTCTTCGCTTTATCTCAGTATTGCGGTTTGCCCTAGGCGTGGAAAGTCGGCTGCCTGCGTTTCCGAGTCTCAAGATATTCAAGTCAGCTACGCAGTGATTCCTACGGCATACTTTGTAAGAAGATATTTAAGGTCTCGCAGCTATAGGTAGTCTCCATACACTCTATCATTCTTCACTCACTTCATCTCTACCGTCTTCTCCAGACACTATCCAGCATGCGCCCCCTCCCCACCCACTTCCGATCATCTTGCACAATATGCTCCAGCAGCCTGACGCCCGCACGCTCATAAACACCCTTCCCATCCGAACACGCCATAACAAAAGTATCAAAGCCCATCTTCTCCGCCTCCTTCAGCCTCTTTTCCTCTTCTTCACTAATTCTCGGTACTTTCGCTTCTGTCCCTCACCGGCTCCAGCAGGCAACGGCTTCCTAACCCGAATTAGCCTTTCTTTCCGCTCCTCCAAGCTGCACACCTCTCTATCAAACCCCCAAAATAGAACCGCCAATACGACAAAATACTGCAGAGACAAACTCCCTGGTGCCGTCTCCTCGTTGGATCCGAGAGCGGGTCGCAAGAATGCCGTAGTTCCGCTTGCGAGACCACATATTCACAGCTCTCATGCGGCTCGCAACGCACAGATGAGTCGCCAGTTCGGGACCGTGATGAAGGCGGGGATATTGTTGAGAGCGAGAGCGGGGCCGTCCGTGGTGAGGCAGGGGCTGATGGTGATGGGAGGTGTGGAGCGCGGCATTATGAATGCATTTATATCTATATATATAAATATATATTGGGGGCAATGGCTGCAAATGGTGAATGAGGTCTAACATAAAATATAATGAAATACAGTACAGGTTGGGAATCGATTAGGGAGGGAGGAAGATATAATATAATTTAGGAGCCGTTAGACAGCAACAGTTGTGCGTTATATTAACCTTATTGGCTTGGGACCTTCCCGAATGGGAGGGACGCGTGATATAAGGTTATGTGGTCCTGTTGTTGATTCAGGGGCTCTCGCTTGTAGGCTTCAGGGGGTTACATCCCCGGGTGTAACAACTTCAAATGCAGAACTTTGATGTAAATTATTATTTACAATTTGGAACTGCTATCATTACTGCGTACAAAACGCTGGCGGTTGTTCACTACTCGTATCAGTAGCACTTCTTGTCATTAAAACGCCCATTTTACAATCCCCATCTAATTGCACGTCCCGAATCCTGCCTGGCATCCACCGCTTGTGAGGCAATATGCAGAAGTCGAGCCACTTTAGTGATTGAAAAGTCAGCAATGTTCCATTAAAACCTGTTCCAGGAAATTCAAGACCTTGTCTGGGGAGACAATAGCAAGACGGTTCGAAATGGGAAAGGGGCTCTCTCGATGACTTACCACCATCCGTACTGCGAGCAACAATTCCCATACGTGCTCCCAAGACACGTGAACCCGGTGGTCCCCGCACACGTTCCATCCGACGATACCTTAAGGGTAGAAGTCGGCGAGGTACTACTCTTCGTCGACGTAGTCGTCTTGCTCGTAGTCGTGGTAGGTTTCGTCGACGTGGAAGAGCCTGCTTTGGATGAGCTGGTTGAAGCTTTGACCGAGCTGGAGCTAGACGAACCAGAACATGTCCCGCCAACGGGATTACATCCCGTTCCACAGTAAGCCGATGTTGAACCGCAGAAGCCGTATTGGCTGCAGCAATTTCCGAACGTAGAGCCGATGCATGTTATGGTTGTTCCGCAGGTTCCATCTGTTGAGATGGCTTGGGAGGCGGAGGAGGTTGAGGATGTTTTCGAGGAGGTAGTCTTTGATGTATTAGAAGTTGTTTTTACTGTAGAAGAACTTGTTTTGATTGAAGAAGAAGTTGTCTTGATTGAAGAAGAAGTGGTCTTGATTGTAGAAGAGGTGGATTTTACTGAAGTAGTTGATTTTGATGTTGTTGAAGAGCTGCTAGATGTGCCACATGTTCCAGAGGCTGGCTGACACCCAGTTCCACAATACCTGATAATTTCAGTTAGTATTGCCTAAATGGGGGGATTCGAGGGTTGAATAATCTTTCTCGAGTTTCTCTCTTCGAAATATGTCCAAGGATGAGAGCGGTTGTGCAAGGGAAGAACACTCACGCTGAGGTAGATCCACACCATCCCGCCGAACTGCAGCAATTGCCAAAGGTGGAGCCTAGGCAGGTGGTGGTAGCTGAGCATGTCCCGTCAGTGCTAACGCTCTGGGGAGGAGGTGCACTTGCATTCCCCGACCGGTACCAGTTCGCAGCCGGATCCCCAAGACATTCACCAACAGTGACAGATTTATAACCATGGCTATACATCGAAGCGAGAATATAATCAGTGAGGTTGTAGACAGTTTGGTAATGGATATCATGCTCGATTTCCAACCAGCTGGTGGTTGCGCTATTGGAAGGGTTGATGGCGGCGTCCCAGATGTTCTTGGAATTTTGGATCAAGGTTGGGTCATCATTCAGATACCCTTCTGTATCCAGGTCGAAGTCTGTGCTATTGTGAGAGGTTTGTTGAAAAGATGGGAGGGAGTAGACTGACATGTCACATGATATCCAAGGGTTTTCAAACGGGCACCGCAGGATGAGTTGCACTCAGAGTATGGAGGTCTAGATCACATATCAGCATAAAAGTTAATCATGACTTCGTAGGAGTAGACGTACCTCATATACGTTGGGAAGTAGCCCAAAATATTGTTGAATGCCATCTCATTGTAGATCATTTGTTGATTGAAATGTGTGGCATCGAGAGATGTCAGATTTTGATGGGACCAAGTGTGTGAGGCAATTTGGTGCCCTTCTGCAATCATTCTCTGCACCTTCATCAGTCTCTTGTATGAAAAGGCTACGCTTAGATGATATACCTTGATAAGAGCATTCCACTGCGGGGTACTATCAATAGGACCTAGAGAGTAATGAGCATTGAGGAAAAGGAAGTTGCAATGTATTTGTACCTTTTCCGAGGTTGTTTCCAGCTTTTCCGCTGTTAGCAAGCGAAGAGAAAGCTTGAAATGATTCCAACTTACTGATCATGAAAGTAGCCTTTGCACTATACACCTTGAGCTTGTCAAGAAGATCTGACGTATACGTATACGGCCCATCATCAAAGGTGAAGGCAACATCTGACGCCACAATTGTAAGCTGAGCGCCTCCCAATGCGACTGCAAGTCACTAACCTCCCGCAACAGCACAATCATAGATTCCGGCTCCACCATAGGGCACGGTCCCAAGGGCAGGTCTCGCAATACCCGCCGTAGATGCTCCAGACGGAACGGTGTTCGCATCACAAGCCGGTCCATAAAGGAATTGGCAGTCAGGAGCTGCACAATAATCGATTCCAGTTCCACACCATCTATTCCCGTCAGCACTCCTCCTTCCTCCAAAGAAAAGGACTCCTCACCCCTCAATAGAGCAGCATTGACCGGCAGGGCAATGCCCAAAACTCGGTCCGCATTGCCCATTCGTGCTAATCTGTCGCTCCTCTAACTCCTCCACACTATTCATGAACTCCACAACTGGCTCCCTCTTCTCCACTTGCACATCCGGCTCCCTCTTCTTCACCTTCAGCGCCTCCGGCAACGCTTTCTCCGCCCTCAACTCTGCCATGAACTTTCTCCCGCCCAGCATCTTCGGAATCCCAGCATGCACATCCCTCGGGTCCGAATGGGCACCTGCAATCGACGCAATCGCCGCAACAACGAGCGTGGTGTACTTCATCTTCATCCTCACGTACGCCAACTAATTTCTTATATCTCCTTATAGTATGCAGATCAGGATGATGCTAGATATATAAGTGTACTGTACCCTAGAGTAACGAGGGCTAGGGCCGCAGGTAAACGAAGGACTGCGTAGCAAAGCGAGTGTGAAAGGTTTCTGTTGTTAAATTCAACGTATTGTACAAAACGAAGGTTGGAGAAAGCAACGAGTGACGAGGGAGGAACTAGGGCTGTATGTATGGCGAAGACAAAGATGAAAGGGGAGAGAGATCATCTCTCCACTGGTCAGCGACTTAGCTAGGTCATAATGCAGGACAGGATATGCAAGAACAACGCAGCGCAACAAGCATACGAGAAAAAGAACTCTGGTTCCCCCTCCCTGCTGGGCCAAGAGGCGGACAGCCCAGCCCTGGTCCTGGCCGGACTCGGCCCACCATCGAATCGAGGCGATAAAATGCTCCAGTATGGACCAGCATGGCTGGATAATATTCCGAAGGGCCGTGATACCAATTGCAGTTCACTCACCCCGCTCTGGGGCCTTTGGGGTAAACCCAGGGGTCGGAACTCAGCCGGAAGAAATCATCCAGGCTGTCCTTGAAAAAGAACTTGAAAGAGGGTAAGGATGCCTGCCAAGCTTGCATTGCGTCCGAGGCCACGGCAATAATGTCTCCTGATTCTCCCAGTTAGTATACGGGCTGACCTGATTCAGACCTCCACCAGAAAAGACTGCAGTGAGTTGGCGTGTGGTCTGAGTTGAGTTTGGTGATGTTCAAGAGCGGTTCTTAAAATAGACTTCCCGAAGCGAGAAGAGACAAGGGTCGCCCTGCTGCAGGAACAGGGTTTGGGCTTCTCAATCGGGGAATGCTGTCATTGCCAAATCCCTTGCTTTTCCCTCCTGGAACTCCCTCATCTTCTACTTTTCCATTTTGGGCCTTTTCGCCTTCGATTAATATCGATCGCACCATCTCAAATTCTCAATATTCGACAAGGGAAAAATGATTTAATTTTCCTTTCCGAGTCCAGTGTGACGAACAAGTTAGTCAACCCTGCCCACCGTCCCATCAATGCACAGAAGATCGAACACACCACGGACCGCTTTGAACGTCCTTTGTGGCGCATCTCCTGCAGCACTTTTCGCCTCCTCGGTCGTCATTTGCTCTCCCCCAGGGCCAGACCTGCATACCATTCTGCCCTCAAAACGTGGCATGTCAAAGCGTCACGTAACGCGGTCAAAAATATGGCGGCCGTGGGTTGCAAAAGCAGGACGCGTTTGGTTTTAAGACAGCAGCTGAACTACCCGAGAGGCCAAGCTTCCGTTATTTCTCCTGGCTGTGAGCGTCAATATTGAACGCATGATATTGCATGACTTAGAGAAATTTGGTGCCCTTTCCTTTTGCACGGTTGCGGCCCCGTGTCTGCCACGTAGCAATTGTGATGAGATCGTTGAAATGAAAAGCTCGTTTTTAAGAAGGAATATATTGGACTTGTAGACGTGTGAGGTGAAACGAGAAAAGGAGGTGAAGAAGAATTGGCACACGTGATCATCACATGATCCGTGGATAGGTAGGTATACAACTTCCTGCGTGTGAAGATTTCGCCCCAATAAGCCTTCACACCCTGAAGCCGTGCATCTCTGAACAAAAAACGAAAATACGACCCGACCCGCATATCCATCAGCTCGCCAATTCTAATTCTCCAAAGCCTGGCTCGTCCCCGCCTTAAACCTACTATTCGCCACTACACCCCGCACCCTCCAATCGCCTCGCTTCTAAATCTGCAATAACAAAGCCCATTAAGGACCTCCACTTCCAACTCCATTTCGCCATCATCCAGATCCGTCCATTGTCAGACAATTGATCTCGGGACTCGGCTGCGTCGACCGAAACCTCGTATTCAAAACCTGCGTGTTCTTGAGTCTCAGCCTCACTGGCCAACTCTCCCACTCTCTGAACGAATCATCGGTCAAGTATGCAGGTCTGCTGTTTGGCATCGGCTGCTCTGCGTCTGCATCTGAATCTTCGTCCTTGCAACTAGTTCCTGATCGTGAGCAGGTTTACCGGTAAGACCGCGCGAGGCCTCCATTCGCCTCCACTCACAGCAACTCTGGGTCTTAATCGACAATGCGTGTTGTATTGTAATCTACGAGTACCCGTCTCCCACACATTCGTATGCCCAAAATAACTTAACTCCATTCAATCACCATGTCTGCGCGTGCCGTCTTCGTGCCATCCTCTCCCATCCCCTTCTGAGTATCAGACCAACCAATCACACATGCACGGGGTATATTTCAAGATGTTGCTTCCTGTGCAGCCTATTCCATCAGTGAACACCGTTCCTTAAACCCCATTGAACCTTATGTAACCTATTTCCCCCATTCGTTCTTCGTTCCAGCAACCCTTTCAGAAACTGAGGCTCTCCAACTTGCTCACCAGACTTTCCAACCGCTCCGTTAACCCCGCCTGAGGGTTATGCCCATCTTCGTCTGCAGCGATCAGATCATCGACTGTCTTGTGATGGCCGATGAATTCTTTGATTGAAGCCACTATTGGCCTCAAAGTCTTTCGTGCTTGTTTCTCTTTGATTCGTTTCTCGATCGTGGGGTCCAGGGAGAAGTATCCAAGAAGGACCGAGAGGTATCCGAACGCGACGTTCTTCTGTGATTCTTCCACTGACTCGGCCTATGATGAAATTAGTAAATTGAGGGGAGAAAAGGTGACTTGGGTACTTACCATAGACATTCGCTCTTGGTTTTCAAGGAACGTTTGTACCATTGAGTCGAGTGGATCACTCACGTCGCCTTCTAAGCTCTGAAGACTTTCTCGAACAGCGGAGCTTCGATCTGCCAAATTGATCATCATTCCTAGACACAGAACCAAGTGCTCAATGACTACGGTAAAATCATCCTCAGTCAAAAAGCGTGATATTTGTTTGAACTTCGCCACGAGTGTTCGACCAATTACTGACATAAGGGCCGGTCTTGCAAAGACGTCCGAGGCCTTGGGGTTATTGTTCGTCACGTTCAGCGTGAGTCGTAGAATGAGAGCCTGTTGTTGTCCAAAAGTATCCAACGGTCGCGATAACGCAATCACAAGTGTATCCGCAATAATAGGCAGGTAGTCGCTGATCCAGATCGACTCGTCGTGTACTGTTCGCGCGGTGATAGAATGGGACTCTAGGGCCGACAACGCCAGATAGAAGTCGATTGCTTGTCTATCCTTGGGAAGGTTCCACCATTCTAATCGAGAGCCCGACTGCAAAAGACCGAACAGGTTTGTTGTCAGCTCCTTCGAGAATATATCACTGGCATTTCCTGCTTCTCTTGTTTGTCGGACCATTCGCTCAATACACTTTAAAGCCAGGGTCCGTGGCGAAATGATTTGTGGTTGAAGCTCGTCCCAGACGGGTATTTTAAGGAGATAGTCGTGGTGCTCGGCCACCAGAGACTGTGCAACCTTCGACATGTTGGTTTTGCGGTCTCGGGTGACAGTAGCAATGCCCGAGGGACAGTCGAGAAGACGGATAAGCAGCCTTGTGATGCCTTGTCGTCGCAACTGAGCTATGACGTGTGGTATGCTCCCATCCATCAGTGTTGTGATGAGCAGCGAGACCAAGAGATAGCCAGAAACAACATCCTGCTCCAGACCCAAATGCATGAACAATTTCATCTCCATGCCGTTGGCTCGAAACTTCTCGGCGAACTCTTTGTCCTTCATCTTGCTAGCAAGATCCAACAGACCAGATCTTCGCATAGACAGCTTCGTGCTGTCTGGCCTTCCGATTCGATCCAAGTAGTCCTGCACCTCATCCAGGAAACGGTTATTGGCACCGGCTTTTCTGAGCTCATGAACATTTCGAACAGCTCCGATTGTCGAATCTTCATCTTCCTCCTCATGAAAGCTCGTTAGTGGCTTGAGCGTCGGGATCGAGCCTCTACGTCCCCGCCTACCCCCCGGTTGAGATGGCTGAGACGGCAATCCAAGGGCAAGCTCATGCATCAGATCCTGCTCTTCAAGCATGGATCTCTGTCTGCTGTACGTAAACTTCGGGCCGGAGAGTTGTGAATTCTGGCTCTCTGAAACCATAGCAGGTTGAGACGACCCTGGAATAACACTTTGGCTTCTTGAAAAGGCTGCTAGTGCTTCTTCAAGCTCATTCGAAGGTGCTCTGACAAGTATTGATTGCGTGGAATCTTCTTCTTCTTCCTCGCTCTCATCATCTGACTCTTCCCGGGCCGCTTGTTCAACAAGGGTGTCGATCAGCCTTCGCCGTGGCATTCTTGCCGGGCTCTTCTGGCTTTTTGAGATTCCTGCTGGCCGAGAAAGAGTACGCAACTGTGCTCCTGGCGTCCCAGCTCTGGGTGTTCCAGCGACTATGTGGTCAATCTTGCTGTTGGTTGCTGTCATATTCTCATCAGTGGCTTCCGCCGACTCCAAGAGACCCTGCCATAGCTCCATTCCCCTTGGCGAAATCGTGTTTCCCGTAGGATCAACATCCATCATATCAATGTCACTTAACTGCGGCGATGGCGTGCTAAGAGTACTGAGCTCACGCGGGGGCGCTGGGCTAAGCTTTTTGGGAGTGCTTGGTACCTCAAATCTTTTGGGTGATGGAGGCATTGGTTTGGGTCTACTAGGGACCACTTTTATGAACTGTCCACTTGCTGGGGACGTCTGACGATTTTTCCGAGGGAGCACACTTGGCCGTGGTCTCGGAGGCCGTACAACAGCGTTCGCAGGAAGGCGCTTGAGCAAAGGTTCCGGTTCTGGAGTCATCTTCATCCTTTTTCTGCTTCCCAAATCTTCAGCTGTGTCTGTTGAAGCCTTCTCAGTGTGTTTGGGTTTGGGTTTGGGATCAATTCTCGTAATTGCGGCCTGCCGGACCTTGTGGACAGGTTTGGGTGTTGGCTTTGCCTCATCGCCGCTGGAAGGCACATCGAATACATCTCCTTTAGGAGGAGATGGCAGTGAAGGAGTTTTCGCTTTTGGTGCAGCTTGCGTAGGTTTCAGCTTTTGACGATCCAGTACTGAAGGCAGAAGCGTCTTCTTTTGAACTGGCTTGTGAACTAGTTTGGGAACCTCTTCGTCCTCCGGTACATCAAATATATCCCGGCTAGGCGGAGATGCAGATGGAGCTGGCCTCGATACTGATCTCTGCCGCATCACCTTCACCTTCTGCTGCTTGACTGGGGTTTTGGCACGCTGCCGAATGGCTTTTGGGGTTTCATCATCGCTGGAGGGAACGTGGAAAGCGTCGCCCTTAGGAGGAGATGCAGGTGACGCGGTCCTCGCTTCTGATCGGGCCCTTGGAAGGGATTTCAGCGAGTTCGCTGCTGAGGCATGTGTGAACGTTGAGGGGAGTTCAGGTTGACTCTGGACCTCAGGAGTCTGCGACTTCTGTGATCTCGAGGCAAAGCTGAACTCCGGTATCCTTCGTCGTGCCGCCTTGCCATACGTGGCCATTCTCTTCCGAGGGGCCGCGGCATCGTGAAGGGTTGCCATACTCATAGATGGCGGATGAAGAGGCGGTGATGACGAGCAATTTGTCGCAGCATTTGTGAACGATCTGGCTGTTGTGATTGCACCAAGGGATGGAGATCAGAGAGTGATTATCTGCCAGTCATGTTGCGCTCGTGTGGGAGGAGGGGTCGGGTTCCTTTGAGGGTGAATATGTCGTTGTGCGAGGAGGTGGTTGTTGTTTGCCGTCGGAATCGATGTGTAAATAGAGAGCAAGCAAGAAATCGCGACACGGCAATTTCGACCAGGGTAACGAAGCAGGAAGCACCCTCTGACTTTTGATAGACTGCGCCTTCCCAAATCCCAGACCTTGGTATAAGAATTGTCGAGATAAATGCTTCGAGAGTTGAATGTTTGCAGATGCGCTGGGTGATTGAAGAAGAACGCGTGAACCAGATGCGGCGAGTGTCAGCCTTCTGGGCTGTGGCGCTGCTTGCGGAAAGACGCTGCGATTGTCAGTGTGGCTGTTCTTAGTCATTCTTATCGGAGCTTCGACTCCACACACCTCTCACGAGACCACTTTGACATTGGAGATTTGTTCAAGCTGAGGTGTTTGCCTTCAATTGCATATCCTTCACTTGCATTAAAACTGGGGACCATTGATTTATGTGAGTTACAGCACGGTGCCTCTTTCTCCAGCTGATTTTCCAAAGCTCTGGATCCAGATCATGCGGAGAGCGTGACAGCACAAAGCTTACTTCCAGATCACGGCTGGCTACCTCATTGTCACTTGGGCCTAGCCAGAAACAAGTTCATCAATTGGGATGGCGTCAAAGAAGGAGGAACCCCAGTCTCCCAAGCAGTGTGTGGGACCAGATTATCGGCCTGAGAAGCAGAAGCCTACTGCCACTGTTTCGACGGAGGTTCCTTTTGAGAATGTACATACGCTGCCTCAAACTCCGCAGCTTATTGCTCTCTTGACGTGCGTCTCAGCTCCAAGCTGTTCTTCGTGGTCAAGTTTTGCTGATCGCCTTGGGCTGCAGTATGATCAGAGACAAGAATACCGATCGAGCAGATTTCATTTTCTATTCCAACCGCATTATTCGCTTACTGGTGGAGGAGGGCCTGAACCATTTGCCAGTTGTGGAGCACACGGTCACTACGCCGGTTGGTCGAACTTATGCTGGTGTTATGTTTCAGGGCAAGATTTGCGGAGTTTCTATCATGAGAGCTGGTGAAGCTATGGAGCAGGGGCTGAGAGATTGCTGCCGTTCAGTAAGAATTGGAAAGATCCTCATCCAGAGAGACGAGGAGACATCATTGCCGAAGTTGTTCTACGACAAGCTCCCAGAAGATATCGCAAACCGCTGGGTTCTATTGCTGGACCCCATGTTTGCCACAGGTATAGCTTAGTCAAGTTTGGGCTTGAGAAAAGGCTAATTCCTGATCAGGTGGCTCTGCAGCTATGGCGGTGGAAGTATTGAAGTCTCGCGGCGTCCCGGAGGACCGAATTTTGTTCTTGAACCTCATTGCAAGCCCAGAGGGAGTTGCAAATTTCTGCAAGAAGTTTCCAAAACTTCGTGTTGTCACTGCATTCATTGATCAAGTAAGTCCTCCCATGAGTCCCTGGATTTCAGAAGCTAATCATTTCCCAGGGTCTTGATGAGAAGAAGTAAGTCCTGCGCAAACGGAAAGTGAAATCCATTACTAACACGTCCTTCTCCAGATACATTGTTCCTGGCCTTGGTGATTTTGGTGACAGGTTCTACACGATGTAGAGATTCTGGACTGTATCGCTCCCACTCACATGCAGGGCTCAGTAGCGGTCTGATGGGATATGCACCAAGCAGACAGTATGCAAAGACTTGATCTCTCTTGGCCTCCAATAGTCTTCAAAAATACATAGCCGTGTGAATTCTCCATTTTATTACAATGATCCCAACGCCCCGTATCCAGACTCCGTAGCCAGGCTTTTGATAGCGGCCCCTAGTGTTCTTCATGTCTGCAACAAAGCCCTCCCTAGTAGTCTTCATCATCCGCAACAACCCCGTCCCCCCCGTAACCACCAGCATCCTCACCCTCATCATCAATAAGATCCTCCAAGTCCTCATCGTCATCTCTCGCCCTTCCTCCACCCGGTCTACCCGCCGCGGGACGCGACGGCGCATATTCTCCTCCAGCCCCCTCCTCAACATCCTCCTTAGCTACCGCATCGCAAGCATCAACCCAATCCGAGTATACATCGACCGCCGCAGAAAGGTCTGCCCCATTGTTGCACATTAGCTGTTCTGCCTTCCCTCCTCCAAGAAAGGTAGGGGCGCGACTCACAATTGATAGCGCACTGAAACTGTTGATTGCAGACCTTGCACGAGAGCGCGCCAACACCCGCTTTCTTATCCAGCTTGACGCTCACTGATTTCTCGTGGTTGCAGAAGAGGCACGGGAATACGGTGGGTAGCGGTTCGTTCTGCGCCTGTCAGGACCTGCGTCGCAAAGGCTGGTGATCGGGACGTACCTTTCTTGGGCCCTGGGGCTTCTTGGCAGCCTTCTTGCGTTTGCCCTACATCTAATTGTCAGTGCTGTGTATGCGCGAGGAGGTTTAACTGCACCGTACCATTGCTGTACTTCTGCAGAGTCGTGTGCTTGGAAGGTGCAGAGTTGAAGCCACTCGAGGACTCGCCGACTCCCGAAATATCGCGAAGAGGGCTTGACAGGGGTGCGAAATAGGAGACTTGTTTGAAGGCGCTTTTGTGCGGGGCGATAAGGGATAAGCACACCGCACCAAGATCGCCTCCTGCAGCTCTTACCTACAAAGAGGCCGAAAGACAAATCACGTCTCTCTTTGGTAAAGGGGAGAAAGTTCTGAACAGTCCATTCGTTCAGCGATTGGCATTTAGCACACCGTTCTTTCACTCTTGGGACGAGCGGAAGGGCCACCCGGCCTTGTGACTTGCATTCCTCGCACGCTTCAAGACGACCGCCATACCTTCCATCCTTGTTCGAAAGGCTGTTTCCATATTTGACCGAGACCCTTGAATCTCTCCTCCGTCATCGCACATCTTCTCTCTGCTCTTTTCTCCCTCTCATCTTCATCCCAGCTCCGAAGATAATCAACAGCGAGACCATGGCTTCCTCACCCCCCGACCAAGCTGCAATCCTCAAAGAGGTGCTCGATGCCGTGAAGACGCTGCAGGTCAACCAAGTGCAACTCTCATCAGCGGTTGATGCCATCTCAGGCCGGGTCAATGTCCTGGCTGGCATGAAGGAGGTCCGAGACATTGCCATTGCCATTGATTCTCCATCTCCTCATCCCGTAAAGAAAATTGATTCAATTCAAAATATCACTGATGATTCGCACTCTGATGATGTTGTGCCGCCGTCGCCATCTCTCCCTGCTTCCGCATTCAGTAGCAGCCCAGGCACGTCGAGCCCGCTCTCCCATGCGAGGAAGCCGAGCGTTACTTCGAGGATTATTCTGACGTGAGTTTCGTATGTGTCGGTTTTGGGTGGATTTTGTACTGATTTGGGTAGGACGTATCCCGGTCAGGCCGGCATTAACCCACTTCCCATGGACTGGGGTAACAAAGATCCCCAGCAGAGGGGCCCGGTTGTTGTTTCGAGGAGTGCAACTACTATCCGCCGAAGAAATGGTAAGTCCTCCGTTATCTCTATATGGGGATCAGAGGCTGACATTGAACGTAGCTATTGGAGGTGAGCGTCCTTGCCTTTGAAAGCAGACTTTCAGACCTCTTACTTATTTCTCAGCTCACGGCGGCTCGTACTCGATTTATTATGCCCTTGCTGTTGCTAGTCATGAAATCAAGATAGATCATAGGTATGATCTGCACCATTTCTGCTACCTTGGTCGGAGCTTCGAGGAATGCTGGGAGTAGAAGTTGTTTTAACCAGAACGACTGCTGATCCGTTGCAGACCCGATTTTACAAACACAGAACCAGCTGCAAATATTGGTCCTTTCCCGCAATGGGCTGATAAGAAGAAGATCGTCTCCATGGATCCTCTTGGTCACTTGGCTCCATGGCTTTTTAAGGATACAATAGAGAAAGAAAATGGTAGGCGAATCACTCCCAGAAGATTTTTGACATGGCTGACCATCCGTAGTTGATATTAGACCTACAATCGGTATGCTTGAGCAGTCTTGTGTGTTTGTCAATAACTGACCAGAGAAGCTATCACCAGAGCCCATATGAAGGTATGCGTGGACTTGGAGACGGTGTTGGTTTGAGACTAACCCTTCCACTCAGCTTCCCGAGTTAGAACAGAGTGTGAGAGAAGGTCGTCTGTGAGTGCTTTTTCCTGAATCCGGTGACATGCAGCTGACCATTCAACAGTGTGCCAGATGGTAAAGTTTGTCTCAATGAGACCGGCGAGCTCGCTGTTACGAAATTCGCCGTTGAACCTGTAAGGTATTTTCCCGAATCTTGGCCTCAGTTCTAACTCCAAATCAGGTCTGGTACCTCCCTGGTGTTGCTGAGCGATTTGGAATTGGTCGGTGCTGTCACCAGGTCTGCAGGGTTTTGCTCACGTTTGATTAGATGAGGGATCACTCCGAAAATCGTTATTCGAGCACACTGGAGGATCTTATCCGGAGCTAATCACAAGAGGAGATATCAAGCTGTTCTTGCCACCAATTGGTACACATTTTTATTGCGTAGGAGAAACCCGATCTAATTGCGTCCAGGTGGTCTCACAGTCTATTGCTTCGGCGACCCAGCCAAGATGTCAGATGAGAGCGTCCGTCTTGCTCTGAGAGTTCATGACGAGGTAGATATCCCGCACCTCCAGCCTCGACATTGGTAGATGAGTTTCATTTGACCCAATCACAGTGTAACGGAAGTGACGTGTTCGGCTCTGACATCTGCACGTGTCGTCCATATCTCATCTACGGAATTGAGGAGGCCGTCAAAGAGGTATACATCCTGCCAATCCACCGTACGCGCTGCGAGGAGCTGACATACAAGCGTAGGCACAGAAGGGAGGGAGTGGGGTTGTCATTTATTTCCGCAAGGAAGGCCGTGCTTTGGGTGAAGTCACAAAGGTAAAAGACTCCTTGAATGGTTCGAGGGAGATGCAGCCACTCATATATTGTCAACTTCTGAACCCATTTCAAACATTACTGCATATCCCGCATCATTCTCCTATCCACTCATTGCCTCCCCCACACCCCCATACATTCCCGGTCTTACCCGCATACCTCCAATCTTTCGTTGTCTTTTCCAAAACTGTTTTCTAATTCCCTGTTGTAGTACCTTGTCTACAATGCCAGAAAGCGTGGACTGGATCGTGCTTCGGAGTATTTCAAGCGAACCGAGAACATTGCTGGCGTGAAGGACATGCGATTCCAGGCGTTGATGCCCGACATTCTTCATTGGCTTGGTATCAAGAAAATTGACAGGATGCTAAGCATGAGCAAGTAAGGCTTCCCATATATCACGAGATGCATCAAATATTGACATGCTCAACAGTATGAAGCATGATGCCATTGTCAGTCAGGGGTAATGTCCCCCACACAATTATGGCGGCAAAACTGACCCCCATTAGCATTCCTATCCACGAACGAGTCGAGCTTCCTGAGTCTTGGATTCCCGCAGATTCAAGGGTAGAAATAGACGCGAAAATCACTGCAGGTCAGTTTGTCTCTTCTAACCCCCACACTGACCGACAACCTGTCAATGATAGGGCTGAATGTTGTGGCATTGCAGGTTACTTCACCACCGGACATCGAATGACGGAAGAGGAACTCGCCGCTGTCAAAGGAAGAAGCTGGGAAGAGCAAGTTCACCCAATTCGAACCATTGCAGCCACTGAAACTGACCCAAATACAGCATTGATCATTGATCACGCGCCGGGAAGAGACATTCGTGACTCGGGCCGCCTCTCTGCGCGCTTTGAGAGGGTACCTGCATGCATGACTACCCAACACGCCGTTTTCGGTCTTGTCAACATGAAGGGAAACTTGCTTTGCGATAAAAAACCTAATTGGCTCATGAATGATAATTTTCAGGACAGAAAAAAGAAATTGACGAGCACTTTCATGTGCCTTCGCCACTTGCCTTCGTGATACCCCCTACGTGAAGAAAATGCAAAGACGCTCAAGGATCTTCCCCAACATTCAGGCGTTCCCCTCACGAAATGAATGAATTAGTAATTGGTGTGCAACTCGAACACCGCGATCAGGCCATTGCCCTGCGAGTGGAGCGAGCTTTGCAGCCTCTCGTTCCCACGCGAGCGAGCATTTGGGGCACGAACAGCAACGCGAAAAGTCGCGAGCGAGCGAGAGGAGAAGAGGGGAAGAATGAGGCGTGGAGGGTCATCACTGGATGTCGAGGCAGCGCGGTGCAGACGCCTGCATGGAGCTGACGGGGCACGGCAAGCATGTGTAGCCCCTCACTTGCGTCTTTTTGGTGGTGGGTTTTGCTTGGCCCGAATTGGGTCGAGTTGGAGGCGAGTCGAGACAGCGAGCGAGCGGGCGGGCCGCCACTTGTCAGGCTGTCAGAGGGAGGGAAGAAGCTCGGGATGAATGAAACTGTGGTTGGATTTGGGGGGTTCCTATTTCGGACGCGGAGGAAGTGCTGTTTGGTTGGGATTGGGGCTACATGGGGGGGTATGAACTGATGGATGGAAGGCGGAACGGCGCGCTGGCTGGGCTGGGCTGGGCTACTAGGCTTGCGGTGTTGTTATGTGGTGGGGCTTGACGTGTGAGTGGCTGATGAGCTGGGAGAGGCGGAGGTGGTGCTTATATACATGTCAGAGGGGATGCAGCTGGGTTCTGGGTTTTGTCTGGTTTCAAGGCTCATCGTTATTTAGTTGATGTTTGTAACCTCTATGCGGGTGGATTATTACGAGTCTTGACCTGACGATACAGACTACAGTGTTTGTAATCTTCTTTTGCATCACCGGTACCGTTACCTTGGTCTCATAGTTGACGTACGCCCGGATTTTGACGAGGGTTGCCACCGAAGAAGAGATTGAATAGGGGAGAGATTGAAGAGAGGCTTGAGGAAGAGGAAGCAAGCTGAAGAATGGCCTCCATCTCCACAACGCGCAACTCCTCGCCCTCACGCAAGACTTCATCTCGTCGACCTAAACTCATGCGCGCCTCTGCCACGGCACCGAGTCTCGCTATCTCCAATGCCTCAAGGAAAGATCTTGCCCTCGCAAGCCTGCAGAATTCGAGAGCGGCGACGCTATTGACGAGGGTGGCGAGCTATTCCAGTGCGCAGATGGGGTATGGTGGTGGGAATGGCGGGAGTGGAGGCAAGAGACAGAGTGTCGGGAGCTTTTGTGAGAGTCCGGTTGATAGCAGGAGTCCGGAGGCAAATGGGATGCATATGGAGAGGAAGGAGCCGTTTGAGATTGTGATCAGTCAGTGTGAGTTGCCTTTCCTTTCCCTTCCGGTGGATGATGGACTTGAGGGTAGAGAGGACCAAGCTGATGAGAGATAGGTGGGAATTACTTCAGCTTCCCGAGCTTTGAGTATTTTGAGGATTATCAGGAAAGTCAGGAAAGGATAGATGGCAGGCAGGATCAGGATGTGCCGTGATGATCCTGAGGGGAATTGAAAGAGATACATACGTTTGGCCTGGTCGACGGGACAGCGCCATGGGATGGAATGTTACATAGGGGAGGCAACAACATATATCCAGTGGCGTTTGGGAGCATCCTGGATGGCACTTTGGATGAGGTATTTGATCATCCAAGGATGGATGGAGTATACTTGATGAGGATCGTGGGCGATACCTTTGATGGGGGGTTGTTGAGTTGTACTTAATGAGATATGCCCAAACCTTTGTCTATACTATTCCAGTTCTCCAAGAGTACAAGGTCTTGCCAGAAGAAAGTACCAGATGCCCAGGAATCGATGAAATCGGGCTGACGGTATCTCCACCTTGGAGGTCATTGCGCGTGCGACGGTCCTTTCAAGATCCGTGGCAGTCCCTGGATAACGAAAATTTCGACTGAAGGAAACCAGCATGGAGATATTAAATAATAAGCTCTTCGGACGGACGGATACCATGATTGAAGGAATTGATCCTCCTGATTATTCATGATGTATCTCGGAAGTCGAGAAGAATGAAAGTCCAGGCAAGTTGCAGAGGCCGCCTCGCTTAGCGTGGCCCTAGTGTATTAGCTCCGCACACAACAATTCGAGATTTTGATCCGTGACTTTTCCAGACCGAACGACGACATCTCCCTTCCACACAACAGCCCCCTCGACTGCGTAACTTGTCGCAATCATGGCTGTCGGAAAGTGAGTATCCTCTCTCGATCTGATAAAGATCACACATGGACGAAGGACGCCGAGTCTGAGCGAGATGGAGGGGCAAATGTTCGCGGAAACAGAGTCTGACTGGATTGCAGGAACAAGCGCCTTTCAAAGGGCAAGAAGGGCCTCAAGAAGAAGACGATGGACCCCTTCACCCGTAAGGATTGGTACCAAGTCAAGGTACGCGCGTTGTGAGAGATCCAGAGGCTCTGCAGTTAGCTGACAATCAACCAGGCCCCTTCTTCCTTCCAAATTCGAGAGTACGATATCACCTTCATGAAAATAATCACAACCTTCTAACCAATTTTGCAGTGTCGGCAAAACTCTCGTCAACCGAACCACCGGTCTCAAGAACGCAAATGATGCATTGAAGGGCAGAATCTTCGAGGTTTCTTTGGCGGATCTGCAGAAGGATGAGGACCACGCATTCCGAAAGATCAAGCTCCGGGTTGATGAGGTCCAAGGGAAGAACTGCCTCACCAACTTCCACGGTCTCGATTTCACATCCGACAAGCTGCGATCTCTCGTCCGAAAGTGGCAATCTTTGATTGAGGCCAATGTCACAGTCAAGACCACCGATGACTACCTCCTCCGCCTGTTCGCCATTGCCTTCACCAAGCGCCGACCCAACCAAATCAAGAAGACCACCTATGCCGCCTCCTCGCAGATCAGAGCTATCCGAAAGAAGATGACCGAGATCATTCAACGCGAAGCCTCCAGCTGCACCCTCACACAACTCACAGCCAAGCTCATCCCCGAGGTCATCGGTCGTGAGATTGAGAAGGCTACCCAAGGCATCTACCCATTACAAAATGTGCGTATTTACAGGGTACATCTAGGCAGAATAATACTGATGCAAAATTCTAGGTCCACATCCGCAAAGTCAAGCTCCTGAAGGCACCCAAGTTCGACCTCGGCGCTCTCCTCAACCTCCACGGCGAGTCAAACACAGATGAGTCGGGTCAAAAGGTCGAGCGGGAGTTCAAGGAGAAGGTGTTGGATGAGGTATGAACGGCCGGGTAGACTTATACTGGGGTGTTTCGACTGGTCATTTGCATGTAGTCAGGTCTTGCTTTGGGCATACGGCGTGACTTGTGTGGGTCTAGCATAGGGCTAGCACAAAATAAATTTCCAAAAATTATTCCAAAGGTGCCTGTTACTGTGGCTGGTTGCGCATGTGAGAGGTTTTCCTCGAGGGAAGCCTCGGTGGCGCTAGCGGACTGACGTCGTGAATCAACAACCTTGGCTTTGTACCCATTTTCCTCTTCTTCCTCCCACGGCTTCCACAACGCTGGAACAGCTCCAATAATCCAGGCGATATGGCATCCGATGAGTCGCTCCCAACGCTGAAGATCCTCATGATCGGTCCTTCAGGAGCAGGGAAATCAGCGCGTAAGAGCACAACTCGCGAAACCGCGCCCAACTTCCTAACCACTTTACAGTTCTCATACGATACTGCGATGACCAGTTCGACTCCGAGTCCTCAACTGCTACTATAGGCGTAGACTTCAAGGTATTTCAACTACAACTCTGTTTAGCTTGGCACCATGCTAACGCACTGCAAAAGATGAAGAAGCTCTCCGTCCACGGCAAAGCCTACCGCCTCAACCTCCTCGACACTGCCGGCCAAGAGCGCTTCCGCACGCTCTCAAACAGCTACTATCGCGGCGCACACGGCGTGATCCTCGTCTACGACATCTCGAACCGGGAATCCTTCCAAGCCATGGAACGCTGGTTCGAAGAAGCAGAGTCCAATGCTATGCCCGGTGCTATCATGTATCTGGTAGGCAGCAAGCTGGACAAGACGAATAATAGGATGGTACAGACTGAAGAGGGACAACGGCTTGCGGAACTGCATGGATGTGGGTTTTGCGAGGTCAGCAGTAAGACGAGGGAGAATGTGCGGAAGCCGTTTGTGGAGATTGTGGATTCGATTGTGAGGGATCCGAAGCTGTTGAGCGCGAGCAGTAGGAGGACTGGGACGGTTAATGTTGGGACTGGTGGTGGTGAAGGGTGGGGACCTAGGTGTTCTTGTTAGGAGAGAGGAGGGGTTGCATTGGTTACATGAAAGAGGTTTTAGCATGGAGTTGGGCCCTACGTTGGGATAGCACATGGGAGGCATGATACCCTTATACACTAGAATGTACATTTCTATTCTTTAGGTTTCAGGAACTCTACAACGGCTGTTCCCCAAGTCAGTATCTGGATGTTTTGCCTGGGAGGGGTGCGAAGGGAGCTTTACCTTCTCTAAATGCTTCGGGGTTCTCGGAGATGACCCAGTGTCCTGCTTCGATATCTGCGAGCTCGAATCTTGGGAAGAACTGTCCTATTATGGGGAGTGCTTCATCAGGAACGTATTTGCTGTGGGTGCCTCTCACGAATAACGCTCGTTTTTCGAACCGTACTTCCGAGGGGTCCTTGTATGGGAAATCTCCAAGGTTATCCAATGCAGAAGCTAGGATCTTTAGAGGTACTTTGAATTTTTGTGTCTTGTCATCCGCAGGTCGGTATAAATTGCCAAGCAAGAATTGTCGGATAGGGAGAGACTGTGGTGTTCGTTAGTAAGATTACACTTCCAGTTTCTGGCTGACAGGAATTACTGACTTCCTCATAGTCGACTAATATCTTGTCTGCCTCGGCTTGCCTGGTAACGCCTGCTTCCTCGATCTTCTTCATCCCTTGAATGTATTTGCCAAAGTTGCTGAGTAGAGCGGCATCCAATGGAGCATTGTCGACTGAAACAATATCGTTTATGATTTCTGGAGACCGTAGGGCCAAAGTCATTGCTGTTTTGGCTCCCCTAACAATCCTTTAGTCCACGAATAATCCTGGTTTGCAACAGTACTGACATTGAGTGACCAATTAACGTTGTATCTTTGAGCTTGTGCTCCTCTATAAATCCAGCAACATCGTCTGCCATAGAAATGTAGTCGTGGTGAGGATTGTGAGCAGAGTCTCCATGATTTCGAAGGTCCTGTAGCTTCATCAACAACCTATTCGGCGCTGATTTGTACATCAACTTACAACTGCATAAATTGGTCTTCCTAAGTCCCTGGCAAGAGCTCTGTTCCTGAAGTCAAAAACGCTGGTCCGGAAAAGACGGGGCTGCAGGATGCTCACTTACTGATGCTCCTGTTATTTTTCTTAGACCCAAACAGGCCATGCATAAATATAATTGCCCCCGGAGCATTTGAGGAGGGTTTCGCCGGTTCGTGGAGGTCATAGGCCAGGCGCACTCTTGGGGCTGTCGAGTAGCATTGAATACAGAGCTTTGTTGAGGTTCTGAAGGACGATAGGGATATTAATCGGGGTGGCATTATCAAATTTTCGATCTGGTGAAGCTTTCCAGCTCCTGCGAGAATCAAACAGTGAGGAGAAATGGTAGTGTTGTGCGTTGAAGTGAAGGTTGAATTTCTTGGTCAAGAAGTTTTGCTGCCTTGATCACGAGGCTGAAAGCTGATTTTGTGTCACGTGGTTAAAGTCAGGGAGACACATTCAGATCTTTTGTCTTCATCCTATTTTCCCATCAATACTATCAATTTCAGTGGGTTGTCTGTAGAAGTCGGCCTTCTGGCTCTCTTTCGCCTTTTCAAGAGTCTCATCGGGCCCTCCCAGGCTTTCAGACAAGTAGACTGCTCCTGGTGGTACAGCCACCTTTCCGACGCGCTGCAACTCTGGGAAGCAAAACCAGCAATTCTGCAAATGATCCCTCCTATTGCCATTGCTCACATCCGTACCAGCACATGTTGAACCTGAACAAAATGCGTTCTTTCCCCTTTCAGTAACATCCGCAAATCATGGGGTCCGTTTGGCAACTTTGGCTTGATGTTACAATCTCGATCTTGAACTTCTCATGTCTTCTTGCGCAGAGTATTAAGTCCTGACATATGCAGCCACTTGAAGTCCTGTTCACCCACTGGTATCAGTTTTCAATCTACGGAAGCGAAACCTCAAAGTTGAATACGAACCAGGAAGCCGTAAGGCAAGAACGTGACTGCGAGCCAAGTGATAAATGTCTTTGTTCCATGCCAATACCACGCCTTTGGCTTCTTCTTCAATGCGTTCGCAACCACGCCAGCGGCAAAGTCAGATGGCTCGGTCCACGGCCTCCACTCCTCTGCAGAGGCCGAATAGTTAATCTGACTTTGCACACTCTGGTAGAGGGAATCTGTATGAAAGATTAGTCTTGTCTTTTGGAAGGTCATTTTATTGTTCTTTACTTTCAGGTACATTTAAGTACTTTGCTTGATTCTCGAAAAAGGTCGTATTGATAGTCCCAGCGATGACCTGAAGAAGGTGAGCTCCTGACGCCCTGCTAAGTGGTCGAAGAGGAGCATACCGTTACGACCTGAACATCGAAGGGAGCGAGTTCAACCCGAAGTGTGTCTCCAAGCATGTGCAAAGCAGCTTTGCACGAACAATTAATGCCTAGAATGACGTGAGCTTTCCCCAGCTTCTTCAGAACAATAAGAGCTGTGCTACGAACCCCAATATGGCTGAGTCATGACTCCGGTGACAGCACCAATGTTGATGATCTTCCCCTTGGCCGCTATGATTGTCGGCGAGAAAGCCTTAACCATCGCAAGAACAGACCAGAAATTGGTATCGAACAGGTTTTTAGCCAGAGCCAAGTCGGCATCAAGAAGTGGCGTCAAGTAGCCTTTTAAAATCAATCAACCAGCAGTATTTTGAACATTGACTCCTTTGAAACCTACCCACCCCAGCATTGTTGACGAGGTAATCAAGCTTTCCGCCAGATTCCTTCTCAATGTACCTGACAGCATTTTGAATGGACTCCTCGGAAGTCACATCAAGCTGTACAGTGTCAAGACCCATGGCCTTGAGGTGTTGCATCTTGGATAAGTCCCTCGCGGAAGCAAAGACACGCACGCCTTTGTGGTAGAATTCCTGGGCGAGAGCATCGCCGATTCCACCCCTACTACAGCCCGTTATTAAAGCCACATCGGTCATTGTACGAAGTGGATTGGGTGAATGGAGAGTCGGGTGTGTGGTTATACAATGGTCTGGTGAGCCGTTCTCACAAACAGACTTCAAAATTGAATGGGCCAGATGTCGAGTCTAATTCTGAGGGAGTGAGAGGGCCAAGGACACATCTTCAGAGGTACTTATCCCTTCGTCTGGTGAGACATTGGCTCGCTACTTTCCTTCCCCTAAATAAATGTAATAGTGGGTCCCCGCAAAACCAGCCTGGCACGGTCCAGTTGCCTTACAAAAAAAAACCCCTGCATTGTGACCCACTGCTACATTTAATTAGGGGAGGGGAGAGTAGCGGCCGCACGCAAATATCCCCTGTTTCGTCAGAATATCCGCCTGCGGAAGTATTTCTTGGATGCTGAAGGAGAAGGTGATCGCTGCATGGCGTCCCACTCTTGAGAGTTGGTCAAACCTATCCAGCCCATAGGCGTATTGTTCATCACCCACTGATGCATATTTGCAACTTCTCTCGTTTGTTCCATTGTCTGAAAGAACATTGATGTGGAATACTCGCCATTGCCCATTTGTTCGTGTATGTGCAGAGCAGACTTGTAGGATCCAGCCAAATCCTTTTGGATGCCGGGAAGGACGATATTGCTTATGTGCTCGGTAGGTCCTTCGATTATCCACTTGTTCCAACCATCATAGGGCCTCATACCAATCCATTTGATCCAGTGATATAGCTCATGGGCTATTGTTTTCTTCGTGTCGTGCACGCCGGTGACCATTTTTGCGTCCAGATCCTCCGGGTTACAATCTGGCAAGGTGCAGATTTCTCTACCTGCCCTGGAAATATCGGGAAATTCATCTCTGTATCAACCGGCCCTTCATCTACGCCTGTGATAATGACAACTTCTGGAGGAAGAGTAGCAAATGGGCTGTAGACCTGTATGCTAGTCTTGAGGGATTTGAATGGAATTGGTGCAACCCCCACGAAGCTAGCCGCTGGAGACTCCGCCCACTCCTGAGTGTATGCGATAGTGACAGTTGTATTTCCGAATTTCATAAAGTAGTTAGGGAATATTGTACACTGTGCATCGATAGTCCACTGGTTTCCTGGCTTTAGTGATGACCAGAACTTTGCACAATTGAACTGTGCTTAAGCCGATGAAGGATAGAAGATGAAAAAGGTCTCATTTTCGATATGTTGTTGAATCGTTTACTGCATGACAGGATCAGGGGATTCCGAGGAATCCGATTTTTAAAGAACCTTTTGGCAATTGACATTTAAATTGTAGCACGGACGCGCGCCAGTTCACCAGATCCAAGGTTGCTGGGTTAAGACCGCTGCTGTTCAAATGTTGGGTCGACACGGTCCGAGCCGACTACTGCTTTCAAAAGTTCCTACTGGTGGGCTGAAAAACATCCCTCCTCATGTGAACGGAACTAATTATATCAGATAATCAAGATTTGATCACAGCTGGCAAGGAAGCAGTCGTCTTGAGCTGAGCTTGAAGTGTCGCTGCGTGTTTGATATCCTTGAATCTACAAGTGTTCGGCAGCAACTTAATCCATCGATAGCTCTATCCCACTCTCCCTTCTCATTGTGCTGACATTTCAGTTTAGCATTTAGTGTGCTGGGAAGGTCATCCGAGTCCTACGTATGTTCTTCGTTACCTCTTAACCAATGTTCAGGATGAAACTTAGCCACGCCTCAGCAGGGTAATTCTCTATCCGAGATACATCGTGAAAAACTAAATATGTTCGTGTTGCTGACTTTCTCTCTCCGAAAACTGTGGTGGCCACCACCCTTACTTTGACCAGGGAAGAATGGGGGATGAGTGCGTGGGGGCCAAAATTGCGGGGTACCCCTTTTCAATGTACGCGAATTCTCTGAGTGCTTGTTGACGGATCATTGTTTCCGAGTATTGGAGGGTAGAGCGGCATTTAGAGTGTGGACTAACGGGCACTTTTGCGTATGGTGGCTGGGGAACACATCTATGGCTTTGGTTTTAGGGCAGACTGCGGAGCTTTTGTCAGTTGTAACTACCAGGCGTGTACCTCTCCTCTTAAAAATTACAAAAACAACTTCAACCGCTAGTTTCCGAGTATTGTAAAATAGATTCGGTTAGCGTAACCAGTGGAAAGGACTTAATATCGAATATAGAGCAAAACTTAATGTCACTTGTTCTATATTCTCCTCAACTTCGGAATGAATATTTGTTCCCCGCCCCTCGTTTAGGATGTTGTGGGAGCCGGGTATTATTAAGCAGCTTACGGAGTATGCTCCACCACCGGCACCCCTCTATGTACCTAGAAGGGCGTGGGGAAAGTTAACGGAATATCATCTCCGTTCAAAATCAACCTCATCGAACAGCAGGTCTGTGAAGTTACAATTAATTGTCCAGATCGAAGAAGAAGCTTTCAGACGGGCCACTTCTCGACCCAAAACCCCTATTTATTTAACTTACAGCATGACCAAACCAATACTTTGGATCTCCCCAGGGGCGTGCTCTCTTGCCCCCCATATCCTCATCCGTGAAGCCGAGATAGACTTCGAAACAGTCGTCATCAACGCCAAAGCTGGCTTCCCTCAAGAATATCGTCACATGAATCCAAAAGCACGGGTTCCCATCTTTCAACTTGGTGACGAAACCATAACCGAGGTGCCTGCAATCATGACCGCTATCTCGCAAATGTCTCCCAACAAGCATCTCTTGGGAAAGACGAACCTTGAGATCGTCCGCACTTACGAATGGTGCAATTGGCTCTCAGGAACGGTGCACGCACAGGCATTTGGGGGGGTGAGAAGGTCACACCGATTCTCAGATGATCCGCAGACGTACAACGCAATTAAAGCAAAGGGAAGGAAGACAATTGAGGAAAGTTTGGAGTTCATTGAAGAAAAATTGAAAGGCAGCCATGCGGTTGGTGACACTTTCACGGCCGTCGACGCCTTCCTTCTCGTGATCTATCGTTGGGGAAATGACACAGGAATTGACATGAAAGGAAAATATCCGAAGTATGCGAACTTGGTTGTGGAGGGTCTCAAGCGTGATTCAGTCAAGGCTGCTATCGAAGTAGAGGGAATTAAGTTTGAGGTATGAAGGTTTTGGGGAAGTTTGATTCCCCAAGATGTTTCTGTGTGGACTTCCTACCAATCGAAGTGGACTAAATGAAAGTTTTTGACTACTTTCCCTATCTAACTATTCCGAAGCTTTGAGCACCTAGGGTTAAAGCAAAGCCAGAAGTCTTCGGAACTGGCCAGATATGTTTCATTGATATTTAAATGCGCTCGAAAATCTCTGCAGTACAATTTAATCACCCTCGCTAATTTTCTTTCCTTGCTCGCCGCCTTTCTCCATTTCATTGCCTCTGCAAACTTAAGTCAGCCATGCCGTCAGTTTGCATGCACGATTCAATAATTGCAACTCTGGTTGGCTATTCCAACTGTGCTTAAGTCCACCACACTGGCCCCGTAGAATCTACCCACGTTTGTTTTGGGCCAGAGGAGCACGATTCGGAGTCTGTTAATTCTATCTCAGAGTCGGGGGCTAATTTGCCTTGCACTCTTTCCTCCTTCGCCTTCTCGACCGTAAGGCGTCGATTCTGTAATCGAATCATGGCGTCTCTATCACTCGTAAGTGCAGGCCATGTTAAGACGAGTGGGAACGATCGGAAATCGGACTCGGCGGCATCTAGAAGGGCTGTTACTTCCAACTCGTCCTCGTATGTCGTCACGAAATCTACAAAATCGTCTGCGGGGTAAGATACTTTAATGAATGACTAAGGTTATGTGTTAGTAAAAAATCAACGGTCAACATCCAGGTGGTAGCTCACCGGCCTCTCGTCTGTGATGCAGCGCAGGAGACTAGTTCCGAAGTACAGTGAAGGCTTACCCGTGTAAACAAGACTGGTCGCACGGAAGGTTAGCATGACCCCGGAATACAGGTCTGTTTGATACATCCATATTCCATGATGAAGCTCTGGATGTCGAGAAGGCGCAGGGGTTATACATACTCGTACAGGCATGGGCTTGGCAAGAATGGTGCAAAAACCATCGTGGAGGTGGATAATAGAGGACGAAGGCTTTGGTCCAGACCTGCGAATTTGATCACCTCTCCATATTCTTGATACTCTAAGATTTTTGTTTGGTACCAATCGAACGGAAGCACTCGATCTACGAGGATTCCGAGATTAGCAACTGCTGGAATAAGAAGGTCTTGGTGTTTGCTTACGGCCTCGTTTTTCGAGGAATTTTACATCGGTCATAGAAAAAGCCGGATCCTGAAAAGAAACTTCATCAAGTTTAAACTTTTTACCTGCAGATCTATTAGAAAGCTAAAACGCAAACTTTCAAAGTAGTACTTGCGTAGACAGTTGAGGATCGTCTCAAAAACAAGAAGTTGGCTGAGTCTTTTTTTACTTTCGTAGACGCAATAAGTCCACATGTCCTCCACAACATCATAATACTCGGCATAGATTTCTGGATATAATTCCAACGAGCCGAGACCTAGACACATCGCTGAGTCAATGAATATGCTTTCCTGGATAAGGACCTTTTCGTCGATCTGTCTAATGAGATCTTTCTTCTCAACTGAAGCGTCCCATGCTTTGCTGACTTCGGAGCAGCGGCGCTCTACTTCGATGACGGCCTTAGCCAGAAAGGCCTCAAGACGGGTTTTGCTGCGCGTCTGAATAACATGCATTACGAATACTACTAGCAAAACAGTGAATAAAAATGGAAGCGCTGGTCCAGATTAGTTTGCCACTATTTATAACAAGCAAGCTTCTACTAGTGGAGTGGATTGAAACAAAGCGAAATGGTACGAAGATTTAGGGGGAGAAAAAACTATGACTTAGATACAGACTAAGCGGTAAAATTGGTTGCAGGCGATGTAAGCCTTGAAAGGAAATGGGTTGCTTTGTAGTCCATAGGGAACGGCTCGATGCAGCCACGAAGCACAAAGGAGTCATCCCGAGCACGAATGCATAAATTGACTCGTTTTACGCTGTATCATTCTTTGAGCCGAAATTTTGGGCCTCACAAGAGCCAAAATCTTAATGACAAAGAAGCCGTCGAGTTGTGTTTTGAGAGCGATAAGCCACAATATCTGAAACGACTTCGGACATTTTGTGCACTACGTAATCAAAACCGGAAGGGTTCTTTGGCGCCCAGGTGAGACAAACTTGGCTCCTTTACGTGTTTACGAAGCTGCCCTGAATTATCCATCTTTTATCCCAGACCGAGTTCGAACATTTCGTGGCGGATACTTCGACTGGATAGGGGTTCTGAAGAGACGGGTGAACTTGCCAAAAGCTAATTCGATTTGCGAAGGCGATCCGAAGAGGGTCAATGAAGTGCAACAAAACCTCGAAAACTAAGAGGAGAAGTGAATACGGTGAGTTGCAAAGGTCAGCCAAGAACAAGTTGAAGAAAGGGGGCGAATCCAATAGTGAAGGCGGGCCAAAGAAGGCACTGGGCAGTGGGCCGAGGACCATGGTCAAAAGGTGCGATGTGTAATATAAACACCTCATCCATCTATTCTTCAATAGAAGTGCATGACAAATAGGTAGAACCCTTCAGCTGCGATGTATGTGGCACAAAATGGAAAGTGAGAAGAGGCCAAAACCAACAGGTGACATAGAAAGCATGCTGGGAGCTTTTGAAATAGAGGCATTTGACCCGGTCGTGTCTTCATTGCTCCTTATAATGCATATGCTCCCAATGGTATGCACCTGTGACACCATGCTATGCCCCTGAAATGCCGAATTGTACAACCCGGAGTCGAAGAAACTCTATGATACAATATCTTCCAAGATCGTCTCCAATTCTTCTTTTCGGAAAGGCACTGAAAGCATCTCGGTCCCCAGAACGTCCTTTCGGCTAACGATCATCTGATGGTCGTGGAATCTGCGAGAGTCAGCCATTGGAGGCCAGCCGAAATGGAAAGGGGGCAACTCACTCCTTCAGCAATGTCCTAAAGTTCATCTCATTGCTGCAAATGAATTCCTCCACAGCCTTGTTATACAAAACTCGGTATTCAACGCCAGTCTCATTCTTCTTGTGTCCCACCAGACGTCGTTCGTCATTACCATTATCGTCATCACCCCCCTCAAGGGTCCCTGCACCCTCATCCATAGCCGCTAGCTGCTCTCCTATCAATACCCGGAACAGATTCTTGGCGTTCTCGGGCAAACTCTTCAACACAAAGCTGACTCCTTCTTTGCCACCGACTCTTCTACCACTCCTTCCAAGCAGCTCATGAACTTCGTCGACAACATCCACCTCTGCGGTGTAGGGCTGGAAAGTCGTACAGTCATGAAATATGAAATTGTATGTTGATCGAAGAGAGCTGTCCCAGAGCAGTGGGAATGAAGGATGATCAGCTGATGCTATGAGATGCACCTGTGGATGAGAAGCTAGACGGGAGAGGAGGGTCTGTGTGACAGGACGCCGAAGGGGAATTCGGTCGATTGAATGGATGATGAGAGTGATGTCTTGGGCTTTGTCTTCCTCCAGCAAAGCTAAGAGATTATCAAGCATGTCAGCTTGTTGAGATCCCAGCTTGTAGCCACGCTCAGTGATAGAAGCTGCAATGGTGTTGAAAATATCCTTTAGAGTAAGGTTATGGACATAACCATTGACCACCACTATCTTTGCCTTCGTATGATCACTCTGAGCCTTGTAGATATGATCTGCAAACTTCATAAGTAGGGACTTTTTGGATCCCCAACCATAGAGGCAAATGTTGAAATCTTGGCTCAGCTCAAAATGCCATTGGTTGAATGATTCGGCGTGTAGGCCTTCCAAATATTCTATATCTCTTGCATGTGAATCTACTAGATCGCGAGCACGGCTGAAGTACTCTTCATGGTTAAGCAGCGCTAGAGAGGAGAGTGTGTTGTTGGAGGTTTTCACACGCCCTCCGCGGTTTTGATAGAAGTACTTCTCGTGGGGCGTGAGATCCGCAGGTGGTGTTGGGGATTTTCGTCGATTTTTCGTACCCTTCTTCCTCCCTCGTTTTGAGGGCGTCGCTGGAGCATTGTCGTCTTCAGCAAGCCCTCCAATTAACCCTGGTCCATCTTCGTCGATGTTGCCCTCTTCCTCAGAATTATATATTTCTTCTGCAATATCTTCCTCTTCCTCATCATTGTCGCTCGTATTCCCAAGTATTGTACGTTCAATAAGAGTCCTGGTGCTCTTTTTTCTTGCAGACCGGTCTGCGTTCCTCTCAATCCTTGGTGTATCTAATTCGCTGGCACTATTGACTTTGGTTGGGGTAGAGAAGAGTGTCTTGAGCAGACTGTCTTTCTTCGGTGTGGTTCCATTGGTGTAATTCTCGGCCCCGTCTTGCTTCGGGCGACCTCGTCTTCCTTTCCTAGGAGTTATATCTTCTGGTTCTGCATCATCCCCAATGCTGTTCTCCAATTCGCCGTTCGGTTTCCTTTGCTCGACTCCATCCATGGATTCATCTCCAGAAGGGGCTGAATCGCGCTCTTCTTCAACCGGTACGCTCTCCCGCCATAAATATCTTCTCTTTATTGGCGTGGAACCATTTTGCGGGGGTTGATCATCATCTACTGTCTGCTCAGCTGCTCTGGCTCCTGCTGGAGACTTCTTTGCTGATGGCTCTTGGTCGTGTCCATTTGCGGGGTCCTCCTCTACTTGCTTCCGCTTCATTTTGACAGAGCTTGATTGATAAGATCAGTGTCAATCTAGCATGGGAATTTTGAGTACGTACCTTTAGTGGAACTGTCTGCACCTCTTCATGGCAATTCGCAGATTGGCGCTCCTGAAAGTTCGCGATTCCAATTAAGGTTGGCGCTAAAATGCGGGAAGGGATCCGCACCCGCTTCGCGGATTGACAGGGGCGTCGCGACTTCACCTTCAAAGTAAACAAAACGTCGAGCAATGTACTCAGCACCTCACCAACAATCAGAAGATTTCGCAAAACCCGCACTCGGATAATGGCATGCTCTTTTTGATAATTTGGTTCTGGGGCACAATTCGCAAAAGATGCTTAATTGGTGGCTAGGAAAACCCGCGGAGGGGAATCGCGTCCAAGGTACATTGGACCGCTGGAAATAAGTTGATTCACCATGCTAACCAAATACTAGATGGAGACGAGGCTACGGAACTCCCGGATACACCTGCTCCAGTATTCGCCGCTCGTGCATTAAAGAGTGCAATTTTTGGTGTACCAGATCCACAAGATGATGAGACATTCTACGAAGGAGAAGACGAATCGGAAGACATAGCTGCACAAGATCCTGCGAAGGGTATGTCGAGGAGTGTGTCTCCAACGAAGCCTCAGGGTATTCTCCTGACACCTGGGACCGGAACTACGCGCCGAAAGACCGTGTCATTTGGCAATGAGGTGGTTGACAAACCGGAGAATGAAAAGACGAGGGGAAGGCTCTCTGCAAAAAAGTCCAAGAGTGGTATACCAGATGATTGTCCAGGAAAGTTCCCCAGTCCATGGACGTCGAAATCGGAGCCATCGAGGAGGGTTAAGCGCAATCTCACCAAGGTCTTAGAGGACGCGAGAGAGCAAAAGAGCCAGAAGGATAGGATAGAATCAATGGCTACCGCTCCAAAGCCAAAGCCAGAAACGGATAGCAAGTCTTCACAGCCAGAAGCTAAGAGACGGAGCAAGGCAGACTCGGACAGGGGGTCTACAAAATCAGAAACTACGAAGCCAAGCAAGTCAGAACTAAGCAATCAGGGGTTATTGCAACAGCTGGCTGTTCACGACGGTTGCGACAACGATATGACAGTGGATTTGAATGAACCGCATTCCCAATCTGGCAAGTTCTGGAAGTCCAATTTCGAGCAATACCACGAGGACGCAAAGGCAGAGATGGCAAAGCTCTTCAAATACAAGCAGCTTGCCAAATCGTACGCCAAGCTAAAAGACGTGCAGTCCATCAACTTGGAGGAGAAACTGAAAGAGGAGCAACGAAAAGTCTCCTGTATGGAAGACCAGATCTCAAAACTGACCGCACAAATTGCCGCTGCTGCACGAGATGGAATTGATGACAAGTCGCCGGAATTGACAAAGGAGCTTGCACGACAGACCGCTTTGGCTATTCAATATAAGGACCAAGTCGAGGAATTTCGACTTGCACTGGAGGGACCGGAGGGAGAGACCGGTATTGCTGCCAGGCAAGGGAAGCATTTTACTCAGGAGGAAATGGAGAGCACAATGTCGAATGTATCTCATGAGCTGAGGAATGCACGAAAGCAGCTTAAGGAAATGGTATCACTTCGTGAGGAAATGGAACAACTCCGACAGACATTATTAGCCACGGAGAAGACGGTGACGAAGCTCCAAGAAGAGAATACCAAGTTAACCCAAGAACTGCTCCATGCAGACTTGCGCCTGGAAACCCATCTGGAGAAATGCGAAAAGAAACAACAGTCATCCGAGGACCGACTTCGTCTGAGGAATGAAGAGATAGAAACTCTTCATAAGGACTATGCTGCTTTGAAAGACCTCGCAAAGGCAAATCGTCGAGATGCCGAGCAGCTTTTGAAGGGTCGTCACGATCAAGTTGTCAGGTTGAGGAAGGAGATTACATTGTTGCGAGGTGCTGAATCTACTGCACAAGAAGCTGAACGTACTCTGCAGAAGAAGACTACCGAACATGATCGAATTGTGGCAGATCTTCAGAAACAGATGATCGCGTTGAAAGAGAACCAAAAGCCAGAATATTTGCACGACAGACCATCGAAGAGAACGAGGGACGCAAAGCAGCCTCCCGATTTATACTCGAAGCCTCTTCCCCCTGTCGAGCCCCAAGCTAGGGAGAGCCAAGTTCCGATTCCCAGTCCACCAATTGCTCGACCTTTAAAGGCAGCCGCTCCATCGAAGCATTCCCTGCCCGATACGCCTTCAAAGTCGTCAAGACCACGATCATCTCACTCCGCTTTATCAGAATTGATAAACAACGCAAGCACGGACACCATTCCACCTGCCAGTTACGGGCCAATCCAGCACACACCTTTGCCAGCTATCACACTTACCGATCGACTCCCCAGCATGTCTTTATCATCCCCAGAAATGCAGCTTCCCTCCCCCGAACCATTTATCACTCAATTCACAAGTAAAACCATCCACGACCGAAACTGCAAGGCCAGCCCACGGCCTTCAATGTTCAACATCCCAGCCAGCCCTCCTAAGGCAGCCGTAGCCCGCTCTCAAACTTCCGGTAAGCTCTCGAGACAGCGATCGAACAATGATCTCGCTGCCCGTCGCCTGGCAACTTTGACGAGCAGTCGAGTGTCGAGTTTGGATGGCTCAAAGCAGAGGGTTACGCTTCCGCCAGAGAGAGCGGCTGCTGCGAGAGCGAGGCTAGAGCAGAAAAATGCGGAGAAAAAGAGGGTGCATGAGATGGGAGGTGAGAGGAACAAAGAGAACATTCGTTGAGAATTGAGTATGGCTAAATTATTTTGGGGCGTTGGTTTTGGTGGATGTTATCAGGCCAGCCTTACCGGACTGGGTTGGAGTTATTGTATGAGTACGACGATACCATGATTTGGAGTTTGTAGCATTAAGCATTGGAGTTAGGAGACTGCATTAAGAAGTAATGCTTCGTTTTCAGATCGGGTCTCTATGAGACAAAGATGTTCTGCAGACAGAATGTCAGCAGTTTTTGGCATGAAATCATTTCATCATTTCTCTGTCCTATTATCACACCCAAAGCCTCACGTCCTCCTTTTTCTACTCGGCCTTCAGATATCCCCCAACAACCCTCAAAAACTCCGCTGTCTCCTCCAGCTGTGGCGTATGGCTGCTCTCCGCAAACCTAACCCACTTCACCTTCTCAATACTCTTCCAGAACGGTTCCATCACATAGTCCGTAGCCTCATCATACTTGCCATTAACTAGTAGCGTCGGCACTTTGATCTTGCTCAACTCGTCCACGATATTAAAATCCTTGAGCGTCCCAGTGATGAAGAACTCAGACGGTCCATTCATGGTCAGATACACGGTCCGGTCGGCTTTTATAGCTGCTTCGGTGTCGTCCCAATCTTTTGGCTTTGGGATGACGCGGCAGACGTGTCGGTCGTAGAAGACTTGCATTGCGGCTTCGTACTCGGGGGAGTCGGTTGTGCCGTCTGCTTCGTGCTTTAGGAGGGTGGCTTGTACGTCTGGGGGGAGGTTTTGGCGCAGGGTGTCGGCGGCGATCACCCACATTTTCATGGAGGCTGGGGAGTCCGCAATTACGAGTCTATGTAGTCCTTTCGGCTGGTTAATGGCATGGCAGGCACCTAACATGCCGCCCCATGACTGGCCGAGCAGGTCATAGTCATCCTGGATTCCGAGATGCTTTAGGAGGTTGTCGAGTTCAGCGAGGAAGAGCTCAACGGTCCAGAACTTGCCATCTCCTATCTTCTCTGGGAGATGAGTGGAGTTGCCGATCCCGAGTTGGTCGTACATAATCACGGGGATGGAGTGTGTTGAGGCTAAGAAGCGTATCGGACGGATGTAGTTGTGGGCTGCTCCTGGCCCGCCATGGAGACAAACGAGGGGACGGACGCCCGATTTGAGGTCTCCGAAGACGGTGTACCACTGGAAAAGTGGTTAGATTTGTGTGGCGAAGAGATGAAGAAGTATACGAAGAGGTCTATGTGATTTGTGTTATGCTTGAAGTGTGTATAAGGGAGGTGAAGTGTGTTCCACCAGCTCCAAAGAGATTCAAGATGATAACTTTTTGAATGGAATAAACATCGGATAATACCCAAGAACTCTTTGGTTCGGAAACAGAGGTATTTCGGGCCTCTTTGATAGAAAAAGCAATTTTGGAAACGCATTGAAGAACTTGGCTACTTACAGTCTTGCATGGCTTGCCGGCACCTTCGACCTTGAAGTCGGCTTCGGCTTCAATAGTTGGGGGCTCAGGGTACGACATTTTGAAAAATATAAAAGATGTAAAGTGTAGAGTTGAAAGTGGGATGCAAGGGAATTTAGCAAATCTTCAGGGTTGTCTGGCAAAACATGAGTTCACCTTCCGGATTAGGGTTTAATACGAGCAGAGTTGCGGAACCGACGATTCTTAGTCAATTGCACATACACAACTTTGATACAGTATATTTAGGCATCTTCATTAAACACCAGCCTCCCCTGCCTGGAGGGTGATTTCCTTTTGTCGTTCTGTGGTCACCTGATGCTGTTGCTGCTGCTGCTGCTGCTGCATCTATTTTTTTCTGCCTGCATGAAGAGTAGTCAGACATCGCATTGTCGGGTTTTGCGGGCTTCGCCACTGGTGCCTTGTTGTAAGAAAGGGGCTGGGAGATGGGTGGAAAAGTGTCATTTTCTGAGGATTTCACTGTGAATTAATGAATTAATTGTACTTACATATCTAAGAACTTTGAAGGCATAACCTTATATATCTCTACATTTCCAACACCAACAGGTGCTGGCAAGCATCCGACCCGACCCCTTTGCACAGGCGAGGCGTCGATAAGAGTCCTTATCGGGAATTCGCATGACTTAATGAAAGTATCCCTGCTCCCGCCTGGCCTGGTTCCGACCAAGCACGACAAGATCGCCTTTCCTTCCTGTGAGGATCACTTCCGCCCAAGAATTTACCACTTCTTCGCTCCATCTTCCGGCTGACCAACTCCGAATTCACCCCGACACACATCGACGAGCATAAAAGGTCCTTCCTTTCGATCTCGCCGTTGCTGTCGGCATTCCTCGTCCCACATCCCATTCCGATCACGATCCGCGAGTCCTTTGGTGGCAGTACCATCACACGAGTCATTCTAGCAGAACCGCGCCGTACATCTTGGACATAGCAAGCCGACATCAAGTCAATTTCTGGCCCGATCCGCAAATCAACCCAGTCTTTACCACCGAGGACAACTCAGATCCCGATCATGTCTGCGAAACAGCGTTTGATGCAAGAATACAAGGATCTCTCCCGGGAGAAATGGGTCAACATCGAGGTAGGTCCACTCCGCAGATCTCTTTGTCTGTTCGACGTGCTAACAATACCCACAGCTCGACGAGGCTGCTATCTTCAAATGGAGCATCGGACTCATGGTCATTAATCCGGATAGTGCCTTCGATGGTGCCTATTTCAAGGTGAGTCCCTCTCATGACCCCTGGCCTGTCGTTTTACTAACCCGCCCCTCAGGCCTCCATGACCTTCTCCGACAAGTACCCATACGACCCTCCCACCTTCAAATTCAACCGACCGATCTTCCACCCCAATATCTATCCCGACGGCAAGGTCTGCATCTCCATCTTGCACGCTGCCGGTGAGGACGAGCAGTCCGGAGAGCAGGCTAATGAGCGATGGTCTCCTCTCCAAGGTGTCGAGACTGTCCTTCGTTCCATCCTTCTCCTCCTGGATGATCCCGAGATCTCCTCACCCGCCAATGTTGATGCTGGTGTCATGTACCGCGATGACCGAGAGCAATATAACCTCAAGGCCAAGGCTACAGTTCAGGCCTCGAAGTCAGATATCCCAGAGGGCTTTGAGATGCCAGAGACACTCATGGAGGCTCCTCCGGTGAAGTTTGCCGACGATGACGACTTCTGGAACGAGCAGGAGGAGGACGATGATTTTGGCGCCAGTGAAAGCTCCGGAGAAATGGAGGAGGACGAGGAAGGAGAAGACCAAGAATTTGACAGTGAGGAAGAGGAGCAAGAAGAAGTAGAAGAACTATGAAGGAAGAGCGTCCACGATTCCTGGCTTTGGAGTGCATGGATGAAATCTCGGTCTTGCATTTTACGGAGCAGGGCCTTCATGACACAGGATCCAGATGTGAGCACTTGGCGTTATTTTCTCATTTTCCTGCATAGCATAGCGTTGGCCCGGCTAGTTTTTATGGCGTAAGGAATACGGCAAGCATGGCATTTCCAACTGCGGCGTATTTCACGGTGGGTTTGGCTTTGATTTTCTCTTAGACCTAGCTGGCGTCCGGCTGGATATTGCATCTTTGGGGGGTAATTACATAGGAGGGTGGACACAAAACACATCTCAGCATGCTTTGTGTCCTTAGAATACCTGCCTGCAATGTGAGTTGTGAGAGAGTGAAGAAATATATGTCAAGTCGTACCAGGGAAGAGAAGGGTGAGTTGTTTTCCAAGTAGAATTCACCTCGTATGCATGTGAAGGGGTGCCGGTACATAGCGCGGATCGGAACAGGGATGTTGCGCGGCGATTCTTGAGCTCTGTTGATCCAAGCTCTGCAATCCCCATCTTTCACCATTCTCCCCAGAAAACTGGGACCAACGATTTTGAAGCTTTCCAACTTCACACTTCTCAGTTGTACAAACGCGCCTCTGTACATTTCCTTCATGAGCTGTAACAAGCTTCAACGAAGCTGATAACAGTGCGGCTGTAAGCCTCGAGGGCCTCGGCATTACGACGATATGATGGCAGGCCCCTTCCAACCATCCCGTGACGATATCAAGGCTTTCCTGAGCTTGGTCCCCGATGTACCTGAATCAGAAGTTATATTACGATTGAAGGTGACTTGGCGCAAAGCCTCAACTGTGTTCGCAGCTGATATGTGCAGGGAAATAACAACAATGTCGAGCAAGCCATAGGCGAATACTTTGACGACGCTGGGTCTGGAAACAAGGTAGATACGTGGCATATTGCATGCAGGATATCTGAGTGCTGAGGATCTCTCTAGTACCATTGGAATGAAGCGGAGTTCAGCAGCGATCGGGAGGGTACTCAAAACAATGCTGGAATATGTCAGTTGTTCATTTGCCAGCCTTTTGAATAGAACGGGGCTGACCTCACTCAATAGCGTTCAACATACACGCCGCTGATGACATTGGATCATATGGAACATTCTCTGGAGCTCCTTCCCGACCGCCTTCGCGGACAAGCAACAACAAGTCTCCACTCAGTAAGGTCATAGACTTGACTGCAGAGCATGCACTAGGTTCGTATACTCTGCAACGGTACCTACATAGCTAACATACGTTGGTAGCCGACCCTAGGACTTCGATGTCTCATCAGGACCAGCATGACCGGGAATTGGAACAAGTACTTTCTCTTTCGAGACAGGAATGTGGACTACCACCGCAAGAAAGTGGAATAACTGGCACAGACCAGAAATACTTTGGCCCCGCGACCCGCAATGAATACGAGCAAGGCAAGTGGGAGATGGTTCCTATGAGCAAGAGCTCTGCTCAAGAAATCATGTTGGACCCTGGCCCTGCGGAGCGGAAACGAGACCTCGACGTACCTGCCTTCTTGAAGCCCAGCATACAGAACCACCGTCTCAATGCTCTATTCACAATCTATCATGAAATTCCTCTTACTCGAAACATCTTTCTAAAGCCGATGGACGTCCTCCCCAGTTATGGAAATGATAATGAGTGGTGGACTGGCAAAACGATTGATCTTCCATCATTAACTGGCGAAGATTCTCCCGAGGAACAAACGGTCGACAGAGAGCTTCAGCGGATCATGGCTTTCCTTGATAAGACGGACCGCAGTTATGGTTCTGCTGATGCGTTGGCAAACATGGCTGATGTGAAGAAGGCATCACGACACTGGGACACAGCTGAGGCAGCCGTAATGGCCGCGTGGAAACATTTATTGGCTGAAGAGAATCATGGTGTAGTGAAGAAGGTTTTCAGCAGAGGTGTCGAATCGGAAGAACAGGAAGATACCCCGCAAGGAACAGAGTTTGCCATCCTCGAACTGCCACTCCCACCCGAGGACTCTGACCAGGAGAATATCTACGACATCGCTGATGACATGCTGTGGCCTAATTTACTGTTGCGAGACGCCGACAAATGCTCGTACTTGTCACATGTGGCTGATGTCATTGCTTTCCGATTCGAGGGCAACATGGAGTCGTATAAGAAGATCGACATCCCTGCTGTCTGGTATCCAGATCGGTATCTGAAAGATGGAAGACAGGCAGCTTTAGAGATGCGTCAGAAGAAGGTTGTGGTTAAAGAAACACTGGAGCAAGCATCTCGCTTGGAAGATTATTTGACGTCCTATCAGATGCGTGGACCCGGTGGAGGGAAAGTCGTGAAGGTTCAGGATCTGTTCAAAGCTTCACTCAGACATGACGAGGCCGAAATCCTGGAAGACCAGACGATTGATGACTCAGAGCTTGATGGTATTCCAACTCAGCGCCAGAGCAAGGCTGCAGCAGTCCTCTCTAAAGAACTGCAAAAGGTCATGGCGAAGATTGACAGGAAGTTGACGGGTAGGTCTCACTGCATCTCGATTTCTTGCTTTAGCTGACGCAATACAGCTTTGAATGAATCCAAAGAAAAGGCGCGAGAGGAGTTGCGACAGCTCTCGAAACTTTATACTGAACCTTCAAATGACCCGTCGGAGCCCAAACTACATGCTTACTCACTCCGTGGAGTCAGTATTAGTAAGAGTACCTTTTACATTTGCAGAAGAGCGGAGCCAGATCTGATTGATATGGATCTGGATGATGATGGACGGAAGGCCAGCGGTGATCAATGGTGGAGGATCCACTATACTCCAATAGGATATAGTCCTGTGACTGTAGAAGTAAGTTGATTTCTTTGTCACGGAACCGTGGCTCTGACGCACAGGTAGAAAACAACACTGGATCAGGTTCTCGAGGCCACGAGGAATGAAATTAGAAATGCGATCCTCGTGTATGCGAGCAAGTACGCAATGGACATGCAAGCCGTGGTATTGCCAAAGGCCCTAGAGGTGTGTATAATTTCATCCTTTATGATCAGCCTGCTAACGAAACGGCAGACGTTTGTGCGATTCGACAACGCGTCCTTCAAGGTAGAGCTTACTGCACCTGAAGAGTCTCAAACCGTAGGTTGGGACACCGAAGAGTCTGTTGATACTCAGATGGATTCTTCTCAATTGGTGGGATTATCTTCTCCTGGCAAACGAAAATACCGTGGATCTGACGATGAATCAAACCAGTACCAACGCGTGAATGTCACAGAAACGGAGCTGAGAGGAAGCGATGAATCAGCAACTGTAGATGGTCACCTGGGTAATGGAGGCGGAATCATGGAAGATGTCGTGACAACGAATGGAGAGCAACATGATATCATTGTGGGCGTTGATCCGAGTCTGATTATGAAGAACAATGAGGGTGCGGGACAGGAGATGAAGGAGCGTGGCATGATGCCAATGTTGTCGGGTCGGAAGATGAGCATGCAGCAGATGGGCACGATCGATAGTATGGATTTGGATCAGGTGGTGGTGGAGGATGAGCATATTGCCGAGGAGAGCACGGCCGTTAAGCGGGTAGGATTTACGGATTGAGAACCCTGATCGGCGAGCGGGTTACATTATCATGAAGCCGATGATACCCAGGCTACAAGAGCGTTGCGGGCATGCTAAGTTTTAATTGAAACCCTTTGAACGAGTTTGTTGTGCTTCGATGCGGATATCCGCTGCGCTGCCACCAGGGACGAATTGGCCCGTGCACATCTAAGCGAACTGAATCAGCAAATCATATCGCCAGATTCATTGATTTAAGACCTCTGATTTGCTGCAATTTTGCGGTATATTTGATCACGGAAATTCGTCCCTGGTGGCAGCGCAACGGATATCCGGGAGAAAAGGGGCCAAGGTTCGGCTCGGCAAGCTCCCCCCTTTGTTCCCTCCTATGGGGCTTGTACCCCTACAATCGATAATAGATCAAGACAAAGTTATTCGAAGAAGCTATTTTGTTTGTCCAATCACTATCTAATTGCCTGTTTCCATCCAACCCCCTCAAAATAAGCTTTTTCCAGGGTTAACAAAATGTCCTGGTCTCTGCCTTGAGATATGACAGGGGTAGGTATCAGACTCGAACCTTCCTTCACGATTGCTGTCTTACCTTGATCCTTTCAACTTGTGAAATTATTTTCTCCCTATTGCCATCGATTTCGACAATGTGAAAACTTCTTCAAAATGGATCCGGCAATTTGCTTGTTTTCATCGAATGTTCTAGTACATTCCAAAGCGACCCCTCCACGCCCTGCTCCGATTATGGCGTCACACACCGCCTTCCTTGATGGCGGGGAACTTCACCACAAACCTGAACAGAGGTGGCGCCAGCCCGACCTCCAACCCACCTACCTTAGACACTAATCAACACTTAAAGAATATCCAGAGGTCTTTGTTGCCTCTAAAGACGTATCTCGAGTCATTGGCCAATTGCGTATCCACAATCCCGACGCCCATTATCTGGTCATTCGGACAAAGACAGACAAAGAATCCCAGCAATTGGGAGCGAACAATCACACGGTCAGCCGTTAGTACCGGCGAAGGCGACACCGATCCGACAGAAGCACAACGAACAATTCAGCAACTTTCGAGGATATTCTACAACTCGACAACATCTTCTTAATTTTGTCCTAGCTAAAAGCGACCCGGCTACGTTAAAGGCTTCACGATTCGAAGTCGCTCATCTGCACAGTAAAAGGCTCGACCACCAGGACAAAGACATTATCCCGAGCTGTCACCGTACAACCCTGCAGTCATGGTAGCAGAAACCAAGCTCTATGATGTGCTCGGCGTCAAGCCAAACTGTAGCGATGATGATATAAAGAAGGCATACAAGTAAGTTCCTATTATCCCCTCCGTAGCCCTCCCCCTAGGTCCGACAAGCAAGCTAACATCTTGCTAGGAAAATGGCATTGAAGCATCACCCAGACAAGAACCAGAACAGCCCAGAATCAGCAGAGAAGTTCAAGGAGGTCTCGCAAGCATTCGAAATCCTCTCCGACCCCTCAAAGCGAAAAACCTACGATCAATATGGCCTCGAGTTTATGTTGCGTGGTGGTCCACCACCTCCTGAGCCTGGCTCCGACGGCGGATTCTCAAGTGGAGGAGCAGGCAGTATGCCCGGTGGCTTCAACTTCGGCGGAGCTAATAGTATGCCTGGCGGCGGTGTCCGCTACGAGTTCAGCAGTGGTAGTCCAGGCGGTGGAGGCTTCAGCTTCAGCAACCCGGAGTCGATATTCAGTGAGTTCCTGCGGGGGCAATCTGGTATGGGTGGTGGAGATGGTTTTGAGGATCTCTTCAGTGGTGGGGGAGGAATTCCGCGAGCGAGACAGAATAGCGGACGCCCGAGACCGGCATATAGCTCTGAGTCGAGGCAGAGAGCCCAGACTCCAGAACCCACAACAGTGGAGAGACCCCTGGAGGTGACGCTTGAGGAGCTGTTCAATGGCACCCACAAGAAGATGAAGATCAAGCGAAAGCTGTTTGATGAGGTTACCGGTAAGAGAACCACGCAAGAAAAGGTTTTGGAGATGGACATCAAGCCTGGATTGAAGAAGGGCAGTAAGATTAAGTTCAAGGGTGTTGGAGACCAGGAGGAGGGTGGTCAGCAAGATCTACATTTCGTTGTTACAGAGGTGCGTTAATTTCTCCGCTTCTTTCTCTATTTCATATACCAGCATGCTGACTGAATTTACAGAAACCACACGCACTCTTCACCCGCGACGGTGACGATATCCACTACACAGTCGACTTGGAACTTAAAGAGGCTCTCACGGGCTGGAAGAGAACAATTACCACGATCGACAGGAAGCAAATCAGCCTCGACAAAGCAGGCCCCACCCAGCCCGGCAGCAAGGAAATCTATCCGAACCTCGGCATGCCCTTGAGCAAGAAGCCAGATACGAGGGGTGACTTCATCGTGACGTATAATGTGAAGTTCCCGACTAGCTTGACACCAAAGCAGAAGGAAGAGTTGAAGAGGATTCTTTAGTTTGCCGGACTGGATTCTCGACAATGGGGGATAGGGTGGTGGTGGGTGATGCGATGAGAGAAGACATGGGAGCAAAGTGAGAAACATGAGCGCGAAGCAAGCGAAGCAGGACGTTATTGCAATAATTTCTTAGAACTGGGGCATTTTGTGTGAGGTCTGGAGTCATGGGATCCATGGGAACGAGCATTTTGCGTTCCTTTTTCAAACGGTGTTTGGCGAAATGGAAGTGAAAGGAAGTGAAACGTGAACATGCGAACAAAGGAATGATGCATACGTGGAATGAATGATGGATGATGGGTGATGAGATGGTGATATGAGGGGATACGTACATAGTTGCGAGTGAAGGGGATTTCCTTTCTCTTCTACTGTAGGTTCATAGAATGATATGCGTTAGTCTTGACGTTTGTTTCCATCGGATGTTACTTTGAATATGATAGTTGCGAGAGTGATTATTGGATGGTGAGGTTCATTGTACAGTAGCGGAATAAAGTGTGAATTTTCAATGTAACAGCTAGAACTGGTACATTTAGCAAACTGTGAATTTCGATGTCCCAGAGAGGGCTGGTACATTTACCAGATAGCGAATTTCATTATCCTGTATAGAATTGGTACATCCATTATCTCTTAGATCTCAATGTCCCTAACTCAACTTGTACAACCACCCCTTTCTATTATAATATATTACAAAGCCCCCCCAACAAGCCCCACAATCCACATCGCAATCCTTACCTGCAAGCCCACCCTCCTCTCACTCCTCGCGAAATCATCTCTCGTCACGACACCTGCATACTCCCCAAGATGATCCTTCTCTTCTTTTAATCGCTGTTGGAGGGAAGGATCGGAGGTTATGATGCAGGCGCCGGCTTCGAGATCGAGGGCGTAGGAGCGCTGCGTGTAGTTGCTGCTGCCGACTACTGAGATGCTGACTCCCTCTTTTTCTGGTGAAGATGGTGAAGGTGGAGAGAGTGAGGAGGGAGAGGGGACCGAAATCCACAGCCCTTTGGCGTGGTACGTCCACCCTCCGTCTTCCCCCACCGTTCCACGTCTCCATTCCTTGAGTCCAATGTCTACTTTCCTTCTCTCTTTTTCGGCGCGCTCTAGAAATCGACGAGAAAGTAATGTGTACGCTGGGGGAAGTAGTCCAGATACGCCTTTAGAGCCGTAGAATCCATTGGCTTGTTGAGAGGCGGTGATTACGGTGTTCTGGATGGAGGCGGTGCGCAGAAGGAGGTTAACGAGGAAAGGAGACGGGTTGAAGTAGCCTGCTGTGAATGTCCAGCTTGAGGTGCTGTATTGTGGTTGGGAAAGAGTGGTTAGAATGGAGGACAGAGCAGGCGCTTCGGTTGAAGAGGCGGTGGACGGGCTCGAAGGGGGAAAGAGCTGGGTTAGGGAGAGAAGGGGGTAGATTGTTGTGTTTGTTCCCTTGCTTGTCTCGGAAGAAGGGGCGGAGGCGGATGATGAGGAACGGGAGGGGACAGCCGGGGGTTGGATGAGTGGCAATAGCACGGCGGATGAGTGCTTTACGTATGCCCGTGGTGAGATTAACGGCGAAGGCGCAAGGTTTGGGGCTGGCCAGGAAAGGGTGTATCCAGCTGGGTCTTGAGCCGAGGGATTGACGAGGAATGAGAGGTGCGAGACGGCATCATGGATGGAGCGGAAGTAATCTGTTATTTCCTTGGAGCTGAAGACGTGGTATCTATCCTGGCGGTTGGTGAAGTAGTCGGTTGAGAGATTGGCGCCTGAGAGAATTATCTCATCATCCATCCCGTACAATTTCATGTGCTGTAATCCCCATCCTTCGTTAATCCTCTTTGGAATGTACTTCTTTCGCAGTCCAGTCAGGTTCGGCGTGTGATACATGCGGATTTCTACCCTTTCTGGGCCGAACTCGGTGACCAAGGGTGCTAATAAGGAGGCACATGATGGGTCGGGCGATTCTCGAGTCCCTCGAAGGGCATCGGTCAGAATGCTGAGTTTTAATCTTGGTTTAGCTCGGAGAGCTTGCTGAAGCGTAGAAATCTAGTCCCTGTTAATGGAAATTCACAGTGAAGGTCCGGACAAATACAAGTTCATGTTCTGTTTTCCCTATGTACAATGTAGACAGAAATATGCGGTTCTCTGCTCCCAGTATCTTGGCCTACTTCCATCAGCACATATTCCTCTTTAAATTCCTGATGCTGCCCACCTTCAACGTCTCGTAAAACTCCAACGGCGTACGCAAGATCTGTATCTGCGACCCTTCAATCTCAAACTTCGGCGCTATCTTATCTAACTCGCTCGTAAAAGCTCCCAGCATCGAAGCCTGTGAAGCTCCATTGGGAGTTGTGACTGCAGAAGTGGAAGTCGAGTATCGTCGCGGTTCAGCTTGGAGCAGTCGAGGTCGGCAGAGAGGTAGTCTTCGCGTGGCGGAGCATCTTGCGATACTCCTGACTATCATGTCAACTTTCTGCTCTTCAGGAGCGCAGAGAAGCGTGTTTGCCTGGGTATGATGATTTCGGAGAAGCAGATGAGGTTGTTGGAGCTAGTACGAAATTGGACGAACCGAAGCATCTCGATGAACCTCAACTCTCTTGGAATATTGACAGCAATTGAACAGCCGCCACCATGTCGACGATTCTGAGGTCGTTGCGCAATCTGTATAGAGTTGGTCTGAGGGTATAGAACCTATTTATTACGTGTTTGGGAGCTTGCTGACGTTGTGGTGATAGGATGCTGCGCATCAGATGCATGTACGTCTCCACGCCCCTCCATGACTCACGACAGGATAGCTACTGATCGATGTCTTCTTCTTATAGTACCAAGGTACGAGGATTCTCGGGGATTTATGAGGGCTGGAAGCTCACGACCGTTGCAGGTGATACCAAGGCGGGCACATTGATCGCGAAGGACAAGTTTGGCAACAAATACTACGAGAACTTGGAGGAGGAATTGCCTTGTAAGAATACCGAAATGCTGCTCCATAAGGATGTGTATTGATGAGGAGATAGTGCGAACACGATGGGTGGATTACAAGGAGAAGGAGTTTGATCCGTAGAGTCCCCGAATTCTAGAGCAATCCAGCTTCTCGCTGACAACGGACTACAGGTCACAAATCGAGCCCGGATGGCACGCCTGGATTTCATACATGGTTGACAAGCCACCGACTCAAGATCCCATCCTTCAGACTGGTGTAAGGCCGTGGGAGCTACCAGAACATCGACCGAATTTCACAGCAAGCCGGGGTGCTTTCAAAACATACTCTACGTAAGTCTCCATTCAACAAATTTCAAGAATACAGTACTGATAACTTTACAGCGTTAAGCCGAAGATCAAGGCTTGGACACCAGAAGCTGCGCCGAGGGCATAGACAAGAGTCATAGAGGTGGAGTTGTACATAGTTGAATAGCAAATGGAGTTCTTTGTTCAATTTAGGGTTACCCAACAAGGTTACTGAACATTGTCCAAGTATCTTCTCAATGGCTCGATCCGGCGGAGAAGCCCATGATTCACAAATTTAGTGCAGAGGCTGTGTGCTTTCTCCCCTCGATGAGGCCGTACGGCCCACGGACTCGCGCTGATTTCGCCTACGCTCGGCTCATCTTCAACGTCACTCGAGAACAAAGCACACCCACAACATAAAAGCAAACGTAACATCCACCTTCCCTCACAACTCACGATCACAATCATGTCAAAACCACGCAAGGCTATCGAGCTCCCAGCTCTCACGCAGTTTACACTCTTCCCCAAGCTCCCAAAAGAGCTCCGGATCATCCTCTGGCAGTTGGCAGCACGTGAACCTCGCATCGTCGAGGTATGCCAACTCCAAGACTCCCAATACATAACCCACGGCACCGAGGACAACGACTATGAATCGGCAAACTCAGCTGCCTTCTACTCACCCACAGCTATCCCAGTCATCCTACGCATAAACCGCGAGTCACGGGTCGTCGCACTCGAGAACTACAGCCTCTCCTTCCCTCACGGTTCCCATCCCGCTCAGATATATTACAACCCTTTCGTCGACACCCTCTACTTCCCCGCCTGGTGTTTTCAATACGGCATCTCCCACTTCGAGACCGCCACCCCTCCGGAAATAAAAGACACCATCCATAACATCGCAATCGACAACCTGATCTGGTATTCAGGCTGGGAGGATGGCACTATCAACAACCAGATCCAGATCGACAAATTCAAGAATCTAGAGCAGTTTCTATTGGTTACGAGGGAGCCGGACGAGTCGGGCTGTGGTTGCTGTCACGAGTTTGAGGGCCCAGAGAAGGGCGTCCCTGAGTTTGCGGAGTTTGAGGATGGGGATGAGGGCTCGAAGGGGTATTTTGAGAGGGGGATTAAGGATTGCTTGGTGGAGTTTGGGAAGATTAAGGAATTGGATGCTGAGTGGAATGCCCCGCAGGTTAGGTTTGTGCAGCTTAAGAGAGATGGGGTTCTGGTTTGAGGGTTGTGCGATCTAAGATAGGTCTTTCCGCAATCCATTGCTTGAGTCATGGCAAGATTCATTGAGATCGCTCTGAAGCCCGACTCAAACTTCTAATTTAGACTTTCCCGTCATCCTCTTAGCATGACCAGTCCATGAGAAACATGCATCGCAGTCCCGCTGGATAAAGCCAGACATTTTCTTTGCTTATCTCAAGCCAGGTTTTTTTCTTCCAAAGTCTTCAGCTCTTAGGGTCGGTCATATTGAATCTCACCGCAGCGGGGCTGCAGAGTAATCGCTGTCAAGTATATGATGAGTATCGTATCTTCGACGATTAATAAATTTGAGTTGAAATGGAGACCTTTTCGAGACGGTTAATATATATGCTGTTGTCTACTTAGTCTCTAGAATCGTCTGGCAGCCTTCGAAAGTTGTTGTCAGATCGTGGATGGATGTCAAAGTTAATAGTTTATAACTACCTTTATAACGCTTTGCTTCAGTGAGGAGATATATTAAAGATAAAGTGGCAAAGTTGTCTTCTTATACTCGAGATAGAAGTATAAAGAAATATTTCTATATATTGCGTTAGTGCCTGTATATAAAGACCGAGTACTTATTAATGGCCTGTTATAATAAACTCAGTAATCTATTTTTAATTATTTAAACAGATTTCTTTACTTATTCTTCGCTGCTCTTTAATACTTCGAAGTTCGAAGGATTAATATTTTACTAATCTAATTACTCTGATTTAATAAGATATTCGGAAGCCTTTTAATTTTGTTTAATCCATATAGGTTCGGTACTGCCAGTTTAGGCAAGAAGCCCTCGCTTTGTCCAGGCGCTGCTTTTTGACCTCGCTCCTTTCTCCCTCTTTTACCTCAACTCGCAACTCTCTTTCCTGCTAACTCCACCACAACTGATCTTCCCTCCTTCCTCACTCCTTTTCCCACACCCCCTCGCTCGGTCCTTCCAGGTCTCGTCATGCGCCATCAACCCCTCCCGCTTTACAGGTCTCGCCGCAAGTGAAAATGCCTCATGGCACAGCCTATTTGGAGCCCAAATCTTCGATCTGCTATTCTAGGCTCGATCCTCTTAATTGCCGCGACGGGGGTCCCTCTAGATTACACCGAATGATTGAGATGCGAGCATAAGCCCGGTTTCAGCTCTTAGCCCTTGCCTTGCCACTGCACCATCACGATTCACAAAATTTTCAATACCATTAACAAAGCTACGGCAGAATTATCATCCCAGATCCCTCAGCTCTTGGTCGAACTTATTTCCCCTTCCAAATTTTACTAATTGCGATCGTGGTGATTTGCTTTGTAGTCGTAATAGAAGAGGAGAGAGACTTGATAGAAATTAGCAAAGAAAGAGGGGTCAAATGCGCACCATTTCCACACCGTCCTTTTTCAAAATCCACGCAGTATTTCGAGTATACTGGCTGGGACTAGTTGGGCCTCCCTCTCGGACGGGTCCGTCGACACTTTCGCCAAACTCTTAGTCCTGGATTTCTTTCATGCATCCATTTATTTGCAGCGCGTGGATTACTATGGACCCCTGATCTACTCACAATTACCCGAAAAAGAAGTCCTAAAATTTTCGCTGACCAAAAACCCTCATCTTCAAGTTCCGTTAGGCCTCTTCGAACTTCGTCTATCTGCTAAGAGCAGGGAGGCGTTCAAGGAAATTATATGAAACTTTGGTATGTAGGCGAACCCCACCTCGACTCTCGCTGCCAATAATGATTCCGGTGTTGAATAAGTCGTGTGCAGGCTTGTGAATTATCCAGGCAGTTTCCAGGCGTTCGAGAACAGCTTTCACAATTTTCCGCCTTCCTTAAGCAACTATCTTCGGTCAATCGGCGCTTTCTCCCCAGGATCATCAACGGTACCGGAATAGGACGACATACAAAATTTGGTGTTTGTGCACAATTATGTGCGCCTCGTGAAGGATCCTCTTTGCCAACAAGGGCGGCCAATGTACATGCTGGGTGATGCCGAGGTTCAGTCTTGGCCCTTTGCTGTTTGGTCGGGTGCTGTATCTTCGCATGCTCATGAATCTACGGTTATTGTTTTCGGCAGGTGGTCCGCATTAGATATTTCTCGTGTTCAACAGCATTACTCCAGCAAACGCCGATGGGATCGGCTAGCCGCATGCCACGAGTGGATTTACCATGACCTGAATACCATTCTTTCGGACTGGGTAGGTATCTGGAATGCGGCCGCTTGGGAATTGAGGGACAGAAGCATCGAAGTCAACCAGGAGAACTTCACAGGCAACGTTCTTCAACGCATGCGGCGGTTGAACAGAGCAATGGCAACAAACATCCTGTTACACGAGTCTCTGTTGATACAACAAAACTCACTCAAAGAAATCATAGTTCTCGCACCACAGAGGTATTTCGAATTTCGGAGCCTCGAGCAAGATGCTGCTGAGGTCGGATTTATCTCGCGATGCAGCCAAATGGACAAAGCATTAAGTCACGATCTTCTGGTCGTGCAAGGTATGCTCGAGCAATTAGAAAACTTGATGGCCATGATAGTTTCTATCGAGCAGATTTCGACTGGACAGTCAGTCGCTCGACTGACCTCCTTGGGCTTCTTCTTCTTACCGGTATCGTTGGTAGCTGTAAGTCATCCGCTTTGGATCGTTAACAAAAGCTAAGAGGCCCATAGGCCATTTTCGGCATCACTACTTTCACTATCAGTCCTAAGTGGTATCCCGTAGGAGCAATTTCTGCGCTATTGTTTACTATCATTGTTGCCTTCCCTATGCCACACATAATATCGGCGTGGCACAATGGACCCAAAAGTTTGAGAGGCTATGTATCTAAGCTTGAAAGTACCCTAGATGTGGAAGACCAGGAAAGGGGTCGGCCGATGAGCACAGCGGTGTCATCCAGAAGATCTGAAATGATGTACAAAAGCCGTCAAGGATCAGAACCAGGGAGTTGCCGTGCACGTGCCGGTGGCAAAACACCAGAGATATCCGCACCTATGATAGCCGAGAATCCCTTGGGCTGGAATTAATTCTGGGCTAGCTATGAAGAAATAATTTAATAATTCTATCTATAAAGATGCTATTTTAATGGCCAATTCCAAGATCTATAATACATATTCTCAACTTCGGAGTGCTTGTTCCTGGAGCGGCCCGTATATAAATACTCAATTGTAATCCCCATTTAGCGCTTGAGATGTACTTGTAGAACAGAGAAGTTGCCAGATGCAGGGCAATGAATTCAATGATGTGAGGGCTGGGCAGTTAAAGTTCCAGCCACACCTAGGGCAGGATTTTAGGCGGTGAAGGGTCGAAACACTCGAGCACTCGAGCACCAGAACACCAAAAAACCAAAACCACTTAAAATTAGACGTGCAACTGTACTAAAATTAAGCTAAGGCCCGTAACTATTATAGCTAGTATATAAAACTAGGTAATATCTAAGAAAAGCTAATTACTATTATTGCAAAGAGCTGCACCCCAGAGAGCTGCCCCCCTAGAAAGCTGTCCCCCAGGGAGCTCTTTATATGTCGCAGTGAGCTGTCCTAAAGGAGCTGCCCCAAGGAGCTCTTTATGTATTGCAGTGAGCTATCCCCAGGAAGCTCTTTACCTACTATATATAAAGAGCTCCCTACGGACAGCTCACCGCAATATATAAAGAGCTCCTTGAGGGACAGCTCACTGGGTAAAAGCTACAATGCCTCAGGCAACCACAGTATCCTGTACATACTCTCTTGAGGCACACCTTACCAATTCTATATTATCTTCCTCGCATAACTTTTCTCTAGGGGGCAGCTCGCTGCGATACGTAAAGAGCTCCCTATAAATAGTAGGTACGAGTCTAAGTATAATTTTAGTGCAATTCCAGGTCTAATTCTAAGCAGCATGCGATTCGTAGTTTTGGGTTTTGGTATTTTGGTGTTCTGGTACTTGAGTGTTTTGACCCTTTACGAGCCTAACAACAGTACTCTGTGCGCTCAGGGCATTTTACTAATAAATACAATTTTGAAACGTGCAAATCTTTAAAAATTAATTAATCAAATTATACTTAGGTTACTTTGGTTCTCTAACCCTAAATATTAAGTCGTGACTATTATTTGTTATCTTATAACCTTTAAGTGTTTAAGGAGACTTTAGTTTTCCAAGGCCTGTAAGCGAATTTATGGAGCCTGAAAATACCTGGAAAATGCCCTGTGCGCACAGACTACTGTCGGTAGGCTCGTTAGTTCTACCGCCTAAAATCCTGCCTACCTGCCCTAGACGACGCTTGCTTCCGCTCTCAACCACCACCACAAATTCCCTAACCGACAACTTTCGAATCTGAATTATGAACTTAGGGCGTAGAGAGACGGAAAGGCGCGCTGAAAAGGTCTTCGATGTTGCCACGAATCACCGTCGTCCTCAATTCAGCCCCTTTCCGCAGCTTCGGGGACTACTGCAGATAGCTCCACAAGGGTGACGAATCTCACACACAGACCAAGTTTCGAATCACAAACTTTGTTTGCAACGATACCGTGTCGCCCAATGAAGAGGGACACGTGAGTTTTCGCCTCAAGGAAGGTGTTTCCAGAATGATACGGCTGCGAGGCTTGGGCGTCCAGGTGTCCATGGACACGATGGAGAAGGGGATGCACATGCAATTCGGGAGGCTTCGAGGATTTCGGGCTGGTAATTCCGAAGCGGGAGATAAAGGTTAACGGGGTGGGTATGGAGCTGTCACTGGTATCAGGACAGAGATGCGAGTAGGGTCTGGACGAGTCGGTGTCTAAAGTGAGGATTCATCTGGTGCAGACGGGCTCTCGTGGAATGATGGACACCTTGACCTGGATTGCGAACGGATCTCCCTCTTCCATGCCAATCCTTTTTCCATCTGTAGATTCTGTTCATGCGTCCGCCAATCTGCAAAGTAAGCTTCCCTGCATTTGAACTTCAGGGGGTACCCGGGAGCTTGAAGTGTAAGACGAGTGACATTTTCAGCCTAAATGACGAATTCTGTCGAACCATTATTGTTTTCATTTCTATTATTGTATCCGTGAATCGGGAGAGCAGACTTTCAGCCACTCCGATCCATGACCTGCTGACTGATACTAGAGCACCGACACGGACAGCTACTGTGGGGAAGGGACGCGAGGGCAAAGACGAAGCTTTCTCGAGTGGCTTGATGTCCCGCTCTACTCTACTTTCATTACTATTCAATCTTTATATACGTTTCTTTATAGTCCGGAAAGCTTGACTGCTGAGCAGGTTGATTTTGGATTGGACTTCAAGATGGGTGTCATGCAAAGATCTCTGAGACCTATAGCAGGAGCGGTCTTGCCACTGAGAACCCCTTTTATGGCTGCCCTGATTGCACTTTGGCTTATTTGGTCGATCTTGTCGTTGGATATGTCAAGATTCAAGTCATCTGTGGTTCGTCCTCTCATGGTTTTTGAGATGCGTGTATTGACTTCTCTTAGGAACCCGAATATACGGAAGTGGTGGATTCCATTAAACAGACGGCCGAGGATGAGGCTATCAGGATGGCTCTTGGATTGAGTCCAGACAATTCAGACTCTTCCAATTCAGCGGATAACCCCGTTGTCGTTGAAGTACCATCTGAGACTCCGGAATCTATTTCGAACACTGTTGAGCAGCCAAACGAAGTCAAAGGGACGTCAACAGGAAAGGAAGGATCAACAACTACACCAGATAGCGCATCATCTCAGACCGGCCAAGAACTCGCTGGAGTTCCTCAGCAGGCTACGAAAAATATCACTATCTCACCCTTGCCGCTAGTTCTCTACGCCTACTCCGAATCCGAGGCCGCTCGTCCTAATCTCGAATTCTTCATCCGACACGCCCTCAATGAAGCCGCGGACTTCATCTTCATTCTCAATGGACATACGGATGCGGCCGCCATTATACCTAACTTACCAAACATCCGAGTCGTTCAACGAGATAATGACTGCTACGATCTCGGTGCATACGCCGAAGTCCTGCAAAGAGATGATCTGTGGAAGGGATATGGGAAGTTCATTATGTTGAACGCAAGTCTCCGAGGACCATTCATGCCATATTGGAGTGATGCTTGTTGGATTGACATGTACCTGCGGAAACTGACCGAGGAAGTGAAGGTAAGCCTAAACCCCTTTCTCCCTAATCGCTTACCATCCCCCACGCCTCTCGACCAAGCAACCAAACTAACACCCAACCCAACAGCTCGTAGGCATGACAGCCAACTGCTGGCCAACCTTCCACATGCAATCCATGATCTGGGCGACCGACTCAATAGGCCTCTCAACGCTCCTCTTTCCCCCGCAACAAGCCCTCGACTATCTCGCCCTCAACCCTGTCCGCCTTCCCCCGGCCAAAAACAAAGAGCATCTCCCCTCCACCTCCGCCGCCCTTCTCCCCTCTGCCCTGACCACCCGCTCCAACACTAACTCCAACGCTGACTCCACCAACCAACCCGGCTCCCCAGACCACCAGAACCACCTACAGCCCGAAGCCTACCGCTACCTCCCCTCCATCCACCAACCCCCAGGAATAAACGCCTGCTTCCACACCTGGGACTCTGCGGTGGCCGCCGAAGTCTCAGCAACCGCTCTCATCAAAGCTGCAGGCTACAAAATCGACGTCTTGATGACGGCGTTCCATGGGATCAAGGAGGTGGAGAGGGGAGAGAGCTGTGAGGTGAATGGCGATGTGTTATTTGAGGGAGGGTACTTTGGCGGCGATATCAGTGTTTGGGAGACGGGGTGGTGGAAGACCAATCGTGGGATGAGGGAGGAGGAGCTTAAGAGGCTGACCGGGTGGGTTGGGGAGAGGGGGTATCGGAGTTGGGATTTTTGTAGGGCAGAGAGGGGGAACTAGAGGTTGGTGTTGGGTTTTCTTCTTTTGAAGGGGGTCGGGGCGTTTTGGTCGAATTTGGGATGTATGTAGAATGATACCATGATAGAGATAGACTGAAATGATTTATTCCATTTGTATGTGAAATTCTTTCATTTCTGTACGTGAGGGTATATGCAGCACAAAGCGCCGAGGACTAAAGATTGAATCTCGTTCTCTTCTTCTCCATCCCGGCTTTCCATTCCCATTGCACCTTATCAGGCCCATCACTTCCTGCCCTACCTACACCTTTATCCACCCTCCTCAACTTCAACGTAAACCTTGGTCCCAATTCCTGTAAACCAGCTCTGATTTCCTCCACTCCCTTCACAGGTTTCCCATCTGGACCAATTACACTCTTCTCGGTCTCCTTCTTCTCTCGAAACACATATCTATGCCTTCTCACAAAGATATAATCTCTCTGATTATGCAAGGTCACCACCTGCCGTCCCTGCAACTCGGGCTGCGGCGGGAAAAGCGTCAAAAAGATCCTCGCAGTCAACAGACCCAACGGAGTCCTGAAATTATTCAAAATCAGTTCCGGATAATGGTTCGTAGGGTTTCCGTGGCCTGGTAATTTCTTCCCTTCAACCCAGTTTGCGATGCTGAAGTGGCAGGTTGGTCCTTCTGGTAAATGCACGATTGTAAGACCGGTGGGCTTCTTTTGGTCTTCCTTTAGGAGGATGACAGTGGTGTATGAGCGGTTTGTGGCGAATTTGGAGATTTCTCGCAGGGAGAACTTGTGGCCGTAGCGGTGGGAGGAGCGTGGGATGTAGGTGGTGTTTGGGAAGAGAGTGCAGAGGAGGTGTGCTTCCCTGTGGAGGGTCGAGTTCAGGGAGGTTGTGAGGAGGATTTTGGGGACTGGAGGTGGTTCGTCAGAGAAGAGAGTTGGGAATTTGAGGGCCAGTGAGGAGGGCGTGAGGTCGAGGTTGGTACTGGTTGTTGAGGGAGCGTTGGAGGACGCTCGTTGTCGAGCACTCTTTGGTTCCTCTTCGTCTTCTTCTGATTCAGAATCAGAGTCCAGCATGCTGTCCACATCGTCTTCTTTCTCTTCCTCATCTTGTAATGCTTCTTGCTCTGCGGCTTCTGCTTCCTCGATCCGCCGTCTCTTTAATTGCTCCACGTCCACACTGATGCCCAGATCATCTCCATCTACCTCATCCCAGACTCGCTTCTTGTCGATTGTAATCGGAACATTCTTGGCCAATCTTTCCCTCCTCAGCTCTGGATCTCGGTCCTCTTCCCGTTTTCGTTTGAAGCGTTCGTCTCTTCTTTCGGTGTCCCTCGCTTTCTTTTGCTTGACGTGAAGATCCTGCCTCCTGAACTTATTTCCCGTCTTGAAAGGCAATGCGGCCTTCGAGGAAAGCGGTTTGACTCGTTTTGATCCCATTGTAATGTTGCGGGGTAAATATTCAAATCTCAATCGCTTCCTGAGGAAAAAAAGTTTTGGCGTTGGATAATTTCCCGGCTGCCGTACTGTAGTTCTAATTTCGGCAGAATCCACACCGCCTGTATTTCCGACAAGGCTGGACTGGAGCGAGCGAGGAGTCATAAAAGGAATTTCGAAACAGGGAACAACTTCTAACTCGAGATAACTGTTTTCGATTGACTGACTCAGACCTCAATTGGATGAGTCTCAAGTGAATGCGCCCCTTCTGCAGATTCGCACGAACTGCTGGCCACCTGCAAAACACTTTCCCACGATACAAAGCAAGAAGCTTCACAGCTACCACACAAGTCAACAAATATCAACCTCCGAAATTCCAGAAGCAAAAAGACCCGATCATGGCTACAACTACTCTGAAGGGTCAGCCCTTCGACCGCCCGGTCCTCGACTCCATGCTGCGACGGCGCATGTTCTATACTCCCTCCTTCGAAGTTTATGGTGGTGTTGCTGGCCTTTACGACTACGGTCCTGTTAGTTGCTCTTTCCTTTCACCTTCCCCCCCTCTTCCCCTCACCTCATGAAAATTCGGTGGTTCTTCCCTCTGGATACCTGGACGCGACAGCAATATGATGGACTCCTTCCTTCTCTCGATGCTGTGGCATCGACGCACCAAAACACCGCAGCAGCTCTGCTGTGATACTCTTCTCGCCGTTGCTTCGAGTCTTCTGCAAGTCTTCTGTAAGTCTGCCGAATCATGGTTCCTATCTTTTGAGAGCCTACTGACCAATGTTAAGGCGTGTTGGGCTGTCTGTCTCCTTGCTACCTCCTTATACTCGGGAAGCCAAGCTCTTGTCCTAGGATTTATGTTGGATGCGGAACACATACAGCTCGTGGTGTAGTCAGTCGGCTTCAAGACTACGATGCAAAGACAAATATACCTCGTTATGTCCAGCAAGCATTTGACGATAGCTATACAATCACACACAAGGGATTGCTTTGCTGGGCATCTATTCCAGATGTTACAATCAGATTCCCGGTCCGAGTTCTTTTTGTATTGCTTGAGGTTATTTTCGCTCTCATGTTCTGGGCTATGATATCTCAGACAAAGGACTATGGAATGCCTCGTCTTAGTCCTTGGAATGCCAAAGACATCGCATGGGATGGCTGCTGCTCTCACTCGGCCTTGCTTGAAAGCGTTACTGGGAGGACGAAGGCCTTACTGTTGAGCAAATCACTGCCAAGCTAGTCGAAATGGATCGACTTCGAAAGGAAAAAATGGTATTACGGACCGCTGCCAGCCAACCTATATTGAGAGCAAACAACAAAGCTTCCAAGAGATACCATTGCGACATCTGCAACAAGTCCTACGAGTCAAATCACGCTCTGGAAGTGCATCAAACCTCCCAAATGCACATCGACAACGCTGCTGGAGTGAGAAAAGTACTTTCGAGACCCGAGATAAACGAAAGACCGACGAAAACAGAGCAGAGAAGAAATATCACTGTGCAATCTGTGATTTGGTCTGTGCTACCAACTCAAAGCTTCAACGCCACTACAAGACTGAGAGGCACATCGAGAAGGCTGCTAAGGCGGTCGACTCGATGACTTAACCACCGGATTTTTCTTTTTGGAACGACTATCTTTATTTTCATTGCTAACAATTTTGTAGCCGGGTTGTGCTCTGCAAACCAACGTCGTTGATTTATTCCGCAAACACTTTGTCTTGGAGGAGGATATGCTGGAGGTAGATTGTACGGCTCTCACTCCTGCTGAGGTTCTCAAGACAAGTGGGCACGTGGACAAATTCGCGGATTGGATGTGCAAGGACCCAAAGAATGGCGATATCATGAGAGCAGATCACTTTGTTGAGGAGATCTTGGAGTCGCGGCTGAAGGGCGATAAGGAGGCGAGAGGTGTGAAGGTTGAAGAGAAGGAGGACGATCCCAAAAAGAAAAAGAAGAAGGTCAAGGCTACGGAAGCTGTCAAGCTTGACGATGCCGTTGTTCAGGAGTATGAAGAGATCTTGGCGAGGATTGATAACTACAATGGCGAGGAATTGGGTCAGTTGATCAAGAAGTATGAGATGAAGAACCCAGCTACTGGTGTTGAGCCTTTGCCTCCTGTGGAATTCAACCTCATGTTCAACACACCTATCGGCCCAAGCGGCAACCTGGCAGGCTACTTGCGACCAGAGACCGCACAAGGCCAATTCCTCAACTTTGCCAAGCTCCTGGACTTCAATCAACAACAGATGCCATTCGCGTCTGCTTGTATTGGCAAGTCCTACAGAAACGAAATCTCTCCCCGATCTGGCCTTCTCCGAGTCCGAGAATTCTTGATGGCTGAGATTGAGCATTATGTTGACCCTCATGGCGGCAAGAAGCACCACCGCTTCGAGGAGGTCAAGGATGTTGAGCTTGTGCTCCTCAACCGCCATACTCAATTGGCTGGTCAGACCCACGTCAAGAAGGTAGCTATTGGCAAGGCGGTTGCAGATGGTACCGTGGATAACGAGACCTTGGGCTACTTCTTGGCACGTATCCATCTCTTCTTGGAGAAGATTGGTATCGATCAAACAAAGCTTCGATTCAGGCAACACATGGCTAATGAGATGGCTCACTATGCTGCTGACTGCTGGGATGCTGAGCTCCAAACCAGCTACGGCTGGATTGAGTGCGTTGGCTGTGCAGACAGGAGTGCTTACGATCTCACAGTCCATGCTAAGAAGACCGGTGCCCCATTGGTGGTGCGTGAGAGGTTGGCAGAACCCATCACCGTCGAAGAATGGCAGATCGACCTCGACAAGAAGAAGTTCGGTCCTCACTTCAAGAAGGATGGCAAGACTGTCGAGGCTGCTGTCGAGGCTCTTCCACAAGAAAAGCGGGAAGCATTGGCTCAAGATCTCAAGCTCGAGGGCAAGATTACCATTGATGTTGAGGGCGTCGGTAATGGCAAGGTCGAGATTAGCAAGGATCTTATTGTCATCGAGCGCCGGAAGCGCGTTGAGAACACGAGAGAATTCACACCAAATGTTATCGAGCCCTCGTTCGGTATTGGCAGGATTATCTATTGCTTGATGGAGCATACCTACTGGACCCGTGGCAGTGATGGTGGTGATGAAGCACGTGGTGTAAGCTTTTGTGAACTCATTTGGGATAAATTTTGCTGACGAAACCTAGGTTCTCTCATTCCCACCAATAGTAGCACCTAGCAAGGTCCTGCTTGTGCCCCTCTCCACTCACGAAAGCTTCAAGCCTCTTCTACGGCACATGTCGCTCAAGCTCCGCTCTTTGGGCGTCTCCAGCCGAGTAGATGACTCTTCAGCATCAATTGGCAAGCGGTACAGCCGAAATGATGAGTTGGGTACTCCTCTCGGTATCACCATCGACTTCCAGAGTGTCCAGGACAAGACATACACCCTGCGAGATCGCGATTCCACGAAGCAGGTTCGTGCTGATGAGGAGACGATCTTGACGGCTATCAAGTCCTTGGTGGAAGGCGAGAAGGTTTGGGCCGATATCGAGAAGGAGTTGCCTACATTTGAGGGCCAAGAAGTTGAAGTGCCAGTTCGCTAAGAGATTTCTTTGGAAGAACAAATTCTTGTAGGATGCTTAGACCTTGTTATGAAGATGATATAGAATTGCTAGGAGGATCAAAAGTAGCTCTTGTGTAACTTTCTTGTGTAACTCGAGGCGCCTTTCACATGAGTCTTGATGAATCATCACGTGCATGTCTGCTACTGTAAAGGCCGCATTTCTAGGCCTCATTGATAGTTTCCAGAACAATGTACGACAGCTGCACCACAGGCATGACGCAGAGAAGCCGGCTGCACGACGCTGGAAGGGAACTACAGTACCATCGAAGCAGGCCCAGAAGGGATCACCTCAATAAGAAACATTTCTCGCCCGTGCAGTGCAATGCGTCTGCGACGCCCCCGCCCACCAGAAACATCAGCGGGCAGAGGCAGATTTCGCAGGGGCAGATTTGTTTCACGCTGCCGGCATGAGCCTTTCTCGCTTGCCGCTGGAGGTCCTGGAGGGGTTTGGCAGCCAGTGTGGTCTCGGGAACGGCTTGCTTGTCTGGTGTTGGTCGCGGAGAGGCTGGGATGCACCAATTAGGACGAGGCCTGCTTTGAAGCTTCTCCTGAGTCCTCGGCGTGAACCGTGAGCCGTGAACCGTGGTGGGCGGCGGCACGAATAGGGGCACCTCCTGGGACAGCCCTTTCTGAAACCGGTTGGTCGACAGCCAGGCCCGGCCCAGCATGAATAGCTCCCCACCCCTTTGGGTCACGCATCAGATTAATGAGGAATGTCGTAGTCTCTTAGATAAGCCGTCCGTGAATGGCTGAAGCGCATGGTCGCCGCCATGTGTGCGCCTGTGAGGAGGTTCATTTCAATGTTCATGAATGGTGAAGGGAGGCCAGGCTCTTCAGCCGTGGATGATACTGGTACATGTACCTCCTCCGGACCAGCGCACTGCTCGCCTTGCTGGAACTTACCTCCGTAGAAGTGTCCAAATCCATACAATTTGTGCTGCCTTGGCCGAAGGCTTGACGTGCGCTCCCTTGCCTTGGCCCCAAACCTCACACCCACTCGCCTCTCGCCCTTCTCCAACTCGGGGCTCCATGTCCACTGCCCATCCAGTACACTCGCACACTTCGTAAAGTCTCCATACCCACGCCGTGCAGTCTGTAGAATTCCACTTGGATTGGCTGCTAGTGCTGCTCATGCTGCTCGTGCTGCTCGGTTCAGGCAAGGGAGGGCCGGCAGCGCCCAGACTCTAAAATTCCCGCCGATAGCATTTGGCGCCAACACCAATTTAGCGCGAATGAGGTCCACAACCCCCAAACCTCATCTTCAACCTCCCTTAAGCTCGACGTGATAATCCATCAACGCGACCACAAGACCTCCGCGCCCACGACCGCGCAAACCACTTCTCCCTTCGACTTCTGCTGGCCTGTCGAGAGCTCTTTCGGCGCGGCTAGACGCTGTGCGAGACGGGAACCTGCGCTTCGGTCGGTCGAGGCAGGGCAAACTGTGAATCCCCCCAAGCGAACGCGGAGCGACCGCGACGGCAACGACTCACGAGCAAATACCCTCACTAACTCATGACGAACGAAGTGCTACTTGTAAGGATCAGAGTCTTCAACCTTTGGCTGTGATTCCTCGCGTTCAGTGCTAATTGCAGTTGCGTTGCAGGACGATCAACGATTTCCTTTACGATACCCCGCAGCGACTTTACACTGCACCTTTGAATAAAAACAACCGCGGAGTCATTCTAGTCGTAATCCTGTACATCTTGCAAAAATGGCTTCTCAGAATAGGTACGTTTCTTTTTGCGCTTTTGCACAGTTCGCGCGGTGTTACAGTATCTGGAAACACGGGGTGGATCTGAAGCGATCACTCGCGGCTCGCGTTCTCGAGGGGCCGGATTCGAAGATCCAACAACAAAATGTTCCCCCCTCCTATTGTCGCGTCGACAATGGTTTGCTGCTCTTGTTATTCAACATGATGGCTGATTATTCTCCTGCATACAGCATCTACACTCCTGGTCAATTCATGAACCCTGGCCCTGCTCCTCGACCCCCCACCGAACGTCCCCGACTCAACCTTACCCCTTCTACCTCTAATATTCCCGGCAATATGTCTCAATTGAGCATTAATTCCCCCATTACCCGCACCGCGACCTCTACATACACGGGTGCGACGGTATCTCTTCCTATCCAAAAGCCCGATGGTCAAGGTGGTGTTGCAGTCATCAAGGAAGGCTGGGCTTCGGTTAAGGAGGGAAAGAACTTCATTCAACCATGGAAGCAAAAGTTCTTGATCCTGCGAAAGGAGCAGCTCGACTTTCACAAGACCGATGGTGGTAAGATCTCTTACTCAATCGTCCTCAAGGATGTTTTGGGCGTTTCTCGAGTCGAGGCTGCTGGTACGATCTTCGAGATCAAGCGTGCGCTGAACGGCCAATCCACGAACCCCGGTGATGATGATGGACTCTCCAGGACTCTGCAAATCAAGGTCAAGGGTGACGACGATCTGTATGAGTGGATTGACTTCATCTATGCGCGCTGTCCTGGCATGGGCGGTGTCAGCAACCCTACCAACTTCAGCCATTCGGTTCACGTTGGTTTCGATCCCAACACTGGTGAATTCGTTGGTCTTCCCCCGGAGTGGTCCAAGCTTCTCAACTCGTCCGCCATTACCAAGGAGGACTATGAGCGCAACCCGCAAGCCGTCTTTGAGGTACTGGAGTTTTACTCTGATATCACTAAGCGAGCCCAGAACGCCAACCAATACCCAAGCTTAACCCCGACACCACCAGTCTCGGCCAATTCCAACAAGCAACTTGGTTATGGCATGAGTGGCGTCAATGTTGCTCCTCCTCGTCCAATTCAACAAACTCAACGCAACAATAGTTTCCCCACTCCGCCAGGTTCTAGCAGCTCAAGCAATGCTCCGCGCCGCCCGACTCCCCCGGAGAGCCAGCAGCAACGACAGCAGATGCAGGCAATGGCTTCGAACTACGTTGACCCGCAATTACGTGAGGAGCAACGCCAGAAGCAACTTGAGGCTCAGCGCCAACGTGACCGAGAGATGGAGGAGCAAAACCGTCGGGATATGGAGGCTTATAATGCTTCTCTTCCAAAGACTCGGCCCACTATCGCTCAGCAGGAGGTTGGTGGATTCGGCGGTGGTGCGACCACTGATCGGTATAACCCTTCGAGAGCTCCCCCACCTGCCCCACGCGCCGCACCTCAACCCCAAGCAGCACCGTCCCTCCGAACCCAACGACAAGCTCCATCTGCACCAACCCCCAGCAATGGCGCCCGTCCTCCCATGGCCACTCAGCAGAGTTCCTCTATTCCTCAACAGAATGGAGGATCCCGCTCACCTGCCCGTACTGAGCAAAGCACTCAGCGTGCCCAAGAGCCTCGTTACCAAAATGGTCCTAATGGTGTTCAGACTTCTGCTCCCCGTGCTGCCACCAACGGTCAAGCTAACCCGCCTCCTTCTCGTCTTCCAGCACCAGTTAACCAAATTAAGCCTCTCAATGTTGCAAACAAGCAACCTGCGGGCAACAATGGCATCCAACAAAATGATGCTGTTAAGGCCGCTGAGGCTGCGTTGACTGCCAAGCCACCTGCTGAGCGTAAGCAAGATGTTCGTATGTCCACGATGTCTGAGAACGAGGTCATGGCCAAGTTGAAAGAGGCTGTTTCCAAGGATGATCCGAACATGTCCTACTCCAAGCAAAAGAAGATTGGCCAGGGTGCGTCTGGTTCCGTCTATGTTGCGAAGGTCAAGGAGAACCCATTGTCGCCAATTGCTCGTGAGGTTATTCGTCAACAAGGCAGCAAGGCCCAAGTTGCTATCAAGCAGATGGACTTGGCGCACCAACCACGGAAGGAGTTGATCGTCAACGAGATCATGGTCATGAAGGACAGCAAGCACCGCAACATCGTCAACTTCCTTGACGCGTTCTTGCGCAACAACTCTTCGGAGCTTTGGGTCGTCATGGAGTATATGGAGGGAGGCGCCTTGACCGACGTCATTGACAACAACCCAACCATCACCGAGGACCAAATCTCCACGATCTGTCTTGAGGTAAAGAAAGAACTTGGATTAGCAAAGATCAAAACTGACGATACCAGACTTGCCGTGGGCTTGAGCATTTGCACAACCAATCCATCATCCACCGTGACATCAAGAGTGACAACGTTCTGCTCGATGCTCGTGGTAACGTCAAGATCAGTAAGCCTCGCTAACCCCCTTTTACGTGGCTCGAGCTAACCGATCTCAGCCGACTTCGGTTTCTGCGCTAAGCTCACCGAGTCCAAGTCTAAGCGCGCCACCATGGTCGGTACCCCTTACTGGATGGCTCCCGAGGTCGTCAAGCAAAAGGAGTATGGCCCGAAGGTTGATATCTGGTCCTTGGGCATCATGGCAATTGAGATGATCGAGTCCGAGCCTCCCTACCTCAACGAGGAGCCTTTGAAGGCCTTGTACCTGATCGCCACGAACGGTACTCCGCGCCTCAAGAAGCCTGAGAAGTTGAGCAAGGAGTTGAAGGCTTTCTTGTCCGTTTGCCTCTGCGTCGACATCCGAAGCAGAGCCTCGGCCGCCGAACTTCTTCAACATGACTTCTTGAAGCACGGCTGCTCTCTCCAGAGCTTGGCCGACCTTCTCGCTTTCCGTCGAAACGCCAAGTAAAGGCAGCCCAAAAGTTTATATCTGCACGGCCTGGCATACTGGCTTCAAGGATATTGATTGGTGGTTTCTTTTCTTCTCCCTCATTGCGGGCTAAATGCATCAATTCATGTTGGCCCCGGTACATATGACCAGCATGGATTCCTCGGCGTTGGGTGGCTTGGTTTTGTTTTCTGCCCTCTGTATTCTCGACACTCGCAGCGAGCCGGCACAATAAATGGGGGTCTTGCTTCGGAAGGATGGATCATATCTGATTGAGTTTCCGTTACGCAAAATTCATGGAAACGGCAAATGAGAAATATTTGCTTTCTTCGTTACTTTTTACGGAATGGATATTCTCGCCATTATGCGGCAGACATTGTCCATTGCGGATTCATTAGGGGATCTCGGATCTCAGGTCGAGGGATATGGTTTATGAGAGCATGAGAAGCAAGTTAAACGGCGTTAGTCTAGACTTGAATGAGTGCTAGAAAAATGATCATAGAATGATTTTGCATCGTTTGAACCCTGTGACTAATGTCTGAAACAGCAGCTGACATGATTTCCACCCGATGATAAAGAAAATGACTGACACTTGTCAGAGAACAATAGCAGCAGACAAACACGCTTCCTTTCATCACCCCTGTTTGGAAACGACCCCAGATGCCATCTAGTTTAGCCTCGGCGATGGTGGTTTGCCCTGGCTAGCCTGGTCTGAACCGTGGCTTCTGATTGGTCCCGACGTCACAGCTCAGCTCAGCTCCCAGGCTAGAAATCATGACAGGTTGGCGGAAGGCCTCCTTTTTCAACATCCTGATTTCCTTGTTCTCAAACTTCACGCCATCCATGGCAGCGCAAACGATATTACACCGCTAGAGGGTTAGAGACAGGGAACAGGAAGGCACATGGCGCCGTTAATACCGTCTGCGAAGGCGACGCTGTCGTATCCGTTGTACGCATGCGATTTCGATCCCCTCGATGCGGATAGGCTTGTTGTTGGCGGTGGTGGAGGCGCGGGGAGGAGCGGTGTTGGCAATAAAATTGTGAGTCCAACAGCTTCCTCGCTGCAAGATCCTCAGAGGGTGGAAGCTAATGGGCGAGACAGACAGTCCTAGATACCTCCAAATCCACAGAGCTTATAGAGGTCAGCGAAGCAGATCTCAGCAAAGACCAAGACAATGTCACGAGTCTCGCGGTGGGGCAAAGGAAAGGGCGAGCAACGCTCGTGTATGCGGGCGTGAACTCCAGTCCGCAGGATGTGGAGAAGGGAAGGAACACGCATTTCCGCGTGTTTGGCATCGAGCCTGCTGGAGGAGCGAAGGGGAAAGGGAAAGGCAAGGGCAAATCTGGTCCTGCTGTTGAGGAGAAGCCTTCTGAATACAAGATCGCGGAGATGGGCAGGTCGAAGCTGTTTGAGAGTAAGGAGAAGGATATCTATCAGCGGATTACAAGGCTCTCGAAGCCGTTCCCCCATCAGCCGCAGCTGGGAGCTGTGTGCACCGGCCGCTTCACGAGTCCGATGTCAGAGATTGTGTTGTTTGATACGAGTGCCATTGCGCCGCCGAACTCGAGGGGCGGCGTGCAGAGTAATCGGGAGGCGGTCGATGTGGATTTTATTCAGACGGGGGATAATGAGTACATGTTTGCGTACTGCGATGTGCACGATGTGTATGTCAAGAAGATCACTTCGAAGACAGATGAGGATGAGCCGGACCTCGTGTACACGACTCCTGGTTCGAGATCCCCAGAAAAGCCCGCGGTGCCATCATTCAGAGCCATGAGATGGTTGACGAAAGACCTTCTTCTCATGCTCACGAATATCTCTAGGGATAGTGGAGCCGTGCTGCAGATCCTCCGTTTACCACCTGGCGGTAAAGGAGAGTGCAGAATCGCACAATCTCTACGCCTCCCAGATCGAATCACGAAAGCTACTGGCATGGCAGTAGCAAACCTCACACCACCACTCAACCCCTCCTCGCCCCAAGATTACACACAATTCGTGATCGCAGTCGCAGGACGGGACATCTCGCTCTCGCTCTTCAAAGTCGACCTCCAAGTTGAAGGCGCCATCTCGCTCGTCACGAAAATCAAGGCGTTCAAGACATTCAAGGATGTTCACCCGATGCAAATCACGAGCCTTGCATTCTCGAATTTTGTTCCTCCTACGCATCCAGTGACAGCGAGTACGCCGCCGCAGTATCTCAAGCTAGCAAGTGTGGGCGTAAGCAATACGGTGGTTGTGCATACTCTCCCTCTCTTCCCGGTGCCGTTGTCGGTGAAGAGAGGACAGTCCAAGACACCGCGCTACGTCGTCGCCTTACCATCCACCAAAGCTGTCTTCGGAGGCACCGTCATTCTATCCATTATCGGTGTGTTGATAGCCGCGATTTTCATACAAGGGATACTAGAGGTGAGAGGAGGAGTGCCGGTGTATCTGAACGCCAGGAGTCACTTGCCTGTTATCTGGCAGGAGGCGCTGGGACGCCCTTATGAATTCCCTCCCGGCTACAATACACTTACTTCAGCCATTCCTCACCCATCAGGTGATGTTAATTACGAGGAGGATTCCGGCTCCGCAGTAAGACTCCCAGATTTCTTCGCGAAGTTGAAACAAGGCAGTAGCGAAGGTGTTTATGTACTGAAAGAGGGGCCCGGGGGAGTGAAGGTCGCGATGCATGGCGAGAAGGAGAAGCATGGAGGCGTCAAGTGGGAGGCGTTGAGTAGGGAGCAGAAGGAGAAGTGGAAGGGGAAGTTGAGGGATGCGGGGCATTGGGCGGAGGAGATGGGGGAGACGGTTCTTAAGGGCGTGGTGTTCGGGGAGATTGCTGGGGCTGTTGGGCAGGCTGTTGCGGGGGGGTTGTGAGAGGAGAAGATTGTAGGAAGTAAGATATGTAGAATTCAATGATGAGATAATGGTCAAGCATGGTGGGTTGGGAAGATTCCTTTGCTTGTGATATAAGTAACCCGCTCTATATGCCGGCAATTGCAAAGGGGCATACATCCGGAATATCTGATATTCCGACAAGGATGATGATGGCAGCCCCCGAGGCCCCTCTCAACTTTACCATCTCATCCAAAGTTCACGGATCTTGGCACTCGCGCACCAATCAGAACCCGAACTTCCCCTCTCCATAGATCCCCTTTTCGAGCAGGGGGTGAAGTCTTGAAAAAAAAAACCCGCAAACTCCACACCTTCACGGCGCCGAGAAGCGGGGTTTGACGGGGTGGTACGTCAAACGTCAGTTCTTCCGGCAGCACTTGCTGTAAACTGCAAGATCTTCATGCCCAAGAAAAATTCCACGAGAGTTTCACCCGTTTTAATCATCCATCGCTCAGGATGTGAGCCGAGCGGCTCTTAGCGGCGGAGATGAAAATGTGACATTGGTTGTCTGGCAAGTGCTTTCTGATCGTCGGGAATCGGACCGCAGTCCACGGAGAGGAACCTGCCTTAAGTTGGCAAGCCGGTTAAGAAAGTAGGTTCGGCCGGAGAAGATGCGAGATGACATGCGTGTCTAACCCCGCTGTGGGGAATGGAAAAGGTTTCTTTGATTGCGTGAGTGAGGAGAGGGCCGTAAAGTCATGGTCTGAGTAACGTTGTGCTTCAATGACGGGTTTAGGTGATCTGCGCTTATATGTCTCATTGCCCCTCTTCCCTCTTCCTATTTTTCTTCTTCTTGTGTTTGAAAGAGAGTAAAGGGATTGCGGTGGCACAGAGATATATATCATGGCTTTCAAGAACCTGTTAAGAGGAGCTGCGGTAGCGGCCTTCCTTGCGTCGAAAGTTGAAGCTGTCGATAATGGACTTGCGATCACGCCTCAGATGGGCTGTGAGCTTGCTCTGTTCCCAAATTCTGACCATGAGAGAGCTAATGGGCAATAGGGGATAACTGGAATTCGTTCGGATGCGATGTCTCAGAAACCTTGCTCCTGCAGACCGCGCAACTCATTGTGGACTACGGGCTCAAAGACCTAGGCTACCACTACGTGATCCTCGACGACTGCTGGTCCATTGGCCGCAACGCCAGCCACAACAACTCGCTCATCGCGAACCCGGAAAAGTTCCCCAATGGCATGGCTGCGGTTGCAGATCAGCTCCACGCCTTGGGATTGGGCTTTGGAATGTATTCGGATGCGGGCAAGTATACGTGTGGTGGGTATGCGGGCAGTTTGGGGTATGAGACAGTTGATGCGAATACGTTTGCGGAGTGGGGGGTGGATTATTTGAAGTATGATAATTGTTTTAATATGGGGCAGGCGGGGAACCAGATGATTAGTTCGGCGAGGTACGAGGTTATGGCGAATGCTCTTAATGCTACAGGGCGACCGATTTTGTACTCGCTTTGCAATTGGGGTGAGGATTATCCGTGGAATTGGGGCTCGACTATTGCGAATAGTTGGAGGATTTCCGGGGATGTTTATGATTCTTGGGATCAGCCGGATTCGAGATGCCCTTGGTACGAAGTTCTTGGAAATTTCTCAAGTGTAGAAGCTAATATTCAGCAGTGACGGACCTGATGCATGGAACTGTGGCCTTCCAGGATTCCACTGCTCGGTGACGAACATCATGAACAAGGCTTCTTTCATCGTTTCAAAAGCTCAACCTGGGGCTTGGAACGACTTAGATATGCTCGAAGTTGGAAACGGTGCCATGACTGATGCTGAATACGTTGCTCATTTCAGCATGTGTAAGTCTTTCCCCATCTCGTTGAGCCAACTTGCTTACCAGAAAATAGGGGCCGCAGCGAAAAGTCCTCTCATCCTCGGAAACGACATCCGCGTTGTACCAGCAAAAGACCTCGCCATCCTCTCTAACGCAGCCGTAATCGCAGTCAACCAAGACCCATCCGGCTCCAGCGCTGCTCGCCGCTGGATGTACTCCACCGACTCCACCGACGCGTACGGAGGTTCCGCTCTCCAACTTTGGTCCGGAAGTCTCAAATCCACAACTGGTGGCCAATACAACGACATGGTGGTCCTCCTCATAAACGGCGCGAATGAAACCATGGTCATGAACGCTACCCTCGCTGACATCTTCGTCGACAGCGGGGCTGCAGGGACCGCTCGCCAGGTGAAAATCTCTTGGGAAGCCCGCGATTTATGGGCGAACAGGATGAGTGAGGCGGAAGCACAGGCTATCATCGATGCCAGCTCGGCGACGGGGAATGCTACGAATGGGTATAATGCCACGATGGTGGGCAGTGGAAGGTATAATGCTACGAAGACGAGCTATGCGCAGGGGTTGAAGAATAATGATACGTTACTTCTGGGGAATGTGACGACGACTGTGGGCCCGTCGGGGACAGTTACCGCAACAGTTGAGAGGCATGGGGCGGCGTTGTTTAGGTTGAGAGCTTTGCCTACTGGGGTAAAAAAGAGGGATGAGCTGTGAGAAGCGGGGGTGTAACTATAGCTAGTATAAGGTTTTCGCTCTTTCCTGGTTCACATGAGCAAGAGTGAAAGTCAAGAAGCGCGTTATTTACCTTCGTGATAATCACTTTTCAGGAAGAGCCACCTGCTAGGGTTTAGCCTCCAAAGCTACGGACTTGAAATTTCCATCCGCCTTATCTTAAGTCAGCCCTTCTCCTCGTATTTGTTACTTCAATACATTTTCTTGTACTATTGTCGAGAGTAAGATGTCTATTTTGATCTCGCTTAACCCCTTTCCCGCCTCCTGAACAGAAGCAGCCCCTATGGCCCGAAGCTGGGCATGAACGTAGCGAACCTGCACAAACATTTGAGCATTTGAATCCTTCAAAGAAGAGTACTCAGATTAATTTCTGATGCCATGAGCACTACTCCACAATATCATTCCGAACCACTCCTTATTTCGCAAGGCTAGCGGCTGCATCAAGCTCCTCTTTGTCACCGGCATCCGCAAAACTGGGTTTCAAATTCCCATCCATTTCCTCCTCTTCTAAAGCTATGCTAATTTTCTTCCGATCTTCCAGAACCCTATCCGCCTGTTCCCTAGTGAAATAATTTGTCCCAAAACGCAAAAGCTCAGCATCACCTTGTCCAAGCCTAACTCTTTACGGCAAATTCCTGGACAGCCATCTTTGATATTGCCGTGACTGTTGAAGTACGTAACATGATTGATCTCGCAGACACCCTCCTCTTTTCCTTTGTGTTTCGCAGTATGTACAAACGCAAAGGAGGCACATCTTCGTGGACCCTTTTTGGATCCAAGGTTTGCCTTTTTGCATACGTTTGCATATGAAACAAGGGTCACCTTATTTGTAGAATTGTTGGTGGGTTTCGTGTCTGGGCTATGGGTAGGTTCAAACGTTAGTGAATGGGTGGCTGGTCATGCTAGGATTTTCATACCATCGTGTCTAGATCTAATATGGCCTCGGTTCCGCTAACTGTAAAGACTTGCGATGGAAAATTGAGGAAGAGCAATTCGAAGATGGGTTTGAACTTGAATGGTTTGGAAGTGCTGGTCGAGATTTTGGGAAGACTTAAATATCGCTGAATACTAGTTAGTTTCAAACGAAGCAACAAAGAATTTTTGCTCTCCATTTCAGCACTGGCCGGTACGTTCTTGAATCACGTTTGTAAATTTTCGGTGCGGGTGTATGCATACACAGAGTCTGCATTGGAAGTTTTGTGAAACCTGCGCTGCAAAAGTTTAACGATTTGGTGCATTTTGGCATGCCGCAATTGCCAGCTTAACTTCACCATAGAAGGCCGTTGCAGAAAGCTTACTGAAACCTTGAGTGCCGACTTGCTGGCTGGTTTGTGTCTTTCGGAAATCATTCGACAAAGCTGAAATGGCATGAGTCTGCTAGGACCCAGAGCTCCGAACTCGAAGCAGTGTGGCTCTGAGGACTGACACGACTAGTGCGAAAAGCACCAGTGGATTTCAATCAACTTGCTTAGCTATTTGGTTAGAGTGATAGCTGCAGATGAGACTCGTAGCTTGGTTGAACTTGTGAGGTCACATTTCTTTTCCTATCTTGGATGAGGGATTCGAAGGGAGTAAGGAAAATGCGAGTGAAATATTAGAACGATATCTTTGCCCTCAAGATAGTCAAGAGAATCACAGACAGCGCTTCCTGCCTTTCCGTTTGATAATCTCTTTACCCCTATTCCTTGACAGTATTTACGGAGCCGCAAATCATAGCACTTCTTGAGCGAGGTTATTCTTAGCTGATGAAACGACGGGAACGGAATTTGCCCAAACCAGGACCCCGATCCCTTTCTTCCACATTCCATCCGAGGGTGAAAGGGATTGTCCGTTGCGAGTCGTTGGTAATAAGCAACGGAGGCTGATTAAAGAGCTATTTACGAACCCTTGGCTCCTGCTAGCGTGAATTGCTCTCCCACTCTCTGCCCCAATGAATTCTCATCTCGTACTCTCCCCCGGTCGGAAATTTCTAAAATTGCAAGGTTGTTCGGGATTTCCCCCTGATTCTAGGAGGCTTGCGGCACATCATCTTCGATCGGCGGCTCGCGTTTGGTAAGACGGATATACATGTCGGGTATTTGCCTATTTTCATAGATTCGGAGTGTCTACGGTAATGTATCACGCAACCTTATTCCAAGTACCTGAATGATAGAGGGGTGGTGAAGGTAACATGCCGAGTCATTGTGTTGATATTCGTGGAAGCTCTCTGTCTCGTATCTTCGTATTCTGCACATGGTGACTCCTCGCATCTTCGCGGCGGTAAGCAGCGCACTGGGTTAACCTGTCTACCTGTGTGCTCCACGGGTGAGTTACAAGGGTGCGAATGAGGACCACCGGGTTATTTCTGCCTGATTTTTGACTTGAAGAAAATCGACTTTTCAACCTCAAGATAGAACCAGTTCTATAACGCTTTTATAACAGTTCATATACAGTTTAGAAACGCTTAAGTTAGGGGGTTAGGGTACGGGTTAGTTACGGTTTGTCGGGGGTCCGGAGGGCGGTGGGAGCCCCGCTTGGGAACACTTCAGAAATGGTTTGCATACAGTTAGAAAATAGTTAAAAAACAGGATTTGGGTTACTTACTATAAAGATACAATTAATGTACAGCAAACAGGATACAGTAAAGCTATATCCTGTTCGCTGTGCTACAGTATATAGACGGGAATTTGATACCTGACGAAAATCTCATCTGGTTACTTTGAATCCCTGTAATCTCACCCGGTGGAGCACACGGGTTAACCATCTACGCTGTAGACTCTCTTCGCGGCTGCTTTAGTCATCGACCAAAGCATAATTTTGCAGTCAAAGGTGACCGCTAGGAGGCCCGAGCGCTTTAGCTCTAAGGGGTCCGTGTGAAATGCTTTGCCATGTTCTCTTGCCGATGCTACAGTCTCTCCCCTAAATAAAACGTAGCGCGGCCAGGGTACGGTATACGTCAGAACGGCCATGCCAGCCTTGTCACGCTACGCTTTATTTAGGGGAGATAGTAGTTGGGTTCGATTCCCAAATAACTGCTCCTGGTGGCGATAGCACCCCTTCGACTAGTGGCCCCTAAAAAAAGGCGCTAGATACCAAAAATCAACGATAATGCAGTTTAGGGGAGAGTACGCCGCACCCCATCTTTGAAGAGTTGGGATTCCAATCCTTCGAAGAACATCCACGTGCAGATTACTACCCCACGGACACCACCATGCACAATGCTCATCCCGACCCATGAGTAAGGATTGTGGAGTGAAAGCTAATCCCAAGTGGCCGTCTTGGTGCTTCTAGTTATAGCAAGATCGATGCAACGAGGAGCCGCCACCGCCGGGCAAACATGGATTACATCGAGTAAGCCACTAAAATTGATAATGCGGGGAGGTATCGGCGGTGTATCGCATGTTCTCCCATCTGCATTATTTTCAACCTCATCCAATCTTGAGGACTCATCAGCGCGGCCGATGTGTAGTGGAACATTAGACATTCTACCACACGTTACAATCCTTGCTCTTCAAAGCTATAAGATCACCAAATATTACACAGAATTCGTTTGGGAACGAAAAAAATCTCGGCATAATTTATTAATTCCCATGCTCACTTTCAGAAATAGCCCAGCGTCAAAGTTACCAACGAGAAGTTTTTCGGTCCAATACACCCGAGCCCCGAGGCGGAGGCGTAGCAATCCATCGTTTATTGGAGCTCAACCTTATCTGGACAGAAACTAGCGCTTGCTTTAAAGTTTCGTAGACGCAGAAACTGGAATTCATGCATGCTTCATTGTGCAATCAATATGACCAGACTAAGGGGGCCGTGAGCGAAGCAGCCCCAGTAAATTCCAAGCGAGAAACACAATTAAGAGGTCCGGGCGAAACAAGACTAACGCTCACATATCTCATAACAAGTGTGAGAACAAACTTGGATGTAAAGGTGATGTCGTAGATGCTGTGGAAGGATTCAAAGGCGAAAAAGGGAATGGACGAGGTCTTTTCGAACCAATTCGGCTTAGCGCACGATACACGTGACTCACCATTTTATTTTACCCAATTTCCAGCCGCCAGTCTTCTTGAACGACACATCGTCCAACTCCACCATTGATTTTCCATCACCGCGTCTGTATAGACGAGGAGCTACGCCGCAACAGGGCCAAGAGCAAGTGTCCAGAGCTAACGCGCTGGGTTCCCAAGGAGGAGTTCAGTCGCTCACGCGAAGATCCAAACGCCACCAGCTACGGCGTCTATTTCCATTACCCTGAATCCTGCGAACTGGTACCAATTGGGGCCTCTGGGCCAGAGCCGCTAGTTTCCCAATATGCTGTCTGCCATCTAAACTTCTTGGCTTGGGGTCCGTTGCTCCCCGGATCGCTCCAATGGCGGGGCAAGCTTCACACATTATTTGACAGGACGGACTATTGCCAACAGCCAACAGCCAACTCTTCAACGGCGGGTTGTTGGCGCCACGTAGTCGTGGCACACACTGATATCCGTTTATTAATCTGATCGCTACGGCAGGGTGCGGCTTCAAATACCCAAGTTGCCAAACCGTCAGAATGGCGTCAACGGCCAGGATAAAGAAATCGCTGGTGCATTTGCGGGATCGGACAAGCGGGCAAGAGCCGCTCCCGCCGCAGTCTTAGTGAGCTATCAATATCCTAAATAGGCATTGAGGAGGTTGGGGTGGGGTTTATGTTCCATTCTTCCTTAGCATCTGAGCTAAACTCTTAATGCTGACTGGCTCGGGGATACGAGCCACGACCGAGGCATGCGGTGGTCGTAAGCACGGAGATCTCTCGCACATGACCTTGGAAAACCGGCGGGGCGCTCTGAAGTACAGTGACTTTCAGTCGTCATGTCTCATTCTCATCACCGCTCTTCGTCGGGTTCTCGGCGCTTTATACAATTGTTTCCCGCTCGGGTTCGGCTCGTGCCTCAAAGCCTTTAGTCGGCCGCGAAAATCTCACATCTGCTGGGTCATGCATTCATTGGCTGCATTTGCGATCTCTCAGCTTTGATTGGCTATTGCCAGGATTCCCCTGTAGTCTGCCCGCAATCGCCGCCGTAAACTAACATAAGGACTAGGGGATAATTCTTTATTATCAAGGATGCAATATGGAAGGGGCAGGTATCCGCGCTGATGGATCAAGCAAGTGTTCAGAAACATGCACATCGATGGAATCAACAAAATAATGCCTGAATTCGCTTCTTGTATATTTGCGTCGCAGTTGTCTTTGCAAAATTCACTACGAGCGATATAATAATGTCTAGGCCGGTTTTTGTTTGTGTTCCGGGAGCCTCACATTCACATCTTATCTATGAGCCGCTGAGGGCGGCTCTGGCGTCCCACGGCTACGCTGCTTATCCTCTTTCTCTTCCATCAGTAGGAGGAAATCCTCCAACATACGACTTTACCGAAGATGTCCGCGCAATAAGGGATCTGTGTGCTGAACTTGTGGACTCAGGGCAAGACGTTATCTTGGTCATGCATGCTTACGGAGGACTGCCTGGTGGAGAAGCACTTTGGGGACTTGGAAGAGGCGAGAGAACGCAAAGGGGGTTAAGAGGCGGAGTTATTCGACTTGTCTTCATCATGTCTTGTAAGTTTGGAAGGATTGTGTTTTCTTTACCCTGTTCAGATTTTTGAGGGCCATCAAATCGGTGGCTTAGAAAATAACGCAAGCATAGGAGTTGCTTAACAACTTCGAGTTTCTCTTGGTATTGACTTTGCTGACTTCCAACTTTCAGGGCTGGCAGTGGAGGGATTCCAAGGGAGTCCAAGAGGGGATGTTACTGGAATGTTCCCCTACATGCGTTGTGATTTACGGGTCAGTTGCTTCAAATTCAGGTTTCAATTCCTTCAACCAAAAGTGAAATTTGAGAAAGCTTCACGTGGGAATTTTGTATCACTATTTCTTCGTTCAAGAGTGAACGTCGAAGAAGTTTCACCTGGGAACTTTGTGGCAGTAAGGAAAGATTTGACACTGGAGAATATTCTCTCTTCTCTATTTTGGACCATTTTGCTATGTATCAAGGCAGTCAATTGTTCCTAACGATGTTCTAGGCTGGTATTACAACAATTGATCCTCGGCAAGCTCGAAATGTCTTCTATAACGATATGCCCAGAGCTGAGGCGGAATACTGGACTTCACAGCTACTTCCTCAAAGCATCGGCGTCTTCTGGAGCCAGACTACGTACGCATCATGGCGCTATATCCCTACCACTTACGTTCTATGCGGCCAGGACAATTGCGTGACGTTACCCTACGCCGAGATGATGCTGCAAACAGCATCAGAGTCACGGCCAAACATGATCGACGTGGTTGAGAGGTGCGAGGATGGAGGCCACAGTATTATGCTGAGTAGAGTGGAATGGACGACGAACATGTTACGAAGAGCCGCTGGAGAGAGAGTATGATTACTGACTACAATGAGTACAGTACATGAGGTACCCCTAGCAAATTGTACATTCGAAGAAGCATTTTGGATCTCGCTAGACAGCCGAAGTTTGGGCTATTTCCGTCCGTAGAAAGAGATGGACAATATTTTGGCCAAATCAAGTCAGCGCCTGGGCACGCCGTCATTTAGTCTTACGAGGCTCTGGATTCTCCGGAAGGTCGGGAACCCCACAGCAAAGTTCTACCTTCGATTGTATTCTTCCAAAACCTTCTTTCGCATCGCATCGGGAAACGTCAATACTCTGCGCACGTTTGCAATCGGCACGTGAAGAATGGCCGGTCAGGGTTTCGGGTTTGCGAGAGCGAGGCTGACTGCGGTGATTGGACATTCTCGAAGCGAAACAAAGGGTCAAACATGACGCCGTTGACAGATCTCGGGCCTCCCACTCTTGCACGGACATGGCAAGACTATGCTATATCCCATCTCGAGCTCAAGCATAGGGTTTCTCAACAACACAGACTGCTCCGATGCGAAGATGGCTATGAATTTGCAGACATTCTTGTGGGACCAGTGTTCGAGTATACGAGAAGGGAGAGATCAGTTGAGGATAAAAAGGATGGAAAGTCCAAAAGTATTTCATATCCATCATCAATCATCAACTCTCTTCTCTCTTCTTTGCTCAATACTCTAAAGTCCTTTAATTTTTCATTGTCCGGTACAACACCCACCACATAATCAAAATGCCTGTCACAGAACGTCTCATTCTCCCAGTCCAGAGCGGAGCAGACTGGAAAGAGCCTCTCAAGTTCCTCCTCCAGACCCTCAAGAAGCAAGAAGGCAACATCCGCACAAGATGGGGTCCCCACAGCGAGAACGTTGACAACCTCGAGCTCCTGATCGGTGAGTTCATCTCCCCCTTACCACTAAATTCTTCAGGTCTCTGACAAAACACTAGGCTGGGAATCCGAGGCTGCGCAACAAACTTTCCAGAACTCATCAGACTTTGGCACCGTCATGTCACAGCTCAAGCCCATCCTCCGCGAGGAGCCCACCGTCTACTTCGTGCAATTCGTACCCTATGCACCCAAGGAAGTCATCGGTCCGCCTCCCTTGTTCCTCCCCCCTTTTTCATGCCCCCTATTAACCAGTTGTGCACAGATGCCTCCATCGTGCAGGTGATCACCGTCCCTGCCTCCCAAGAAAGCGCCATCAAATCCACGATTGAATCTTACAAGTCCGTGTCCGGCTGCACCGGCGCCTCATCCGGCCTCTCCCTCGCAGAAGTTAAGGGCAAAGGAGCCAAGGTCTGCGTTGCAGTTGTCGGCTGGGAGTCTCTCGAGCACAGCCAAACCAACGCCACGAAGGTGGACGTAGGAAGCGACGTCGAGGTCCACCACGTCAACTTCCGCTACCCCGTCAAGGGCTTCCGCGGTCTGTAGATCTTCGGCCTTATCTCTTCATGCCGTTCGGTTTGGCCGAGCATAGGGGAGCCGGCAGGCAAGGGGTGATACACAGGGGGGGAAACAAGGAGTGGTCACTGGTTGGCCAAAACAAACATGCATATATATATAGAATGGAAAAAGGTTACCTTGCAGCACAACAAACCGGTAGAGATGAATGGTTCAGTCAAGTCGGTCATTTCCATCCATAACAAATATCAAGCCCCTATTATAACAAAACCCGCGTCTCCCATATTTGGAACTGAACTACAGGTCGGACAGCTGGTCGTTTCTCCGAAATAGCCCTCCCAATCACGGGAATCCCATCGTATGCTCACGACTAATCGCACAGAGCCGCGAAGGAGTGTAGATACGACACACCCAATCACCTCACAGTCTTCCCCACAATCCCAATTAGCTGTCACCCGTCCATCCTGGCTTGCCTGGTACGCCTCACACAAGTGACAAAGATACTCCGAACAGGAAACATTGATTATCCCGACTCCGTTCTCGCAGCCATGCACCCGCCTGCACCTCCGCACCTTACAAACCCTCCCCTCTCACGGACCCCCTCGCTTGGAGCCGAAAGCCCCACGTCCTACCTCGTTCTCCACGCTCCTCAACTGGCCCAAGTACCAATACAACTTCCCAGTTTATGCATCTCACACTGCTTCCTTCATCATCACCACCACCCATTCCCTCCCCCACTTCACCCCCTCTCTCCCTCTCCCTCTCCCCCCTCCCCAAAAAGCTAATAATAAGCCCCGCCTCCAACTTTGACAACACATCCTACATACACACTTAATTAGTATCGCATGATATTGCACCATCACCGAGTAGCGCAGACTGTACCACAGTCATGCATTGACCGCTTACGGGCCTTGCTCACACTCGGCCGCCTCGCTCTTCCAAAAAGGCAGCAAATTGACCCCGATACGGACAACATTCTTGTATCGGGGTGGGTAAGAGAAAGACGGGAGGGATGGCTGGGAGCATCTCCACAACAAGTTTGAACGCGAACCAAGGACATATTTGCAGCCATGCTAATGGAGCGGCGGCTACCGGCTTTTCCGGACAGCAAAAAGACCCGATACGGATAACAGTATCAAATCCGCTAACCAATTAGGGATGTGAAGGCTGGTGGTCATTGGATATAAAGTCCGACGGACAGAAAGCAACGGACGACTAGATTGAAGAGCGCGGCGCATAGAAAGGCAGTAAATTTGGAAATGAGCTGGAAATTTCCCGGTAAAAGTCGGGTTCAAGTCCAAAAGAGACGGATTGCGAGATGGAGGTCATTGGCAAAGAACCCAAGTAAGGAGAGTCTTTCAATCTACCGTTCTGCGTACCGCAGCGATACCCAGGAATACGAGAAAAAAGCGAACCTATTTTAACATTTTAACAAGGGGATTACCGACTATCTATGTTACCTATCCTATTTCTCTAGTTATTCGTCCGTCCGTCGTCCATTCATTCAACATCTACCAACCTCCCGGCATCCCAAGCCTTCTTCGCCGTCTTCTGCAGCGCCTCCATATCTCCGCTCATCTCACACATTCCCCTGAAGATAGCCTCCTTACCCTCTTTCTCCAATAGCTCGTGCGGGTGTCCGTACTCCACCACGCTGCCTTTGTCTAGCACCAGCACCTTGTCGTAGTCGACGATGGTCTGGAGCCTGTGCGCGATGGTGATGATGGTGCTCTTGAGCTCGCGGATCGTCTCTTGGATCTTGGAGTCTGTGTTGTAGTCGATAGATGCCGTGGCCTCGTCCATCATCAACACTTTCGGATTCTTGAGCATGGCTCGCGCGAGACATAGGAGTTGGCGCTGGCCTTGTGAGAGGTTGTTGCCCGACTCCGTGACCGGGGAGGAGAGGTTGAGGAATACATTTTTGTTAGGTATGGGTGAGGATGTCCCAGTAGGACTGTGGAGAGTCCCATTGACTTGAACGCCCGGTGTTGCGGGCCGGGAAGCTGTCAATGGAGTCGATGGATTGGTGATCGAAGTCGGCGCTCCGATCAATTGAACTCTTCGTAATGCAGTGAAGATGTCTTCATCTGTGAAGAGACTGAACGGGTCGAGATTGCTCCGGATCGTACCAGTGAATAACGTCGGATCTTGCGGCACGATCGTAATTGACTCTCTGAGGTCTTGAAGACCAATGAGACCGATGTCAACATCATCGATCAGGATCTTTCCTTCTTCCGCCTCCAGGCCCCGGAACAGCGCTAGAGCTAAAGAACTCTTTCCTGCACCTGTTCGGCCGACAATCCCCACTTTCTCCAGAGGCTTGATTTTGAAGCTGACATTTCTAAGCACCGGCTCCAAATCCGGTCTGTACCTCGTTGTATAGTTAATAAATTGAACTGAACCCTGACTCGGCCAGTTGGCGGCCGGTCGGGCTTTCTCAATAACCGGCTCGGCTTCTTGCTCGACATCAAGGTACTCCTTGATACGCTCCACCGAGTTCATGTTCTGCTCATTCATCGCGTATAACCGGACGAGCCAGAGAACGTTCTCAGTAAAACTGATTGCATAACTCAATGACAAACCAGCAGAGCCGGCATCGATCGTTCCAATACTGAAAACGACGAAAGCTCCAGCAAAGAAAGCAACGAGATCACCAATAACATCGATTCTGAAGGCTAGCCAACGGTTAGTAGCCCATAGGAAGATGAATGGCCGGCTATGGGTGTTGATTCGCATCATGTTGTCGCGGATGAATCGTCTTTCGTCTCCATAAGCACGAATTGTTGTGATTCCAGAGAGCGTTTCCCCGAATTGCTGGAACAAAGGACTTCTCTGCACCGACTCGATTCTCTTCAGATCTCTCGAGGACCGCAGGTAGAACTTCCCAACGAAGAAATACATCGCGCCAATGAAGACACCAGCGATTAGGAAGCCAGGCGTAATGGCCGAGATCAGGGCGACCGTCACAACAATTGCCAAAGCACAAGACATAACTCCAATGGCAATTGGAGCCACTTCTTGATCCACGGCTTCTAAGTCCTTGCTGAAGCGGTTCATGAGTTGGCCTAGGGGTGTGACATCGAAGAACTTGAACTTCGCACGCGTGACCGAGTGCATCAAACGCTGATGTATTTTCCAGCTAGCTGTCAGGGAACCAAAGAACAGCCAGAAGTCCCTGAATAGCGCAACAAGCATACAAGCAATGCCAATGAGGGCATAGACTGCAAGATAGTATGAGACATCTACGTCTGGTGCAATTTTCGCGATGAGGGATGTCTTGTTTGGGTCGAAATACGGCTGGATCTGGGAGATCCGGGAGCTTGCCACGTTGACCGTCGAGATTGTGTTGCCAATGTAGCTGTTGACAGACACGCTGTATGCCCCCATCGATTCCGTATCGTATTGGTTCGCCCATTGCCGGATCCAGACGTTGGCCGCCAGTGCTCCAATCTGTTGAACTCCAAAGACAAGGACCGCAAGCACCCAAAACCACCTGAAAGTTTGGTTAGTGCTTTATATCTACAATGAGTGAAGTGACAAAACATACCAAGGTCCCATAGACTTCAAGTAGAGGCCGATTACAGGCCATTTGACCCCACCTTCGGCCTTGGTTTCTTCCATAGCATCCTTCTTGAGTTTGGGTTCCTTTTGTACGCTCTTGACTTTGGTGAGCTTCCCATTGCCGTTGCCATTCGCAGCGGCATCATCAACGAGAGTCTCGTTACTCTCATCGCCAACACTCGAGGGTACTCTAGATGGGATTCTCGAGATAGCTGCAGATCCTGGCCTTGATTTGTTGACATCTTCGCCAAGCTTTCCCGACGCCATAACCTCGTCAGCTGGTCCTTGAACTTCGATCTTTCCATTGTCAAGAAGGACAACATATCTCGATTGAGGCACACAAAGAGCCAAGTTGTGCGTCACCAAGAGGCAAGTTCTTCCATGCATAAGTGGGCCACGAATGCAATTATCGAAGATCCATTTCGCGGTGTGCGAATCGACTGCGCTGAGACAGTCATCCAGAAGAACATGCTTCGAGTTCGAGTATAGTGCTCGCGCGAGAGAGATTCGTTGTTTTTGACCTCCTGACAAAGTGATACCCTTCTCTCCAACGAGAGTCTCATCGCCTGCATCTAGAATCTCGAGATCGCGCTCAAGAGCGCAAGCCACAATGACGTCCTTGTATCTTTTCTCGTCAAATGGTGCAGCAAACAAGATGTTTTCCTTGATATTCGCATTAACAAGCCAAGCTTGCTGTGCGCAGTAGGCAACACTTTCAGTAAGGCCAGTTTCTGGATCAGGCCGAACATCCTCACGGCTGCATCCACCAGGTAGGAAGACTTTTCCCTTTATCAAGGTCATTTCTCCGAGGAGGGCCATCAAAAGAGAGGTCTTGCCAGATCCAGTTGGGCCAGCAATGATGTTTAGCTTGCCGATCTCAAATTTGATGTCCACATCCATGAGACGGAAAGCCGGAGAGACCTCTTCACCCACTGCTTCCTTGCCACCCCAAGAGAAAGTGGCGGCCTTGAAGCCGATCATTTGCTTTCCATCTTCGTCGAGATTATCGTGGCGAAGTTGTTCATATTTCTCGGTCTCCTCTTCATTCAAAAATTCTTCAACACGATCCACAGAGACCTTGGACTCTTGGACATGTGCAATCATGTCTCCAAGCTGGTCAAGAGGAACACGGAGGATGTTGAAGAGTGATATTGCAGTGAATGCAATCGAGGGATAAAGCGGCTTCTTCTCGACCAACGTATAAACGAGGAAAGAAAAAAAAGTGATGACCACCGGAACTGTGTTCCAAACAGCCACGGCAAATGCCCAAAGGATGTACTTACCCCGCAAAGCCTTCAGTTCGGCTGCACGCTTGTCGTTTACGATATTGCTGAAGCGATGCTCCCATGCAAAGAACTTGATGATTCTAATGTTCTGCAACACCTCGTTGGTCGTATGGATACGCTTGTCTGTGGCAGCCATGATCTTCTTCTGAAACCTGCCAAAACCTCGGGCGAAAGCAATGTTGACTGGCAAGAGAATAACCATGACAATAAGTCCAGGAATGCTGCTGTATCCAAGGATTTTATACAGCAGGTAGACTGCTACGATAAGCTGGGTAGGGGCCGCGGCGAAGAGGAAATGCAAGTATGCCGTGATCTCGCTGACTTTGAAAGAGTCAACGGACATCAGGTTGATGATTGTGCCAACATTTACTTGCTCGTCGTGACCCTTTGCTGCAGGATCTGCATCTGGAGCCGTGGTGGGGTCCGGATCCGGCTTTTTGACATCCTTCGTCTTCTTTCCGCCGAGCCCTAAGAGCTTCTTCAATTTGCTGGTTTTCGCAGCATCTTCCGCGTCCTGCTTATCGCCCAGAACTGTATCATTTCCAGCTGCAGCTTTTCGTCGCAGAGCCTTTGCATAAATCTCACCAATGATAATGGCCCGTAACCTAATGCAAATCTTGCGTCCAAGCCAAAGTGCTTGTCCATCGGCATAAGATCGAATGATATCTGTGAACGAAAGCAGGATCACATAGAGCCAAATGACATTCCGAGGAGCTGCTCCAGGATCCTCGATGTATTCCAAAATGGACTTCAGCAACAAAGTTGGGGCAAACGTAAAGAAACCGGAAAAGACAGCAAAACCGCATTGGGTGAGGAGACTTCCTTTGAAGTATCTCATGAGATGCCATGTCAGAGCAGTGGTCTTCTTCAGTTGTCGATAATCAGCCAAGACTGCCGCTGCCTTATCCTTTGGCACCAAATTCCAGACCTCTGAGATCTCGAATGTCTTTTTGTAGCCTTGCCATACAATTGCATCAACCCAGCCGAAGGTAGCCAGGGAGAATAAACTCGCGAGAGGCTCTCGAGAAGGCTCAATGTCGTTTTCCCACTCCAACACAACAGCCTTATTCCCCTTCCTCGTAGTAATAGCAATTCCGAAGAGGAGGGTATTTAGAGAGAATTCGGAGATGATCAGAGCCTGTGCGGTTCTCGAACGTGGATGAATGAGCGCAGACCGGAAAATGATAAGAGAGAAGAGCCACATGAGGCCATACAGAGTCGCAGTATGGTTCCATACCCTCGGTATTCTCCATCGTGTCTGGGACAATAGCAATCTCGAGGTCGCCAGTACCAAAACATATGCCCATGTTATGATCCCCGCCACCGTTGCAAGTGATCCATTAGGGCCGTACGCATGTAAAACCAACGCCACCACATTGATAGTAATTATCACCGCGATTGCCAAAAGTTCAACGACTACCAACGTATATTGTCCTCGAGGAGCATCAATGGCGGCAACGGATCCTTTGGTGGTTGTCTTTGTCAAGGCCAGGCGCCCCCCACCTATGGTCAAGCCCTCATCTTCGTCCTCGTCTGCAGTTGTGGATCCATTCTCGTCTGCAGGTACACTCTGATATGCTGCACCATTGAAATCTCTACTTCGACTCGAGCCGTTCGCAGAGGCATTGGGATTCGTGTTTCGTTTTAACTTGACATTGCGGCGGATAGCTTGTGATAAGAGATGCACGAAGGAGAGACCGATTACGATTAATGGAAAAAGAACTTTTAAGAAACTATTTTGCAATTAGCACATTGAAGCTTGAGCCGCACAGCTAGCTATCTTACTCTCTCTGCACGCAGTTCGTTATGTCATCAACCTGCCATATTGGACCTTCGCATTTGCCCAACATTTTCCAATCGAAACCGTTTCGAGGACTCGAGAGGTTGCGGGGTTGAGGAGGTTGGAACGCAGCAGGCAAGATGAAAGCCGTGACTTGTGCCCTCGCACAGTCCAGAGATGGAGGTTAAGAGAACAAACTTGTGAAGTGAAGAAGACTGTATTTTAAAAAGATATTGCGAGGCTTCATTACTTAGCTTTACTGCGCTAGCAAGGTATAGTGGAATGGTGGATCGGGGACGATTGCGGGTCAACACCAGGGCGGACCCACCCCACTTGATATTTATGCTGGATGGTCCCCAGCCGTTCGTTCCCTCTACAATTTTTCAACTTCGCTCTTTCCACCTATTTCGTCCTGCTCTTGGCACATGAAGTTGTCACTCTTTCAATTGAACTTTTACTCAAAGAGTCACCATAGCCCTTTTTCGAAGGAAGAACGTCATGACGATCTCTTCTCCCGTCTCTATCCGTACCACCATCACCTCAGCCTCCAAATATATTCAGTCATCCACGGCTCATTTGCCCCGGCCGTGTATCACTCTGGCTATTTCCCACCCACACCGCCTCTTGGAACAATGTCCCTCCCTCCCCTCCTAAATCAATTTCGGGAAGGTGATTGGTGATAGACCAGCCCCCTCCTGGTTCTTCGAACGTCTCCATGGGAGCTGATTGGCCAATAAGATCCGTGCGAAAAGTTGCGGTTAGACAAAACGGCCAACCTGCTTCCGATAAGCAGCGGCGGGGGAGTCACAATTCAAGCCTTGTTTAACCTTATTGACTTGCATGCAGGTGGACATTCTGACTCCTGAGGCTGCAGGAGAACGTGACCGAGTCATGCAAGATTCCGTCTAGATTGGTCAAAAAGTGTGTAAGATACGCAGACACCTTTAGATGTATGCTAAAAATAAAGAGGGAGGCAGAATAAGCAATTGTTGACTCGAAAACTCTTGGCGAAGTTGAAGAGGACTCGGAGGGTGGTCTCAATGTACCAAGACGGCTTGATGGTTCTCATCCGAACAAAGTTATGCATTTTAAAAAGTTGCTCTCTTTCGTCCGATGATGGTAGTTTGCCACAATCACCATGTCACCAGTCTCTGGAGAATGCAAGCATATGTTTACAGGGCCGTTGATAGATAGATACAATACACTTCTCTACCCATCCCGCCCAACATACATTTCCAATCCACCTATGCATTTTGTGACACAGGAAACTTTATCTTTTCTCGCTTTTCCATGCCATGCTATATCCCATTCCCGCCATGGTATTACACCAGCCGCTCGCTCCTATTTCAAGCGAGAGATCTTACAAGTTACCCCATTCGCTCCCACCCTCACAACTTCTTTTATGTAGCCCAACGACCCCAATACCCATGTGAAGTAATGAAAGATGAACGAGCTAGGCTTGGGACGCCTACTCTATCCCATTATCATACCCTTCATCCCAGCCATGTCACCTTCTTTGGCTGCGATTTCGAAGTAGCCGTAGATGATACTAGTTCAGCATTAGCTCATGGTTCCGGATTTCGAAAAGGAGAGAGTGCTTACGTGACAGCCAGCAAGATACCGGTACCCGATCCCAGTGCACCCATCAAATCGCTTGCAACAGACAGAGCCCCAATGCAGGCACCACCGAATGCAGCAGCAGTAGGAATAATGCGCTTGAGTTCCTTGTACATGCTCTGCTCTCTATGACCTGCCATAACAAGACCTTGGTCCTTCAGCTGTTTGGCGACGTCTCTTGGGCTGGAGCCGGAAACCTCAATCCAGGTCTTGGAGAAGACAGCGCAGGCGACAAGCATGTAGATGATGTAGACGGCTGTGTGGATTGGGTCGAGGAGGGCGTCGGTGAAGTTGAGAGGTGGGGACATGTAGTATGCGAGGCCAGAAACAGCATAGAGTTGCGCGGATCCTTCCTTGGGCTCCCAGACGCCGAAGAGTTGAACGAGGAGGTTCTCGGAGAAGCGGGAGTATAGCATTTGGCTGATCAAGAAGACGTTGGAGGACAGAGCGCCCTGCAACATGATGGGCATGTTGGAGGTGTAGAAAAGGCGGACAGGGTAAGAACCGCGTGCGCCACGTTGGCGGGAGGACTTGACTGGGATCTCGACACGGAAACCTTGGAGGTAGATGACGGCGGCGAATATAACGAGGGTGGCGAGGAGGTTCATGATGTTGGGGAGATTTTGTCTATAGAAAGCCTCTTGGAGCGCTCGTTGCTTGTTTGGCCATGTGAGGAGCAAGTGGAAGAGCGCAATGACTGCACCCTCGAACTCCGGTCCACGGCCGGTGTTGATGGTAGTTGGGGAAAATGCCTTCCACACAATGGACTCGCAGATGTTGGTCGCAATGAAAAGAGAGATACCACTTCCGAGACCATATCCCTTCTGGAGGAGCTCATCAAGAAGAATGACGATCAAGCCAGCAACAACCAATTGGAGGATGAGGAGGAACACAACACCAGCGCCGAGGTCAGAAGGCTGGCCATAAAGGCCAGTGAAAACATAGACGGTAGCCTGACCCATTGACAGGATGATGGCGAAAAGCTTCTGCGCAGTCTGGTAGAGCTCGCGATCCGATTTCAAGTCAAGGTTAACATCGATCAAGTGTGTGCCAGCAAGAAGCTGGAAGACCATGCCCGAGGAGATGATTGGCGTGATACCCAATTCCATTAGTGTTCCTCTGTTACTCGCCAATATCATTCGCAGCCAGTATAGAGGATCCGAGGTATCTGAGGACATAATGCCATAGAGTGGCATCTGGCTCATGACCAAAAAGATCAATAACGTTAAGCCGGTCCACATCAGCTTCTGGTTGAAAGGAACCTTCGTCTCGGGTTGCTGCACCTCAGGGAGGATCGGCGAGAAGGGCTTGATGAGATCGAGGAATCGAACTGTGTAAAGCGAACACGCACAGAGTCAGCCATCCTGTTCTTGGGGCGCTCAATGGCAGATTGGCTCTGGAGCTGGAAATGGAAAGGAGGAACTCACGGCCACTCATCCTGGCGGTATTGTCTCTGAAAACCTCACAGACGTGGAAGAAGGGAAAGGTGCTTAAGGAGCGACAGGAAATGCCGCGTCGAGTCTGCTTTATGTTCGCAGAGTGTGCGCGTGATGATGTGTTCGAAAGGAAATAATTCGAACAGATCTCAAGCTGGGCGTCAAGAGCTCGCTTCGTAAATTTGGGGTGCTGGCTCGGAAAGATGTGGCCTTTGGCGGATGTGACACGTGACAACTTTGTTAAGGCTGGGTCCCAGCAAAACCCCTGAGCTAGGCTTAATTTATCGTAGAACAGATCTCAGCTGGGTTCTGAAGGCGAGGAAAGAAGCTCCTAGAATTCTTCCTTTTGCAACCATTGAGAAAGCCACGTCGTTGATTTCACCACTTTTCACCTTCCCATTCCTGGGTGGCTGGTGAAAATTCGTGGCTGGTGAGCCTTCCGACCCCTGAACTGTCCCAGACGAAATTTGGAACTTCGGATGAACAGGGGACTGGGAATCGGACGGAACAAAGGTGCTTGGAATTCTAACATTTCCACAGTTCCTAGCCCGCACAGTCCTATTTCAAAGTTCTTCTTTATCCGTGCTTAACAAATTATTCTTTATTTAACTTCGATAGAGAGTTCGCCCTTACCCTCTCCCTCCCATTATAATCACAATCACTTTCTAAGCAGCACATTTAGTTCTTTCCCCTCCAAAAAAATAAAAACAAACAAACAAAGGAAATGATTATAAATCGCTCCAATGTTCCCAAGTTCCTAGTACATTGAGATTCTCTTAGATTTGCGAGTGAAATGTTAACTCCTCCAGCTTTGTCGCAAATCGTCTCAATGTTCGGGGTTGGCTGGTACAATGAGCTCGATACTCAGTTTAGATTGTATTTTAGGTGAAGTTCAGCTTTAGGATAGTGCTGACCTTCTCCTGTCGGATAATTTATAACCAGCTTTGATTTCTATTTCTATTTCTATTTCTAGGTTCGCATATACCTCCTCACTCTGACAGCATTTACCAGTATCTATACCACACATGTAATACCGCCCGGCCCCAAATCTACAATTCTATACTCTGTAATTTTACCACAAAAACACGTAGTCATCCTCTATAACACCACCTAATCAAATGCACTCCGACCTCGTTCTAAAGACCGCCTCAATAACACCAGTAAATGCCACGCTATGCAGTACACCCATACTGCCCCAAACGAAAAAGATACCTTAAAACTACCACGCCATCTTGGCAACCAACCCCTTAGGGTACTTCCTACACCACCACTTCCTAACCTCGTCCGTAAACAGCAACCACATGCCGAACGCAACAGGAAAGAAGAAGTACTCCACCGGGATCTTACTCGAGTTGATCGCGGTAGTCAGACCCGGAATATACAAGAATATAAAGATGACGACCAGCGCGAACAGAATAGCTGGGAAGAGAGCGAGGTTTTGAGTGGCTTTGTTGAAGATTGGTGGCTGTTGGAAGATCGAGAGGCGACGAGTACGGGTTGCGAACAGGTTGAACCTAAAAATCGTTCTTGTCAGCTATATATTGGTTTGAACGGAGCTCTGTAGGGACTTACCATTGCATAATGACCAAGTTGACGAAGTAAATCGACGAAGCCTCAGCCAGGACCTTGTTGACATAGTTGACATCGTAGCTAGCTGGATATTCGCCATATCCCAACCAAAGAGCAGAGAAGTGGACACCTCTGCGCTGGCAATACCAATATGACATGGCGAACGAGCAGATAGTTTCTTGAAGGCCGAGGAATATATAAGCATGGAACATGAGTTTCCAGTCAACAAGCTTGTCCTTTTTGAGATTTCTTGGCTTTCGTAGGAGCAAGTCTGCTTCGGGCTTCTCGTATGCAAGAACAGTGGCAGCTGCACAATCCGTAAGACAACAGATCATGATCATTAAGAAGGAGGATAAGATCTGCGGGAGACCGAGGATAACGCTGGTAATGATGGGCCAGAACTCAGAGAAAGTACCGGCAGGGAGGAGGTAGATGATTGTCTTCTTCAAGTTGTCGAAAACAACACGACCATATTTAACAGCCTCGACGATTGCTCCGAAGGAGTCAAGGAGAACCATGTCAGAGGCCTCGATGGCAATGTCAGATCCGGAACCGAGCGCAATACCGATATCTGCTGCTTTCAGGGATGGCGCGTCGTTTACACCATCTCCGGTCATACCTACAATGTTCTCACGCTTCTGGAATTCTGTACGCTGTTAGTTTGTTCCAGTTTCCATGAGGGTTTGGGGCATCTACCTTTCACAATACGAAGCTTTTGTTCCGGAGTGGTACGAGCAAAAACAATCTCATCATATTTGCAAAGCTGGTCCCATTGACAATCGTTGAGTGTGATCAATTCCGGACCGCTGAGTGTAATCGAAGTCGCTGGACCGCCAATCTCCTCAAGCTCTTTCTCAGAGATATTCGGGCTGATCTCTTTTGCCTCGACGGGAACCCTAGAGAGCATACCGATATCATGAACCATGTCGGGAGCATTGGTGATAATACCACACTCCTTGGCGATTGCTTGGGCCGTGAGCTTGAAATCACCAGTGACCATAAAGATCCTGATACCAGCTCGGCGGAGTATGCGGACGACCTCCGGAATCTCAGTTCTGGGAGGGTCGACGATTCCGACAAGACCAATGAGAGTCAAATCGCTGGAAGCCTGGGTAGTGATTTCCGATTCGAAGGTATTGTGCTCGGGGAAATGAATAGATTGATGACCGGAGAGAATCTTTCTGGCGAGAAGGATGACGCGCTTGCCTTGGCTGGACCACTGGTTCTTGATATCCTCAATCACAGTCTTCATTGAGATATCCAGCGGGTGAACTTCGCCATCCTCTCCGATGTAAGTAGTGCAGCGCTCGACAATGATATCCGGAGCACCCTTGATCATCAGAAGAAGATCGTCCAATTTCCAAGCTTCAGCTTCGCTGGGTGCGAGTGCAAATCTGAGTCCAGCAGGGTCTGCCAAAGCCAAGGTGCGGATCATGAACTTGTTCTTGCTGTTGAACGCCAACTCGAAGGTTTTCTTCCAAAGCAATTGTAGGTCGCGGACTGGGCCCAAACTCTCCGACAATCTTAACACGGCCTGATCGGTTGCATCGCCAGCAATTTTCCGCTGATCTAAAGGAAGATCTATTGTCGCAGCGTCAAATTCTCCTGCATTGCAGAGGCCAGCACAAGCTCGAAGCTGGGAAACCGCATTGGTTTTTTCGTCTTTGACCATTATGTCGCGGGCTTCTACTGGAGTCATTTTGAGAGCGGCTATAGAGCACCCAGTAGCAAACATTTGGTTCTGGTAGAGGATTAGCGTCCGCTGAGAGAAACTGAAGGAGAAATCTACCTTGGTTAAGGTACCGGTTTTATCAGAACAAATGACAGAGACTGCTCCAAGAGTCTCGACCGTCTTGAGAGACTTGCAAAGGACTTGATTGCTCTTCATAATGTTGGCAGTGATCGTCAGCGAAGCAGTGAGAGCAATTGGCAATCCTTCCGGAATGAACGCAACCGCTACGGTCACGACATCGACGATGAGACCAGCAACATTGATCCAGGTAGGGTGAGACTTTCGCAGCCAAGCACCCCAACAGATAATCACCACGATATTGAAGAATATCATCAACGAACAGATAATGATGATGAACCTCAAAATCTCCTTTTGTAGAGGAGTCATGCCAGTCTTTGGGGTGTTCGTCAATCGAGCGATCTTGCCAAAGACAGTGCTGTCACCGGTCGAAACGGTAATACCAATGGCAGTACCAGAGATACAATGGGTTCCTTGCATACCAATGTTATTGGTTTCGAGGTAGTTCTTGTCCGTATAGTCGATAGATCCGGGGACCGGTTGAGACTCCCCGGTAAGGATAGATCGGTCGAATTTGGCATCTGAAGAAACTTCGATGAATCGAACGTCTGCTGGAAGTTTGTTGCCAAACTTGATGTAAAGGAGATCACCAGGAACCAAATCAACGGCAGCTGTCTCGACACGGTTTCCGTCTCTCAATATAGAACAGTTATCTGGCAACATTCCGGAAATCGAGGCCATAGTCCTGGAAAATGTCAGTCTTGGTTGTTTCGGGAGATGCATAGAACAACGTACCTAGAAGAAGACCAATCTTGCCAAGCATTGAATAACGCTTGAATAACGAAAACGGCATAAAGAACAATGGCCAGTGCTAAGTTGGCGATTTGAGGATTTGGATTTCCGAGAGGTTTGTAGGTGACCGTAACCAGAACACCACCGATCAGCAGAACAGAGCCAAAGCCACCAAACATATATCCCATAACTCGTGAAAACAAATCACTCGGCGGTTTGGAGGGCGTGTTCTTTCCAAACTCCTTCTGCTTTCGCTCAACTTGCTCCTTCGAAAGACCTTGCTCAAGGGATGTCGAAAGTCGAGTCTTGACCTCATTGACGGACCAAGTGTGCCATTGCAAATCACCCAGCTCTGCAGCAGCATCCTTCTTTGCCTTTACTACCTCAACGCGCTCCTTCTCTTTCGTCTCTTCGATGGCGTACGAGACGGTTCTGTAAGTGATCGGAAAGGCTGTTGCGGGATCGATTGAATTTCGACGTCTTCTGCTTGACATGGAGCCAATTGATGTGGATGATATGTTCGAAGCGGTCCGGGACAACCTGAGGACCGTGTCGCGTCTGCCGGCCTCCTCATCGCCGACACTGCCAAACCTGATCGTCGCGCCAGGGCGTGGGGTGGGGTGGGAAACTTCATCGTCTGGCTGGGCGGTACACTCGAACGTTACTTTATCAGCCATTGCGACTATTGGAAGCAAATTGCTGGCGGATATGCGACGAGATGCGCTTGGGGCGGGAGAGGTGGATGACCTCAACACCGCACTCGAGAGCGAGTGGGAAAGTGAATAGCTACCTAGTAGAGGTATGTGCTCGTGAAGAAATGGGAAGGGGAAGGACGTGACAAGAGAAAGTGCGAGCAGGAGCGCTTCCTAATAAGCAGCTGCGGCTGTAGCCAGGCGAGGCCGAAATACTTTTCGACGAAGCTGCCTGAAGCCAGGCTGCTTGCCCCTCCTCGAGCATGTGTCAATAACTAGCAAATTACCGTGGACCTTTCGTTCGATTCTCGGATTCTCAGACATGGCACGATTCCAGGGAGCCTCCCATTCCAAGCCAATTTGGGCTGATCCAGGTCCCAGGAAGAAAATCGGAACCGGCAGGAAGGTTTGGTCCCAACGGAAAGTAGTCAAGCACAATCATGTCCAGCCAGGATTCGAGAATTTGAATAGGGCTGAGAGATTAATCGCTCATACTAGAGAAACTTCGACCTGCCCCGGGGTGACAGATCTGTCGGTGGTGGCACTAAAATCGTGGCGCGGGGCTTCGATGGCTGCTCCACCAGCTCAGCCCCAGGCACAAGATCTGGCATATCAAAATCTCTCACAGGCGGATCAGAGCTCTGCTGCTAGGTGACGTAATGGAGAATTTTCAATGGACAGGAGTTGTTGGGAAGAATTTGTCGCGAAAATGCCAACCTTTTCTCAGCGGTGAGAATACAGAAAGATCAGTGATGATGTTGAATTTTGCAGGTTGGAGTTTCCCGAAGTGTGTGGCTGGCTCATCAAACAAGCTTTTCTAGTCTCGGTTATCGACGCATGAACTCTAAGTGAGTGGCGGGGCCTTCAGGGGTCGAGCAGATTCAAGTTTTCTTCTCATCCCAAGTTTTCTCCTATCTAGTGATCTGTGATTATTGAGAAATTCACTTATTTTGAGGCTACATATTGCTCAAATGTCGTTACTCATCATGGAGTAATAAATATGGCCACTGTGTAAGTCTGGGGTTTAGATGGTTCAGTGCAAGTCGATACCGCATTCAAGTACTGTCCAAAAGTTTTCTCTGTGGAACTAGAAGAGTAGACTCTTAGCAAAGAAAACGGTCACGGAATAACTAGGAGGGAAACCCAAAATCGGAGATAATGCCATTGTATTATTGCAAACTTTTGTTTCTCAGGACAAAGATATCTCGATCTATCCTTAATGTACCTGAAGAAGCTTTTATTATTGATATCGTCTCAAGGAATCATAGCCAGACACTCAGCTCATGTTAAATGAACATCCTATCTGGCCTTTCACAAAAAGGAAAGCAGCTCATGTTGAACGAGCCTCTCTGAACTCACAGTACAAAAGAAAAGGAGACGACAAGGAAGATGCCAAGTCATCAAGCAGTGAGTTTCACTGACTTACCTACTTAACGAGTAACGACTCTCGAACTCCGCCTCCCACTTTTCCTCGCACCCCCCTTCCCACCACCACCATCTCGACGGCGCTTATCTTTGCGGTCCTTGCGATCTTCAGCATATGGATCCTTCTCCTCCTTGCACGTTGGACAATCGCCACTGTGCTTAAAGTCCGCGCCGCGCGAGAGGCCAAGGTTGGTGCAATTGTGCGCACACTCGCCATGATGGATCGCACCTCCGCAGAGGGTGTAGCGGGCGGGATGAGGTGGCGCCCTGTCGAAGGTACAGCCGTAGCCGGTATATTCCGGGTAATGAACTTGACACATTTTGTGATATATTTAGTTAGGTTAGGTTGCTTGGGTACAAGTGATGCTTGAGTTTCGAAATTAAAGTATGATGCTGTGGTTATTGGAGAGATGGAACTGTGGATGGTGAGGAGAAGTCATTTTGGGAACTCTGATCTGAACATGTTACAGTTAAAGAGGAAGGACTGTCCCATATTGTAATTGCATTGGCATTCTTCAAACCACTGTTTTGAATATATTGAAGCCGTCTTTGAGAACTCGTTGTAAAGATAAAGTAAGGTTGCGAGGAACAAATCTTGAACAAGTGAATATTGGATGCGCTGAAATTGTGGCATGTGCGATATATGGCTTTCTTTGTACTATCGCAGACCAGTTACAAGCGTTTTGTGAATCTCCAAGAGAATTTAAAGCTACCTCTTTGTTGTGTCTACTATCCATTCCCAAATCTTGAGTAGATTTTGTGATTCCTGACTCCAAGGGTGACCTGCATTGTTGCAAGAAATTCTCCGGTAAGGCTAAGTGAGACATTGATGCTTGGGTCTCTTGGGACCATAACAGCCATTTCGGATTCACCGGCAAGTTTGGTGAGGATTACCCTGGCAAGATAAGGCTGAGGCCCGGCATCCCAGACCATACTGGCCGTGCATGGATGCGCGATTTAGCTGCATACGGAAAAGCACAAATAGCTGTTCGTAGCCTATTCAAGACGTATCCTCTGCTGAGATGCTTTCATCCTTCAGATTGGAAGACCTACCGCTTGCTTCGTTCTTCTGCTTCTTCTTGACCAGCGCTCGATGACGACGACTTTTGAGGTGAGTCTGCCATTGAATATTGTTGACGGCTACCATATGGCATACCTCACATTCTTGACGGAACCATACGTCAGGTTTTTCATCGAGACCGTCGGTTGGGGCCAGAATATTTTGAGCTGCCTGAGACAGCTCATAAGGAGGAGGCAGCTCGCTGCCTTCTAAGAATCTGGCAGCAACATCGATGGCAGGGTCTGAGACAACCTCTGTCCATCGACTGATGTCTGTTCCATCGAGCAGGTACAGCTTATTCAGAGCATTCTCGTCCGATAAAGCTGTCATCAGGTTCAGACGAATCCATCGGACTTGACGCTTTGCGTATTGGCGAGTAGCGGCCTTCGTTTGCTCAATAGATAGATCGTGAAGCTTCAGCAGATCCTCTTGAGAAGTAGTTCCGGTCCCAAAAGCCTTAAGATAAGCTTCGAATTCTTTCCAGCCGATTGAGACCCAGATGCCGCGAGTTCGGTCTACTGGACTTCCTGCTTGTGAATGCACCTTTAGAAAACCCGCCATCAATTTGACTTCGTCCAGAAGGCCAGCATCGATCATCTTGTCAACTCGAGTGTCCAACCGTTGTTTCAGAGTCTCTGACCTGGCGTGTACCCAGAATAAGAGGGTCGAACCATCGCCCACGACATTTGTAGAATTACCGTTCTCGACGTCCCCATGAAGCTTTCGCTTCTTCTGTTCGGCGTAGAGCTCCGACGCTTTCCTCCCAGTTGTCAGAAATATCTCCAGAGACCGTCGGATCTTTCGTCTGTCCTTCGGGTGCCATCGATCCGCCATCACAGGATCCACCTCCCTCAAACGCTCGATCATAATTTCTGTAGGCCCTCCAAGAATCGGAAACTTCTCTAAAACCTCTTCGTTTGAATATACCGTACTGTCTTGCTCCTCCCTCTCGTCCGGTTTCCCCAACAGCGAGTCCTCGAACAGCAGAGACTGCGTGTAGTAGTGTGTCCCTCCAACCACAATCGGCAGCCTCCCTCTCAATCGAATCTCCCTTATGATCTGTCCCGCTTTCTTCTTGAACAAGCCCACTCTCCATGGCTCCTCGTTCAGCGCAATAAAGCCAAGCAGATGATGTGGAATTCCTTGCTGCTCTTCGATCGTGATCTTGTTCGTGATGATGGGTAGACCATCGTACATCTGCATGGCATCGCCGTTGATGATCTCACCATTGAATCTTTTTGCCAGGTCGACAGCAAGCTGTGAAACTGTTAGCTTGAACGGAAGGTGGAAGAGGGCTTCATACCTGAGACTTGCCAGTGCCTGTGGCGCCTAGGACCACGAGTAATGGGTCCTTTGGAGGTTTCGCCGCCATAGCAATATATCTTCGAGTTTTGCTCGCATGCCTTAGCATCCGTGCTTCTGATTTTGTTGTTTGGAAAATATGGCACTCGAGAGGAGTTGGTTCCGCAGATTTGTGGAAGCGGAAAGGCTATGGCAGAATAAAGGCGGTGTGGCTGGAACTGCCCACGCTTGAAGCGCGCCTGCGCCTAGCATGAGACACAATGACAGGTAGTTGTCAGACCAGAGTGGGATCGCATTCGAGGGTCTCAGGGATAAATTTATACTAGAAAAATCTTGCCATTCAACGACAACAGCTCTCCAACAACAGTTCTACAATGTTGCGGTACTATCGCAGTGAGATCTCTTATTTAGGCATAGTGCAATCGCTCCGCTTAGTCAGGATCTATGCTCTCTAAGCGGCCCGTTCCTTGGATCGTTCGATGATCCTCTATTTTAGCGTCACAAATGTTATCTTAATCGAACTTTGTCACCTACTAAAGTGACTTTCAGCCTTGAATGCAAGACCTTGCTAACGCATACTTGTGTGAAGCTTGTTCAAAACCAATTGTCGTCCACGCGGGCACGTCGGCTGTCCTCAATGTAAAGTTGCAACCGCTGGTGATATGCAGATCAACCAATGATTCTCGATGATGACGAGTCAGAGGCACGCACGGAGCCTAGTCCCGAGCCCGTACTGTTGGCAGATGGTAAATGCACAAACAGCTACTTTAGTCATCCAAAAGACTTGGATAAGCAGCGTCGCCTTGAAGCGCGCGAGGATGGCGCGATCCACGTGCAATTAGGGTGAACTGTGCATCTGAACAAGATAGCATGTACTCAACTGTATTCGCTACAATATATAACTAGGCACATATATCTGATATGGCAGTGCCCGGAAAGCGCTTTGAATGTAGTAAGTTTCATATGAAATCCGTCCACTCTTGACTCTTCGTCTCCCATCTGTGACGGCGGGATCAATGCAATGGTCGAAGGCTCAAAGTTCAAAGAATCTCATGTATTGGAAAATACTAAGCTGTGGAACAACGTAGGGAGGATGCCTCGACCTTTTAGTATTGTCCCGCCCAAGCATTCCGGCTTAGCTTCGTTTTGCACCTGTTTCCGATATCCTGTCCTCGGCAGATCATGCCGTTACGCCAGCCGTCACACCATCTGAGTCTCCATTTGACGGGTAATGCCAATTATCTCGCCGCATCACAGAAGGTAAGTAAGGTTGGATAGTCATCGATTGAGAGATAACTTATGTATGATAATCTCATGTAATTTGTCGATATTATCCAGGAATTCGATCCCGAACTTCTGGCAAACTATCTGCACATTGCCCCTCTTCGAATATCCCTCCGGGGCTATGGCAACGACTTTGCCAGGGATCTGCGCAGAGAGCCCAAATTCGAGCAGGCTTATTGGAGCCACTGTAGCTGGGTGGAAATAAACCACGACAAGGTCGGCCTTCGCTTGTTTGTCAAGCTCCCACAAGACCTGCTCACGATATGGAGCAAAGGTGATGTCCTCACGCCATGTGCTGTCCCAATCTGGGCGGTTTGGATTGAAAATAGTTATCGGATGCTCAAAAAGCGAGGCAGATAGCTTTTCGCGCCAGTCAACATTATCGACTGCGGTGGTTGTGCCTGCGAGGAATACGGATTTGATTCCGTTGATAGGCTCCTCCGAAGGTGCGCGTATGATCTGGCTCCTCTGAATGGAACTCATTTGGCCAAGAGTGCACCGACAGAGTGTTGAATACTGAGAGATGAGAGCCCGAGAAATTCTGGATGGTAGCATGGGAGGGAGTGCTGAATTATCTGATGAGGTGGAATTCAACTGGAAAACAAACAGGCTGCGAGCGGGGTTTGTGCTTTGGGCTGTCACAATCCCTGCCATTGCAGCCCCATTCGAATTGTGAACGCGCTAGAAAAGCCTCCCTTGCATTCACCAGCGGCGTGTTTCAACGATGTGAGTGACTTTATATGGTGCTACCACACGTTCATGCATGCGGGGTCATGAGGTCGCTGCGGGCCTCACTCTCATAATGCATCCTCTTCTATATTATCCTACGTTCGGACCACCCTAAGCGGTTGGCTCTCGGGGCTCCTTAAAAAAAACTGGTTACGTGAGGAATACTAGAATCTCCTCCTTCTAGAAAATCGCATATCGGAACGTAATTATGTCCAAATCCTTAGAGCTAAGCTTAGGATTATAAAGAAGAAGCTCAAGTGCCTTTTTTTTTAATATTTTAGTAGTTCTGAGATATAAGGGGCTTTTATTACCATTTTTTAAAGCTTAGGGGAAAATCTGAAGCTAGCGGCTCTATAGAAAGTACTAAGAAAGAAAAAACCTGGCTTTATATACTCTCCTCTTTTTCTTCTCTTTATTATTATGAATTCTTTTCGCTTTTATACTTCCTATAAGCAAAACCGGCCTGCTTCTAAATTTATTACAGAACGAGCTAAGCTATATAAAACTTGCTATTACTATTGAGTTTATATTTCCTTTTCTCTTTTCTGGCTTAATTAACTAGTTAATAGGCCCGAAATATTACTAATTATATCTAGTAGTACCCTATCTTATAAGAACTTAATTCAAATACTCTTTCTATTTCCTAATAATAATAATAGTTAATTACGGATATTTCTATAAATAAACCAGTTCTATAATACTAGTAATAAATCTATTAACTATTTATTATAGCCTTAATTAATATCTTAAAAAACCTTTTTATAAATTTATTTATTATATAGCCTTCTGGCTTTCTCTTATATTTCTGGCTAGCTTTTATATATATAACTAGTCTATTTACGAGTTACTATATAGTTTATAGAGCCTTCTATTTTAGTTATATAAATAATTACTTTAAGGCCTATTACAATAATAATAATATAATACTTCCTTTAATTTATAAGCCTTTTTTATATTTCTTTTATTTTTTTATAAGTAATAATCCGCTTTATTAGGCCTTCTAAACAAATATTTAAATATATAATTATATTTTTATCTTTATATTAATTAAATATAAAAAGAATATATAAATCGATTTCTTTTATAAGATCTAATATTTTTAGATCCATAATAAGCTCTTTTATTTCCAAGGCCTATTATAGCCCGTTTTATATATTAAATTCTTTTTTATATAATTCTTTTTTTATAATCCGCTTTTTATAACTAATATATAAGCTATTAATTTCTTTTATTTAGATTATATAATTCTTTTATAGCTTATAAATATATTTATAAATTATAATCCGTTTATTATAGTCTATAAAATAACCTATAAATATCTTATAAGCTAGTAAATTAATTTCCGGATTTTATTTAATTTATAAATATATTTAATTATTATTATAAAAATTTTCTAATAAATAATAAGATTATAGCTTTTATTCTAAATAAGTATATAATATAATAGATATATATTATAATAGATATATGTAATAGTATATAAATAAGTATTAGATATCATGAATCTAGTTTCCTATTTTGGGTAAAGCTTATAATTAGAATTATATAAGTAATCGGAATTATACAAATTATATAGAATTATATTTCCTAGTTAAGTAAAGTACTTTATAGGCTTAACTAAGTACTAGGGAATATATAGGGAAACGCTCCTAGTTTTAGAAAGAAGTATTAATTAGTTTTTTATTAGAATTAATTCTTGGAATTAGTTATACTTATAAGTATTACTTTATAGCTTACTTACCTTAATTACTTATATATTATCCTACTATTATATATCTTATATTCTAATTAATCTAATCTTTAGAAAGTAGTTCGTTATAAGATAGTTAAGCTATTAATAGACAAAAATATTAATAGCTAGAGTATTAACTAGAAAAAGTACCTCTATTATTACTAGGGTAATCTAACCGGGTATTTAGGAAAGTATCTAGTTAAGTATTCTTTATATTACCTAATTAGGAAAAAAAAAGTAGAACTCAGATATTCCTAGAACTAGCTAGTAAGATAATAATAATAAAGAAATTAGTAGCGGCTTATTATTATATTACTAAGTTAGAAATAGAAATATAATAGAGAAAAGATCTAGAGAAGCTAGAAGCTCAGATCTATTATCTTGAAAATATTTAAATACCCGGTATAGAACCCGTTATACTTCTAGTAATATTCTTAGTTTAGAAGGCTCTAAAAACCCGAGAACTACTTACTTATTAGGAAAAGAGTATTAAAGAAATCCAGGACTTCTTTTATTAAGTAAAGTTAAAATAATATAAAAATAATAAGATTATCTAGGCTACTAATATAATAAAAGTTATATATTATATTTCCTATTTTAAGGATATAGCCAGAAATATCTAGAAGTATAAGAAGTAATTAGTAGATATTAATACTATAAATTAGAAGATCTTTATTAAGTTTATAAAGAATTCTATTTTAGATTTAGAGAACTATAGTAATAATACCTTTACTAAGTTTAAAAATACTAAATAATAGCTAGGCTAAAGTATTTAAAGCTTTATATCTTACTTAGATAGCCTATTAAATAACTTGGGATATATGGGTTTATTATAAGAAAGAAAGAAAAAAGCTTATTTTTATAGCTATAAGAATTAAAAATAATTTGAATTTATTTATTTAATAAGAATATAATAATAAGCTAATAGAATAATAAAAGAAAAGAAATAAGAAAAAAGAAAAAGAAGATAATAAAAGAAAATAGAAAAGAAATATATTTCTATTATAAGATTTATAAAACCAAAGTAGTAAAAGTATAGTAATAAGATCTAATATAGTATTTATATTAGGATTTATAAAACCGGATATAATTTGCTTTATTTATTAGAAAAAGAATTACTATATTACTATTTATTTAAATTAAAGAAAACTAACTTACTATAACTATAATAAGTCTGGCTATAAATTATATAAGTACTTAGAACTAAAGAAGCCAGGAAACGAATATATTCTATAGTAGTTATACTTATTTATACTATAGAAGGCAAGGCTCCTAAAACGAGAATAATAATTAAGGTTATTATTAAAATAAGAAAAAATAAGTAAAGAATTAAAATATTAATTAATTCGGATATAGAGGCTAATTATATAAAAAAAAATTAGCTTTAGATATAAGTATTCTATTAATATTAAAGGCAATTCCCTTATTTTTACTAGAAAAAAAAAGAATTCATTTATATAAAAATTATATTCTTAGGATTACTATTAAGAATATACTAGGGAACTAAAAAGAAACTAATATATACTTTATATTATATAATTTTAATCTAAACTATATTAATATAATATTTGGATTCCTATAGCTTTATTAGATTAATTCTCTAATTTCCTTTAGGGAAATAATATAAAAATACTAGATTTAATTATAAAAAATTAAAGTTCTAAATATTAGAAAGTTTACTAAAATAATAAAGTATAAGATATATGTTTTTTTATTAATTATTTATCTTATAATAAATAGCTAAAGAATTATTACTATTACTATAAATGAAATAAATATATTTTCTAAAAAATATTAGGACCTTTTCTAAATATTCTTTATAAAGGCTATAGATATACTATCTAACTATTATATAATAGAATATTATATAGATCTAGAATCAGGGTCCTAACTATTATATAGTCCTATATATACTTTATTAGAAAAGAAGCTTAAAGTTCTTTAGGAATATCTTAATACTAGCTTAGAAAAGAAATAGATCTATTATTTTACTAGCCTAGCTAGTACCCTAATTATATTTATTCTAAAGAAAAGAGATAGCTTATATTTATATATTAATTACCGGAATTTAAATAAGATTATTATTAAGAACTAAATACTATTACTACTTATTAATAAAATAATAAATAGGCTTTATAAAATAAAGATATATATAAAGCTAAACTTAAAGAATACTTACTATTAGTTATAAATACAGGAAAATAATAAGTAAAAGATAATATTCCAAATATACTATAAATATTTTAAGTATTATATTATATTTTTTAAACTATCTAATACTTTAGTAATATTTCAGATATATATTAATTATATATTAGTAGGCCTTATAAATATTATTTATATAATTTATTTAGATAATATTTTAATTTATTTAGAGAACCTAGAATAATATATAATAATAGTCTAATATATACTCGAGTAATTATAATAATACTAGCTTTTTATAAACTTGGCAAAATACGAGTTTAATATAAAGAAATAAAGTTTCTAAAGTTTATAATTAGCCTAAATAATATAAAAATAAAAGCTAGCCGGGTTATAGCTATTAGGAAATAGCCGGCCCTAAAGAATAATATTCGAGAAGTTTAAATATTTCTGGATTTTATTAATTTTTACTAGAAGTTTATTTATAAATACTTTAGGGTAATAAAAAAATATATTAATTTATTAAAAACTAATAAAAACCTATAATATTATTTTAGCTAGATAAATAAGGCAAATAAGGCTTTTAAGAAGCTATAAATTATATTTATAATAGTACTAATCTTTTATTATTTTAATTTAGCTTTAAAGATTTATATAAAAATAAATACTTTAGGATTCGTAATTATAAATATAATTTTCTAGCTTTTTAATAAGAGAATAGAAGCCAAATAGTATCCTATTACTTTCTATTTAAAGAAAATAATTATAATTAAGAATAAATACGAGATATATAATTCTAAACTCTTAGCTATTATTCTAGTATTCTATATTTAGTAGTATTATTTAGTATATATCTAGTATATTATTATTATTAAAATAAATTATAATAACTTAAAATATTTTATAATTAAGAGAAAACTAAATAATTAATAAATAAGATAAGTAAAGAAGCTAACTATTTTCGATTTTATTTTAAAGTATTAGCCAGAATATAGTAACTTTATTAATAGGCTATTAAGAAGACTAGATTTTATAATAAAAATAAATAAAAATACTTTATTACTTATATTTTATAATAAGTTATAAAATATAGAATAAAGAATTCTATAAGTAATAATAATAGAATATTATACTATTCCTATAATACTATAATTTAAAGCCTAGAAAAA